AATTAATTTTTCCAACAGCTTATATTAATTGTGTTATGTAATTTTAAATGAAAACAATATTTTACTGTGCAACATTTTTAAAAAATATTGCAGAATGATTTGGTATTGTGTTGATATGCAGAACAATTTTGTTAGTATAAATTTATTTTTATATGGTATATATGAATAACATATAACATTTTATGCATGGCATATAGGTATTAAAATTTTAAAATAACATTTTATATGCAGCCTTGAATCATTCAATTCATAGTTTAAGTATGAGCAAATCAATTTTATATCTAAGTTTTCTAGTACAATAATGATTATCTATACTAAACTAAACCATTACAAAGAATTAATAAAGTATCATATCAAACTATTTTTAATCCAAAATTATTGAAATTTATTTTTCGAATAAATCAATTAATAGATATTTATCAAAAATACTACTTAAAAATTTTTATGAAAATTTACTTGATAAATAGTAAATGGAATTATTCTTTTTCTAAGGAAAAAATTAACGAAAAAAGTTTTAATTACTGACAAACCTGTAAGTATAAAAACTTGAGCTGCAATGACTTGTGCTACCATCTCTCTCCTCCTTATTACCTAATTATTAATTATCTATCTATTAACTACCTATCTATCTATATATCTATTAACTACCTATCTATCTATCTATCTATCTATCTATCTATCTATCTATTAACTACCTATCTATCTATCTATCTAACTATCTGTCTATTTATAACTGAAATTTTGTAATTGGATTGTAAATTTATAAATACATATACCTTTTATTTACTTATAACTACATATTTAATAATACTTTCCTTAATGCAGTCATTTTTATTAAAAAAATGTTTAAGATAATGAATATTTATATTATACTAAAAATAAAAATATAGCTACCCTTTAATTTAAAAAAGTTTGGTAACATAATATTGTAATTATGGAAATGAATACAATATGGTAGTCAAAGACTTCAAAAGAAAAATATAATGGAATGATATGAAACTGATGAAAATGTTATGAATCATATGAAACTTTTAAAATAAAATATTAATAATTTTATATTAATATAAAGTTCTATTCAACTATTTAGTAAAAAAAAAAACATAAAAAATTATTATAATTATTAAAAGAAATGCTATACATTTAACTATAAATGTACATACAAATACTAAGATTAATAAATTTATAAATATTAATGAATTCTACATATATATATATAACTTAATTGAATTGCATATTATATTATATTTTATTAAATGAAATAATAAACAATATATTTTATCATTCTTTTAACGAAGAAATTTTTACTTTATTTTATAGAATTTGATTTCACACTAATAATTATACTGTAAATTATATAATACTTTATTAATAAAAAAAAATGGTTTTTATTTATTATAGAAAATAACATGAGTTTTTAATTTGCTCTTTATCTAATTCCATAACTATTTATGAAATTAATTTTAAATAATATATTTAAGCGCATTAACAAGAATAAATATAATTATTTGTGCTCCATTAGATAAAAGATGAAGTTTAACGAAATGTTTATTATTTAAAGGTGATCCTTTGTTTTTCTAATTTTGTTGTTTCTTTTTTAATGTTTTACACTATCATTCGTAGAAGTGAAACATTAAAATCGTGATATTTGATTTAAGTTGATAAATACTAATTACAGTATAATCATATTAAGTAAGTGTATACCACCATTTCGTTTTGTATTAAAAATGATAACTCCATTTTCTTAATTAAAGATACCAAGAGCTATTTCTTAGCTTTGAAAAATAAAAGATTAAGATTATTAATATTTTTATAAGTATTGATTATCTATCTAAATTATAATCGATCCTATCATATAATGTTTCATTTAAATTTGGTATTAGTGAAAAAAGTTTTCTCCGCTAAAGAAAGCTCACTTAATTATCGAATTCTTAAGCAATTATGATACACGATTCGACTCAAAAGGATCGCAAAACGGTCAACTAATTTTAGAAATTTTTGTGATAACACATAAATCCAAACTATTACTTAACCGTTGAGTCATAATCCACCGAGAATTCGAAAATAGTAATAAATTTAATCAGCGATCGGCGAGAATTAGGACCTTCTAGGTCCAATTTACGCTCACAGCGCGTAACTCACCCTCGACAAAATACAGTGCAGAATTTGCTAAAACGAAAGAGCCGTAAAGAGTTTCACGTAAGAGTGCTTGCGTCAAAGAGGCTATCCATGGTTGATGACTGGAGTATTATTGAAGAATAATCGGTGAAAAGTCGGCAAGCGCCATTTTTACACACGGCAATGCGAGCGTGGCGATAGGGGCAGAGGGCCCGTCGCTACCGCCGCCCGAAACATTTTTACCAAGCTTGCGCGAACCGTGCGTCCAATGTAAAAAAGCTTACCCTGGAGTAGGAAGAGCCCACGGCGCCGCTCGGGCTCACAACACCAGCATAAACCGCACTTCGATACACACAGTGCCTTCTCCTCTCGATATGTCCTCTACTCTTCCCTAGCGTACTTCTTCGTACTAAGATATTACAAACGCCCACTAACCCACAGAAACACACCAGATATAAAACACAGAGACACTCGCCGCAATTGCCGTTGCTGTTGCGGTCGCCGCCGCCGCAGCAATCTTCGTCTTCGTCTTCCTCTTCGTCGTCGAACCTCTTTCCTACATATACATATGTATTCAAACGAGTGCGCGCGCATCCATGCACACGGTCTCTTTATTTAATGTTACCTACGCCTGTATATCAATATTGCCGACATGCATTCGTGCATACGTCCGTGCAAGATCTGCTGTTTTCTAATTCGATAAGAATGAGTCTTAGTTCGACACTCGCAGGTAAATGAAGATGGACAGTCAACCGATCCTATAATAATCACGCACGCACTACCGGCGCGTAACTGACCGACTGCTCCGTCGAGACAGGCACGCAGGCAGATAAAATTCGTGACTATCCGAATGTCAGAGTCGTCCAAGAGGAGCCGCCGAACGCACACTATTGTAACTCGGGCACGCAGACGGAAAATAGTCCAGCCAGTTGGGAGTGCGCTTGCTCCGTCGTTCCTCGGGAACTTTGACCTTTGGATACGATGCCCGCGATCGCACGTATTTTCTCGGTCTTTCAATAAGGATGCTTACATTTCTGACCGGCGTTACCTGCGCGGGACACGGAAAACGTGGGGCTTTTTGTGTCACGGACACAGAGCTTTCTCGAGCGCAGCGATATTATTAGGAAAAGAAAACACGAGCGTAGTATCAACCCCGAGAGCCCGATGTACGCTTTCTTTATAGCCCCTATAATTTAATAATCGAATCATTTCGGTTATAAATACACGCACGCATCGACGATAATTGCATTAATAATTATCAACTCAATATCAACTTGTTTTTCTTTGTAATCCGTTGATCTTTATTTTCAAAATTAAATTAATGCGGTTACATGATTCTTATAATAAATACAATTCACATAATCATTTTAAAACAATTATTCGCTACATAAATGGTCTAAATATGTACGTATAAACTTTTTATCGATAAACTAAACAAGATATATTATGCAAATGTTACTTTTTATTATTAAATAATATTTAATAAAACTTAGTCCAAATTAAGCAATATACGCTTCACTAAAGATAGTATTCATATATTTTTCATTCACGAGTACAAATAGATGAATACCGATGATAGATTATCGTTTAAGCAAATGAATCAGACAATTAATTTCATTAATAGTTACATTTTGTTTTAAAACATATTTTGCATTCATTGTAATATATTATGTGTATTAATTTAAATAAATTAATAAAATATATTTTGTATTCAAAAGTTATCATTAAAGTCTGAATTAGAATATTTATGTACTGTACTTATTTTTTGTTTTATTCATTTTTATTATACTACGCTATGACTTTTTTTTAACTAAAATAGTTATTTTGTTTAATAAAATAAATATTCATTAATTAAAATAAGAATATAAAAAATTAAATATAATAGCAATTTGAATGGTGGATAAAGCATAAAAATAAATTAAAATTACACACATAACGACGTCTAACATAATTATACTTTAATATGAATTTTGCTTGAATATTAAATTGTCCGATAAATAACTAAGCATCTATTCAATTTGTGATTTATTTTATTTTTCAATATTATACTTGCATTGTTTTATAAATTTTAAAAAATATTCTTTTATCAACTTAAAATTGCAATTCATTAAACAAATGTAATGTAGAATATGAATAACAATAACATGTATATTATTAATATCGTTAGCATAAAAATTTGCGATAAAATTATTTATTAATTAAAGCCTCAGAGAATGAATCGTACAATTACTATTCAGGAGATACAGGTATTTTTATTTATAACAAATATTCATTTATTAAATTCATTCATTTCGATAGAATCTCATGAAATTTTTCTTCGTAAACAGAACTTACTCTATGTATACACAGATTTTCTAACACGTGCGCGCGTACGCAAGCATTTATTTATTTACATGTAATAACGATTTCTCGAACTATCATCAATAAAGCTACAGGTGCACAAAAAATTTAATTAACTAAAGTGAATACAATAAATTATTCTAGGATGGAAAAGAGAAATCATCGTAAATCCGTCTCTTGAACGGTTGCAGCTTCTTCCTACGGGACTGTGCTGCTTATTGCACCGGCAGAAGCGCTATATAAGATATGGAGTATGGGCTGTGACATCATCGCTCCTCCCTTGTTTAGAGTAGGGAATGAGTGGGCCGGGTGACGCCCCAGTCCACGAATACGATAATTATTGTGCCTATGTCTGGCTTCTCGACTCCCTTGACCGTCACGATCTTCTATTTTCTTTCCTTTTCTATGCACGCTTCTTTTCTTCACGTGTCCTTCGGCTCCTCTTTCTTATTTATCGCAATTATGATAAATTGTCCAAGTAATCTTATACGCAAGTTAACTGGTATTTTGTATTTATTTAAGGTTCGCGTTATGAAATATAATGAAATTCGTTTATTTACAAAATTTTTTTATCTTTTTTTGCACTTAATAAGGAGTTTTTACATTTTACGCATTTGACACGAGAAGTGTACGATGTCACCGTTTGGATATCTGGCAAATGCACTGCAAAGAGAATTATAAATTTTCAAATGAATTTTTCGTAAATGAAAATTAGTGCGTGATTAAGTCATTCAAGTATGAAAAATGATTTATTCATTAAAGTATGTCAGATACCGTTTGAAAATCACTGTACGAAGCAATTAAGTATGCGCGTCACTAGCATTATAATGAGATGTCAATATAGGTAGAGTTAGTCCTCTATAGTAAAAGGTATAACTCGATTGAAAATTATATTGATTAATAAGTAAAAATAAATTTGGCTCTATTCTATTTTTCTATTATACCAATTATTTATTTTATCTTCTTATAAGATTTTTATTCATAAAAACTTTAATTGTTCTAAAATAGTTTTTACTTCCTTCATTCAATTGAAAAAATAGCTATATTTGCTTAAATAAATAATATAAACTACTTCTCTTATTAAATTAAATATTATATACACTTCAAATATAGACACTAAAAATTTTAAAATATCAATTTTTTCACATATCGTTATACATGGAAAACATTAAACGTACTTATATTACACACAGCCATACACACACGCGCGCGCGCGCATGAAACAAACAAATTAAAATAAAATTATAGATAAAAATTTATTACTTAGGAATTTATTAACAATGAAGAGATATATGTAATTCTTTTATTTTAATAAATTTAATCATATTATTCTTTTCAATGTTGTTATTACCGTTTAACCATTGTATACATAAGCTTTGAAAATTTTTAGTCTTTTTTATTGAAATTTTGAAGTCTTCAAAACAAAATGTCTTTTCAGAGAAAGACTACGCTATGAATTTAAAAATCTAATAACAGAAGATATTTGATTATACCTTTGATTTCCAAATCTCTTTTTACATACAGGGCAGATGTTGAATTCAGTCATCAATACGTTTTGGGATTCGTAATGCATCCTTTGCTCTTGAACCTGTAGATGCTCGGCATACAACAAGCCTTTGAGAACTTGCATTCTGCGCTTTTCATTGATATTATTTTGCAGACTCGCTTCAAGAAAATGCCTAATTCTGCCTATAGACACTGTATCTGGTAACACCTCAAGAGCTTTCAGTGGATCAATCTTCGAAGCATGCTCCTCTAATAGTTCCAAAGCTGTTTCCAGGTCTGGTTGAGCCAGGCGTTGAGTTACGATTGCTGGATCAGGAATCATCAAATTCGACAGGCCCTTTTGACATTCATCGGGCTTAAGAAGCTGATGAATAAGGGTAATGTAGATTTCGTCTGCATTGTCTTGTTGTTTACTCTTCTCAGCTTTACTTAGATCTGTTAAATCAATCACATCATTATGATTTGGTCAATAAGTATCCTTTGATATATTTTTGATTATTTCAATTTGAATATTAATTTTATTTGGAAATACTGAAAATAATAATAATATTTGTATTTTGATAACATAAATTGTTGTTTTATAATCACGGCCTTAATAAATAATTATATTATATTATTATATACTTTTAAACAATCTTCCTACAATCGAATAAATCATTTTCATATAAAATCAATTTTTGATATATAAAGATATATTTAATAGAACTATTTTACTGTTCAAATAGTTATTTTGTTACATTATTATTAATTGATATATTTTTAAATTGAAAACTAATTAATGTTAGGTAAGATATGTATAAATATATGTATAAAAATATTTATAAGGATATGTATATATGTTTTCTTTAAGCACTTTTAATATTTTATTAATAAATTTTTATGTTATGAATTATTTGTATCAATCATGATATATAAAATGAACTATTTCATTTTTATTAATTTATTTAAAAATAAAAATTAATATATAAATAAAAATAGTAATAAAAATAGTAATAAAAATAGATTCTATTATTTTTATTTTATAAAGTACTTTAATTAAATATTAACTTACTTTGATATCTAGCATAAACATTGTTACAATATTGTATTGCCTTTGGTACGTTATTTAATAAATTAATATATATTGATATTGCTTGTTGATGACGTCCTAAGCGACCGAGTATTATGGCTCTTTCTTCATACAAACAATCAAATGGAAAATCTCTTAAAACCGTTTCTGGAGTATAATGCTGTGATTTTTCAAGTAACTGTTGCAACTTTGTCCGAATATGCTGAATGTTTAATTTTTCTGCTGGAGCTGCAGTTGAAGACGTACCTACAAGGCACTTTTCTTTATATTGATGCACTAGCACATTATGGAACATTGGATTATTATCTTCCCAAACATGTACAACATGTTCCAAGTAAGTAATCACCAAATCTTTGTGACATCGAAGCAGATAATCCAATATTTTTGGCCGTGGAAGATGTTCAACTTCCTAAAGATAATTAAAATCTATAAATTATTAAAGTTTATTTTTTCAACTTTTATAATAAGTTTACACATGCTGCGATATTAATTTTATCGCACTTTTTTTCAGTGCCAGTCAGTGATAAATATTTTTCTATACCTGTACATCTTCCATGAAAATTCGCAAACCTTCTTCAGGATCATGATCTAGTATCCATCCAGCAAATTTTAAAATTAGGTCCATGTGATCTTTACCAAGATGCTGAAGATATTGAATAGTTCTTTCAGGACCTTTAAGACTTGAATCACTTTCCTTTGACTGTTTTTCTAGAAGCTCTAATGCTTTTTTATGCTGTCCTTTAGTCTGGTATAATATTATAAGTTCTGGATATTTTTGATGCTGAAGTAATGTTTTCTCAGCTTCTGCTAAGTGACAATGATTTAGTCTTAGTAAAGGTGCAACTAAAGCATCATTTGTCTAAAACATGTTTAATATTAAATTAATATTACATGTAATACTTACATATTGTTTTCAAAACAAAAATTTTTAATGGAAGTTGAAAGTAGATGAATTTCTTTTATAAAAATAAAAATGATTATTAATATATATATAGTACCTGTAAATAACATTTCAATAAAGTAGTATCAATAATTTTTAATAGTTGCTCTGTTGCTACAGCTGTCATATTTTTCAATTTATCACCTTGAGTCACATGTTTTCCTTTAATTTTTTCGTTCGTTTCTTTTTCTTTAGTTTGACTATCATTTATCAATTTATATCTAATTTCTGTTAAAAAATCTATCAAAGCCAATAAGCCATTTTCTAAATCTCGTCCTTGAAGTTTTGGTAAATTTGGTTCTGGTTCGTTTGGTTCATTAGCATTTGACGGCTGTGATACCAAGTCAGGGAAAAGTCTGATTACCTCATAAGGATCAGTACCTAATTTTAAAAATTGTTCCATAGCTTCGCGAAATTTTTTATTTCGAAATAGATGATGCGCATAAAGAGTTTGAATTTTATAAGTTTCCTTTGCTTTTTCTTCTTCAGATAAATCAGAAAGATCCTAAAGTATAAAAATACAAATTTATTCTATTTATAATAAATGTAAAAATGTATTTGTCTTAAATATTTTATACAACTAAATTAATAAATAATCTTACAGTAAGTTTGAGAGCAAGCTGGAATTGACTTTGTTTTAACAAAATTCTAGTTTGTTGTGTAAAATCAGTTGCAGTAATGCACCATACTTGACTCATCGATGCAACATAAACTTTTCCTTGCTTGCATTGACATATAAATCTTGCTTTATTTAGATCTGGTATAGTTTGAATGTGCATACAACTTTCCAGGGTATATACTTCTAACGTATCATGGACAATTCCCAGCAAATATGGAACATCCCATGCTAAGCATATTTATTTAAAAATATTATATAAGAAAACGATGATTTTCTTTTGAATATTAATAAAAAAGTATTATTATAAGATGCTATTACAATTAATAATATTAAAAATAATTATTTACCCAAAGCACCAGGTAAATCGGACCATTTTACAGGATTATGTTGTATTAGTTCACCATTTGTATCCATTATTACAGATTGAGAGTCTTTGCCAAGTACAAAGGAATTATTAGATAATTTGGTAATACTTGGTTCTGGTGATTTACCTGTTGGAAAAAGTTCTTTGGTTTTGCCTTGAAAATCCATAAGAGTATAAGAAAAACCACGAAAACCTAAAACTAACGTTTCACCACACCATGCTAATTCTCTAGGTATATCAGGAACTGACAGTTCACGAGGTATATCCGAGCCAGCTACTTCTTCGCTAAAAAACTCTTCAAAGGTTTTCTTCTTTTCTTTCCAATAATATAATTGTAATTTTCGTTTTACAGCAACGCACAATCTAACGACGGTATTTTTTTCCCCAGTCATACTTTCATGTCGTTGTATATCTAATGCAAATAATGTTGCTCCTCTTGTTTTTTGTAGTTGACTAATTTGATTTAAATTTGTGGTATTTAAATCATGAATGCATATTACATTATCTGCAAGATATAACTAGTATTTAAAATTAAGGAATTTACCAACATATATAAATAATTTAGATTTACAATTTCATTTTTTATAAATAACATTTAATAAAGAAATATAAAAACAAAATATAATTTCATAAAAATAATATAAAAAAAGTCAATATTTTAAAAAGTACCTGTTAAAAGTACTAATAAATTATATTCAGGAATTACTGCGATTTGTACAATGCGCTTTTTACTGAAGTTTTTGCTGTACCGATACAGAGATGGACTTGTATTCTCATTTGCTTTAGAATCATTAGAATTAGATGCAACATTATAAATTAACAAATGACCTTCCCTTGTACCAATTAACAAATAGTTATCTAAAGAAAATTAATAAGATGAAAGTATTTAATTTATTTATATTTCATTAAAAAAAAAAAAAAATCTTAATATTTTACCATAGGCAGCCATCGATTCAATTTGAACAGTTAGTTTTAGCATCAACACTGCCTCATAAGCATCATGCATTTTGATGATTTATTGGTTAAAGTCTTACAAAAATTAAATAATTATTGATAATACACGATTCTCGATGATTATTAACATTTTATATATCCACCAGTTATAATATGTCAAAATTATAATTGCTTACTCAACTCTGTAGATTAAAAAAGATTATTGATAAATATAGAGAAACATTTATCACAATTTTTATCAACAGAACATTACTGCCCCTTGCGAGAGGATACCAAAGCTATTGCAAAGCAGCAGCTGAGAGCAAATGAAAAGTAACAAGAGAGTAGGGAGAAACGAGTGCATAAGTGGTTTAAACAAAAGTAAACCGATGACTCGTGTCGGAGAACCATTTTACGGAGATTTAAGTTTAAATTTTGAAAAGGCTGTTACACTTAAAATTTATATTTAGGTAAATATAAAAATAAAAAGATCATTTTTTAATTTTAAATATATTAAAAAATTATATTTCATAACAATAAAATCAATAACAGTTTTAGTTCAAAACAATTTAGTAAATATCTATCGTAAAGAATTACTAACTTTACATTCTCTATATTAGTATTTTCTTCTTTTCCATTACATCTATATTCAATTATCTCTTTAAACTGTTTCCTGATACGCATATTATTATTATTAATAAAATTAATATTTTTTTACTCTGCTATATTATTGAATATTTTTATATTCTATTATAAATATATTAATATTATTTCGAGAGTATATTCAATTTTCAAAAATATATTGTTAAAATTAGTTGTCCTTATTTTCTAATACTCAAATATGATAAACGATAAATGCAAAATATAAGTTACAATTGCATAGTAATTAAAAAAATTTTTTTCGAATAAGCTATAATACTTTGAATAAAAGATGTAATATAAATCCTTATTGTAATTTCATATATATGGTAAATATGTATTTAAACTGATCCGTTGAAAAAATAAAATAAGAGTATCAAATGACAAATTAATTATTTATTATTAAGTACCAGCAGATCCTTAAAACATTTAATTTATCAATATATTACGGTAAATTTACGAAATACCTTTAATTTGTCCTTAATAAAAAATGTAAAATGTTGATATAGTTTTGCCATATGAATTAAATAATTTAAGAATAAGTTAGTATACAAGTATTCATACCCCATTGATTAAAACGGTAAATTGCTGCTTCATCAGACAATAACTTTTCTACTAAGACCTAAAATGACCTCTATCTCAATCTTAATACAATTTTATCAGATATATCATCGTAAAAATTCAGATGTTAAAGCTTTATACATATTTCTTTATTCCTATTATAAAGATTTATTCAAATGGAATTATAGTAATCGAATATGATTGTGTTACATTATTTAAATTTACAATTAATAAGAGTACTCTCCAATCCTATCTTAACACTTCAACTATGCAGAAACAATTTTTCAAATTATAATTAATTATAATACGCCCATTTAAATAAAGTTTTATTGATAATTTAAAAATCTTTAATATGCTCCTATAAAAAAATGTTTAAATCACAATAACCAAGATCATTTTTAATCATTTAATATCACAGGGGATATTAATGAATAAATATCCATACTTATTCATTTAAAAATGATAATTTAATGAAAAATTTATACGAAAGTTGTTATATTGCACGGAATAGCTTTTCATATAAAAATAGAAAAAATAGTTTAAAATTATGAACTTTACTTTACTTCATAGATGGCGAAACTATCGAGTTTATTTTTATTGTACACAAATGTTTTTCTTTGTTTGTTTGTTTTATTATGTTTTGAGAGATATATAAAAGGGATTATTTTTTAATCAGAAAAAATTAAAAAAATTAATTTATAAAGATGAGAAGAAAATAATAAAAGTTTATGAATTTAATTATAAAGTTATTTATTTGATAAAGGCGGAGTATTTTGGTTTTCATGGATACGCACGAACAAAATCAGAATTTTGATACAATAATGACAAACGAAGAAAAATTTAATGAAAATGGAGAAATTAAAAATGAAGTTAGTTTTACATTATAAATACATATTTTACTAAAAAGTATCATTTAAAATTTACGATTGTATATATTTTTTTACTCCAACCTAGCGTACACGCAGTAAAAAATTTAAATATCTTTTATTTTTTATATAGGTTATAAATATAAATGAATCAGCTGGTAAACAAAAATTAAGAAGTTGGTTGAATCGTCACCTAAGAATAAAAATGACAGATGGTCGAATTTTAACAGGTGCATTTTTATGTACAGATCGTGATGCTAATGTCATATTAGGATTATGTTCAGAATACTTATCAGAAAATTCCGAACCAAGGGCTTTAGGATTAGTAATGGTTCCTGGAAGACATATTGTAACAATACACTTAGATATATGACAGTAGATCGATAGATCAAATTATTAATTTTGGAAAGAATTCTTATTAGTGTTATGCATAATTTGATATTGTGCAAAGATATATACTGATATTTAATTTTCTTTTTTTAATTTAATAATTTCTGTACAAAATAATGTAAATAAATAACAGTTCAATTGTAAAGTGGTAGAATGATTTAAAACAATAGTCACATTTATTTCAAATGAATTTATACTATTTTTTAATTTTTTCATCTTTTCTTGAATTAGCTGTAACATAGATGATTTATTTTTAATCAATATATTTTTTAAAATAACAAATAAGATTACTTACAATTTCTAATAGATTCTTCTTGTACTTTAGTATATTCGGTTTCCAATTCAGAATTGCTGTTTTTCTCTATTTGTATTTTACTTAATGCATCATCAATTCGTTGAGTCAAAGTAATTGATAAGTTATCCATACCAGCTAAAAAACTTATTTCAGATGCAGCTTCTGACATTTTGTGTACATAATCCATGTAACCTATAAATCTCTATATATAATAAACAAAATAATAAATATAAAGATTAAATTATCGAAAACCATAAAGAATATTTTAATTACCACAATTATTTCTTTTTTTTCTTGTATTTCAGACCTTAATAGTAAAATTTCATCCCAATGAGAATCATTAACTTCTTGTAAGATAGCTTGATTCATTAGTATTATTAATTTTGTTAATAATTCTCTAATATATAAAAAAATAATATTAAATATTTGTATTATATTTAACAAATAAGTTATATTGGTCAAAAAATATTATACTAAAATTTTTTATTATATATTAAGTTCAATATTTTATTTACAAACAAAATTAATTATATATATTTTTTATTAATTGTTGATAATAATATATGTTACTATTTGGAAATATAATTTAGTGCATCATCGATCTTTTAAAAAGTTTAATTATAAAAGATTATTGAAATTAATAAAATTTTATAAATAAATTTCATCAAACAATACTGATTAAAAATATATAATATAAATATACAATACAAATAAAAAATATAAAATTTTATATAACAATCGATTAAATACCTATATTCTTTACTTGTTGTTTCTATTGCGGTAAAAGTCACTGTTAAAGCTTCTGAAGCACTATTTACAGCATTAATAGTTGATTGTTTTAATAAATAATCATAAGATAAATTAGAAGCCTCAAATTGTAATTTTTGATCATCATTTGGTTTTTTTGGTGGATGTGGATGTACAAACATTGGAGTCGTTGCATACTAACATTAAAAAGAAATGTTTTTAAATGATAATTTTTAGTATAATACAAAAAAATAATTATATTTATTATTATTATTTATATATATATATATATATACACACACACACATATAAGTAATAAATTTTCAAAATTGCATAAATTTAACTTAAAAAATATTCAAATATGGCTAATAAAAAACTCATTTTACTTTTTTATATTAATGTAAAATTATGTTTTTAAAATTTTTTAAAAATAAATACTATTTTATTAAATTTTAGTCATTATAAAGATCTTACAAATACAATACGTTGAATAGGTTTTAGTCTTTTCAAAATCAAAGTTATTTGTTTAAAAGCCATAATTATAAGATTCAAATAAATACAGAATTTATATTATACTATAAACATGTTTTACTTTCTATTTAAAGGTTAACGACAGTCACGTGATATATATTTGAATGATTGAAATCATAAGCGGGAAAATTAAATAATAATCATATACGTTTAATTTATATTTTTAATTCTTTAATTTTATCACAGTACTGTAGGAAATAATTTAAACTAAAAAGAATTTTATTTTCTAATTAATTATATTTTTTATAAATACAATTCACTCCAATTAATAAATAACGAAATTCTTTATTGGATAATTGATTGGAGTGAAAAACTAACTGCAGCAGTCATATGTATTTTTCATAGAACAAATTAATATTCTACACGTACTACAAACTTATAAATAATACAATAATTGCTGTACTAAAATCGATTAATCTTCAAAACTTATTTATTATAACAAACGATATATTAGAAAATTATCTTAATAAATATCAAACAAATAGATGTTAGATTTTCTTATTAACGAAAGTTATAATAAAAATTTTACTAGTGCATTTCATTCGATCTGAAAATTTGCAGTTATTTTATATTCAATTAATTCTTTCTACGCACAGATCATTATCACATGACGGAAAATATTTATAATAAATATTTTATTTCATCATTCTATAAATGTTGACATATACATTTTTAACAGACGAATTCAAGCAGATGAAACTTGATTAAATACTCTTTATGCTGGTTTTTTCATTTTATATCAAAATCACATCATTCACATAAATATAAAATAAAAATTATAAGCATACAATTTATTAGACATGCAGTAAAAATTATTGGAAGGCATATTGTTTTAATAAAATTTCCCAATGTTATGAACGTCCAAGAAAAAAATTATATATATTTAAATATATATAATTTTTTTTTCTTAAACAACTTAAAACGCCTTTGTAATGTATAGAATGAAAATGTGAAAATATAGCATTCTTTTAACATTGTAACTGCAGAAATTTTCATGTGCTTTCATAAAAATTTATAAAAATTTAAGACAGAACTTCAATAATTTATCATCTCACTTATTCTGTCAATATTTTTTCATCAATGAATACATTTCATGATTTTATTCTGCAGAAAGGTAGTAACTAGTTGATCAATAAACATCTCGATGATTTTTTATTTCCATTTTAAAAAATACCTAAACAATTTGACTCAATAAATCACGTATTCAAAGTTCTTGATGCTTATCTTTAAATTCTTTATCTTCAGACTTTGTTGAATTACTGATGGGTAATTCGAAAACTTCTGCTTCTACTGCTTCAGATTCATTTTTGTCCAATGTAGTATTCTGTTCGGTTTTTGTTTTGTTCTCGGATTCACTATCACCATTAGTTGTATTATTTTCACCCACTTTATCGGTACTATTCGTTGCTCCTTTTAGTTTCCATATTTTTAATTTATTAAAAACGTATTTTATTTCTCGATCTAACACAGCTATTTTCTGGACAATATCGCGAACCTTATATGTCACGGGCTCATACAATTTAGATTCGGATGTAACCTTTACTACCCTATTATAATATTCCTAAAAATTTATAATATACAACATTATTGACATTTATTATAGATTATGAATAAATAATTAAATGTTTTAAAATTATTTTGGACATACCTCTGTTTCATTAATAGCTTTCTCTACAGATTCAATTTCAATTTGAGTAAATATTTCAAGCATTTCTTCACTGGGTATATTATTTAAAGAAGCCTTAATTTCATCAAGCATTGAAACTAGAACTCTCAAAGCTTCTGGACGTTCACTATGTTCAAAAACTCTTTCATAAAGATCACGTGTTAACTTTTGTAAGTCTTCTAATTTTTGCTCATATATTTCTGATGTTGCTTCAAAACCTTCTTCATATAACCATTCAGAAACATCATTACAAGATTTTTTAATCTTCTCAGCTTCTTCAGGCAGTATTGCTACTTTATATTCGTCTAATTCTAATTTTTGTTGAACATCAATAACAAAAGATTCCAAATTGTTTAAAGCATTTTCACGTCGTGCCTTTTGTTCATCGAATGTGTCTAAGGCTTTGAGTCTTAAAACAAATTTTATAAAAAATATTAATAATATTTTTATTAGTTAATAATAATAATTATTATTATTATTACTATTATATATATATATATGTATAATTATCTTACTTTTCTTGAGAAATTAAAAATTTATCTTCAGATAAAGTAAACTGTACTACTTTTAATTCTTTGGCATCAATTGGTTCTTTAATGGTAATAATTGTTGGAGTTTGATCTTTTTCTAATTTTTCCGTTTTATTTTCTGATTTTTCTTCTATTGGTTTCGTTTCATTATTTGTTTTATCCTTTACAATTTGAAAAAAAGATTAAATATTTTACATTTAACATAATTTAATAAATATAAATATGACAATACATCAATGCTATTATATATGTACATAAATAAAAGTAAATATTAAATTTATTATCTTTTCTGCAATAATAATTATCTCAATATTTTTATTGTTGTTCTTACTTGTATTTATGATACATGTTACAAAATAGAAACGTTGAATACCTTTTCTTTAGTTTCTTTCTTCAATCCAGGATATTCAGGTTCTTCATGAACTGGTTTAATACCATCTTTTAGAGTTTCTTCTACCTTATCATCATTTTCTGATTCATCAGACCCTAATAAATTATTTATAAACATGTAAAAATTGTAAATCGATTTTATATTATATATTTCTAGTTTAATAGCATCAAAGGCAATACAAATTCACAAACAAATAAATGTATGAAATTATTTAATTAAATTACTAAAACTGTGCAAAAAAGAATTTCAATATCTGAATTTGTACAATATAAATTAATTGATATTAAAAAACGGTAAAAATATAAATTTAAATATAAATACAGATATAATGTAATAATGTCGTAAAATGATTTACTACATTGTGAATGTACTTTTTTTACAAAATTCCTTATTATATATTTATATCTAGTAATAAACTATTACTAAATAATACTTTAAATATTTGCATATAAACTTTATAAAATTTGTATTTGTTTTATAGTAAGGCAAGCTTTATAATGATATAAATATTTTTAATAATGAAAATTAGATTAAGTGAAAAATTGGTAAAGTTGTTTTTATAAAATTATACAAATTATTTTTAAAAACGAACCAGAAAAAAGCTTGCTTATTGTTGAGCCAAATTTTACGAAAGCACCTTCAACTTCATCAGGAGTAGTTGGACTTGTTTTTTCCAACACCAATTCAACATTAATAAAATTGAGTAATCCACTTTCATTCATGGAAAAATGCACTTTGATGCTTTTACTTTCAACTATATCATTTTCGTGTTTTGATAAAGCCTCCGTAATTCCAGTTAAAGTTACCAAAGAAATATTGAAAGTTCCAACAGCACTGTAACATTTATTTTAGTATTAAAATTATATATTTTATTCTTATATTACATATTTAATTAATAAAACTTTTCAAATCGATATATTCTCTTTTTGAACGATATAGAATAATGCAAAAGAAATAAAAAACAAAGAGGACTTTTAAATACTATTGAAGTAAGTCCAATTTAATTGACATAATTTCATTTAGAAAAATAAACTCACTCAATTTCTTTCTTTGGCAAATAATCAAGTTCTGCATAGTTCACATTAAATGAAAATACGTTTTCGTTATGTTTATTAAAAGTAATAATTTTCTTTTGAGGGTAAGCATTCATTCTGCTGAATAGCATTCTCCGAACCTAAAATATTTAATAAACTGTTTAAAATATTTGTAATGTGATGTTTAATTTAAACATTAATTATCTTAAAATATTGATAGGAAAATTAATTTAATAATTACAAAATTTTCTTACAATTTTTATACTTTCTGAATGTTAATAAATTACCTGTTTAACTTTATTTTCAACTATTCTATCAAAAACAATCTGAATCGGAAATAGTACAGCATCTTTGGTAATAAATTTTTTTACTTTAAAACCTTGACTGAGTTCAGCAGCTTTGTAAACTGCTCCCAAGGCTGCTGCTTCATCAGTATTAATATTTTTTGATAAGTCTGTTTTAACAAATGCAGCTAATTTTTCTTGAACTTTTGGCATTCGAGTACCAGCACCAACCAATACAACTTGAGAAATGATATCCATTGTTAAAGCTACAAAATAAAAATTGTAAAAATACTTGTTCTAATCGTCGTTCTTGACTTTTATTTCATAAAATAGTTTCATCAAATAATGGAAAATTTAATGATATTTTTATACCTGAAGTTTCTAATGCAGTTTTTACTGGATTTGATACACGTTCAAATAAGTCTGCACAAAGTTCTTCAAACTTTTCTCTGGTTACTTGTAATCTAAGGTCTTTCTCATCTAACAGACCTTCAATTTGAGCATAATGATCAATATTAGCACTTAATACATTCTTTACTCTACCGGCTTCCTTAAACAACTTAGCCATTGCTCTTGGACTACTAAATACCGAGGTGGAGGTTTTCTTCATGGCATCAAACTCTTTACCAAGATAATCACGCAATCTTAATTGCATTTCTAATCCACCAAGAGTGCGATCATATCCAACTCCTAAGATACTGACTTGTGGATGGGTTTCGACGAACCCTCTTTCCTTTGTTTTCACATTTTGAAAACCAACTACAGTGGCAGTAGTACTACTAGCTCCCATATCATAGAACATAATATAGTGAGCACTGTCATTAATCTCTTTGCGATGGAATATACCATAGTTAAGTGCAACAGCTGAATAATCATTAAATAATTGTAACACTTTGATATCAGCAAGTTCTGCTGCTTGTATAAGAGCAGATCGTTCGGCTTGATTGAAAAATCCAGGTACAGTTATCACTGCCTCTTTTATTTTCTGACCAGCAGACAGTTCAGCAAATTCTTTGGCTTTATGCAAAATTTGAGCAAGTAACTCTTCTGGGGTAAAGGTAGTCACTTCATCTATTCTGAATATTAAAGTGTTACGTTCTTTATCTGCCTCAATGTTATAGTAAGGAAATCGTTTCCTAAATAATTGAACTATTGGACTGTCGATAGGCTTTCCTATTAAATCTAAAATATAAGAGAAGCTGGTTTGTGGAAAACGAGTACCAACTACTTGAGCATCTTCACCAAATGTGCGTTCTCCATCTCTAAATGATATCGTTACTGGTGTTTTTCTTTTAGATTCCTTATTTAGTGCGATTTCCATTGGCACACCTGGCTATAAATAAAAAATTACTTAAGATAAAATTAATAATTATAATTATTAATTTCAATTATTTGTTAGAATTAGTTAACGTTAATACAAAAGTTATTTAAAATATATCTTTATGCATACTTTTGGATTCCTTGTATGAAACAAATTGAAAAATATTCTTACCGACACAATAGCTACTTTCATCCATTCACTGCCAAGATCAATGCTCATAACAGCAACAGCATTAGCCTCATTGGAAATAAAATCAGTGTATAATATGACCAAAAGCATAAATGATAACCTCTTGTGATACATCATTTTGTCTAAAAAAGTTAATCTTACGTTATTACTTGAAATAATACGTTAAGTATTGGAATAAATTTTTATTGTATTGTAACATAATGTAATTTTATATAAATCCTATTGATAATTTTTTTGTTAACAAAGTTTTTGCCTTTAATTTAAGAAGAATGCAATGAACATTAATCATAATTTTAATATTCCAACTAACAATATACAATTATTTATGAAACTTGATATGTAAATACATATATACCCTTATTAATTACAAATTAAGAAGAAAGCAAAATTATTAAGTAAATTTTAAAAATTGGTATATATAAATAAACAACATTAGAGATAATATGAAAAAATTATTTAATTTGTTACCTCCAATTAACATCGCTAAATATAAATAAAAACTATAACCAACAAAAGAATATTTAAAGACATTTTAATAATTATAAATGTCATCAAGCAGACGCTACGAAACGAACGTTTTAAAGCGACTGTTGTCATACTTTTCATAGAACTGAAAAAATTATGGTAATCGTAACAGCATGTCTAAAAAAAGTACACTTTTATTGCTACACAATAAAATGAAAACGCATAAGTTTTATCCTATTAAAAATAAATAAAAAAATACCAATGTCACGCAATTAAAAATTTGGTTATGAGGGCGAATCAAGCGTACCGGTGCACATAACAGAAAAAAGAAATGTATATATATATATATATATATATAGATGCATTCGTGTATGTATGTATAATAATAATGCTTATAATGAAGCACATATCTTACCACGATGGATTTACGAGTCCTCCTTGAGAAGAAACGAAATTTAAAAATTAGTTAAATCAATTGCTAAAATCACGTGAGAAAATAATTTACCAGCCACAATACTCGTAGCTTAGATAGATATACAAAAATGTCAAAAAATCCAAATTGTATAAAAATTACTTTCCAAGGAGCAACGACAGGGCATTAGCGCGCACTCGAGTCCAGTCTCCACGACGATAACTTTGATATCCACAATCCACCTGTCGACAAGCTATAACGCACCGTGGAGAAGACATGTGCTCGTGTGGCAATTCAGGATTGGAGGAGCTGCCCGACGACTTGATACCCGGCCATTGGACCGCGTTGACGAATTACAAACTTCCGTACTTTCACAACAAAAGGTCTGCTTTGTGAACACGCTCCGATTTTTAGGCTGTTTACACATATTTAAACTATTGTTAACATAATTTTCTGTACCTATTCAAATACAAATTTATAAAAAATTGTAGATGAATATCAATATTGTCGAAACTTTCCAACTTATTTTATATATCTACTAAATTATGTTACTTTGTATTGTGTAAAGTGAAAAATAATATATGATAGCATAACATGAAAGTTTATATTACTAAAATTTTTTACAATTTGATGTTATGATGTGCATAAAATTGAATGTATTAATTGTATTTCCTGATAAATAATGTTGTTAATATTCGTAAATTATTTATGCTCTATTTATTACTCATTTTATGAACTTCGTAGATGATAATATATCTAATTTTAGATTTTAATAAATTTATATTACATATATAATGTAATGATTGGTATAATAAATTAATGTAATTATTAAAATAAAGTGAAAAATACTGTAAACATAAGTGTCTAGTATAAAGAAAAAATTCTGAACTTTAAGTATGATTTGGACAGTATTGAAAATAAAAATAAAAATTATTTATGAAGTTTATTGATTACATTGTTAAAAAGCTATTTAAACGCGGAAATTTATTTTGCACTGTTCATGTAAAATTCGAATAGTTTTTTTATATCATTGAAAATATGTGTATTTTATATAGCAATGAAAATTGAATGCCTTTTCTTAATTTTTATTAAAATATACTTACTTGATGAAAATACATCACATAAAATGAATATAATTATTTCAAATGTGTTAATTCCTTACCAAGTATGTAATTAATAATTAGTAATCATATAAGTTTATTAGTTAATGTGATAATGAAATTCTTAAACAACTCATGCATTAACTTAATATTGTATTCGTAATTTGATATTATTAATATATAAATAAATAAATAATATATAATAAATATATAAATATATATATATATATATATATATATATATATATATATGTTATAGTTTATTTAAAATTTATAAAATTGTGTCTACGATTAGAATAAATTCTATTATTCAACAAATGATCAAATGATTTAATGGTATACTCTTATCTAAGATCATATCTAAAAATGAAAAGAATTAGAATGTAGATTAACACAGTTATAGTAATTTCAGTATCAAAAGCCAATTTATGTAAAAGTTTCAAGAAATTTCGATCAATAACGTAGTTTTACAAATGTATAGTCTTGAATGTAATAATAAATTTTAAATGAATGTAATAGTGCTCTACATAATATCTAATAATTATATAAATTCCAAAAATTTTAATGTTTATTTATCTTATCTTTATAAATTATTTAATTAAACTAATTAAATAAAGAAAACCAAAATAAATGTTATTCACATATAATAATTTCAGTAGATATATTACACCAAACTTTCATAATAGTACATTGTTATTCTAAAAAATAATTAAGTGTATGTAAAATTGTGAGATATAACTCCTTATATCATATATATATATTATGACTTATTATAAGTTATATTTATTATATAGTATCTATATAATACTATCTTTCATGTAGGCACTATAAAGTAATAGAATTTGAAAATATAGAGTATCAAAAATTGTGAATAAAACTTCAAATAATATTATTTTTTATTTTATTTGATACAGTATATAGTTTTCGGAAGTAATTTCTATAATAAAAATAGTATCAGAACAAAACTCCAGTGGATTCTCAAGATTATCAGACTAAAAGCATAAATTTTTGGAAATTAAATTAAGCACTCTTGTTAATTATTCAATTTAATATATTCTTTTGGAACGTATGCTATATTAAAAATTATAACTTAGTACAGATTTTATATTTTACTTGCAATATCTTGTGAATATTAACATTAAGATTATCGAAATTCATACACATATTATTTATTTTATGAAAGATATCCCTGATTAAAATAAATTTTGAATTATTTTATTATTTTTATTGTTTTTATAAACTCATATAATATGACAGCATATAATATGACAAACACTTTTAAATATCGAATTCAACAAAAATAAATATATAAACTCAAACGATATATTATTTATAATATAATTTAACATTTAATTCATTAATTTTTTCTCTATTAAATAAACCACATTATGCATCTCTTGTTTGAAACATACCGAATTATATAAGATTTCAATTAGGTCAAAAGTTAAAATTGAATGCATGTTGAAAATTTTTGATTGAAGCAAATAAAAATTGAAAATTTAACAAATAACCATATGACGATTTGATAGTGTTTATAAAAAAAATTTTTTAAATAATTGATTGCATGTGTGCCTGCAATTTTAAAAGGTTTATTGTTATAACAATTTTTTAATTTCTATTTTAAAATTTAATAAAATCTATATCAATATTATTTTGCAAGAATGCAATAATATCAACAATAATAAAAAGATTTAAAAAAATATTAAATGGTTTTAATTAATGCATTCGTTCCTATTTTAAACAATACATATAAAGTTATTTTTATCCTAACTTTTATTTGAAACATAATCAAGTGCGCTTATATGTGTTGATTAAGAGATTGAATATTGGTATTAGCGTATCAAACCGATTATTCTAGAGGCGATATTTTTTATAACGTGTTTCACATTAGTAAAACAATTTATTTCATTTACAATGTTTTTTAATAGAAAATGTTAATGTCGTAGTTTATTATTGATCTATGTATGATTGGAATACTGTTTGTATTAAAAAATCGAGTTAAACAGTTGTTTAATGTAATACTTTCTCTTATAATATTTGATAATAAAAATTATATAATTACTTATCGATTAAATGTTTCCACAAGAATTATAGTTTATGGTTTCTAAAAAAGATAAAGATGTATTATTTTATATATAAGAATTTAAAAATGTTTAAATATTTATTTATACGTTCCATCAATTATGACAATTTTTTTCTTTTAGATTGTGCACATGTGTATATGTATATAGGAATGCGAGCCTCTAAGGCTGCATGCACGAAAGAAAATTAATTATTCAAACAAATTACTTTTCCAAAAAATATAATTATACACGATAATTACATACATACACGCGCGCCCATATATATAGATTAAATTGAATTTAATTTTTGTCAGTTAAATTAATAAAAATTATAATTATTTCAATATTAATATTTATAAAGTACACTACAAGTATACTGTAAAAGTAAATTTTCTCGCTTTTCAAAAACAATCGCACTTTATTTTATTTCTCGATAAATTTTAATTTATATTGTTTATTAAAAAAAAATTTGCGAATCATCTTTGAAGCGTACAATTACAAATGCATTACAATTAAAAATAATTTTTTAAAGTAATTTTTGGGTATAAAGTTTTATACGAAACGGAGGAAAATTATTTGAATAGTGAAATGTAATTATAATTATATTTGATATAAGAAAAATTATAATTACTAACTTTATTTTATTTAAATGTCTAAGGAAAGCTAATTAATTTACAGCTGTATTGGGCAATATCTGAATCTACAGTTGTGATTCCATAGCTGAAGCTGTAGATTTTTTCAGACAAAATACATGCAAATCCACCAATGATCTCTCAGCTTTATCATGCGCATGCTCTATGTGTTGTAAAAACATTTTTAAATTTAGTGGTGGTCAGGAGTTTGGCGGTTAAGAGTTGTTTACGTTTTCTCTTAAGTCACAAACATATTCGAAGTAATTAATTTCGGATAGAAATATTTTTACATACATGTTTTCAAATTTATTTACTCAAAATGATTAACAAAGAATTCATCATTCCTTTGGACAAGGATGAACTTGTTCGGATGCATTTTGGAGAATATGGCTATCGAGAGGTTATACCTTTGCATCTAATTAATAAAGAAATAAATGGTAAAATTTTGGAATTTATAAGCATTTGTGTATTTTTATATATTTTTATTTTATATTTAATATTGCGAACTAATTTGATTTCAAATGTAATATTTGTTTTAATATCTTGATACGGGCATAAAATTTATATAAATTTTAATACTTTTAAGAAAAGAATTATTTACTTAAATAATTTATATCGAATCAAATTATGGACTCAATTTATTGCTTAAGAAAATAAACTTACGTAGTTTAACAAAAATTTAATTTTTTTAATATTTAGAAATAAAGATGCATAGTGTAATATAAAATTGTATATATGTATATATATATTTATAATAACATATAAAATTATTGAAGGTTTCGTTTTATTCTATATTCTTTTATTATTTTTGTGACTCAATTAAAATTTTTTTTTAAGAATAGTAAACATTTTATAAATAACCTAGAAAATTACTATCTGTAAAGCATACAAAATATTTCAAATTTAAAGTACCTAATAATTCAATTGATTAAATCATTTGATTATTTAATATTCTTTTATAGCCATCTCTCAACAACTATTGGTAGATAAAGGACCAATTGACTTAATTCAGGAAAAGCAAGATGTTTTTTTATCTATAATTATACATGGAAATAAATTGGAATTAACGACAATTTTTCGAGCTTTCAATAGAATTTTAAAAAGTATTTAATAATTTATATTGCTATAATGTAGCTAGTTAATTATACAATACATTTGAATATAATCAAATATTTTTTTATTTGTTTATAGTTGTACAGAATTTTGTATGTCATTTGGAAAAGAAAGCTGAACAGTATAAAGATTTAGATGTTGAACAAGATGAAAAAATCAAATTACTATCAATAAATAAAATATTAGCTTATATCGTATCTACAATATCATGTATTATAGAAGATCAAATTGCAGACAATAATAATAATATGGAATATGTTGGCAAAGTTAGTAACTTATTTTTTATTTAAACAATAAAAATTTTCTTATATTCTGTAACTTTTTTCATTGTTATTTAGCGTAAGAAAAATATACAAAAGTCAGATGTTGTAGAAGAATGGGAAGTGGAACGACAGAAAGCAATGGAAGTAATACACCGGTGGTTACAATTACCCTTAAAAAATTTATGGACGCCACCTGTAGTTGAAGATTCATTCGTTGGGTAAGTATAATAAAAAATAAAAATTGTGTGATATATCATTAATTAAGCATGATTTTCTATGCTTACTTCTACTGTCATAAAATATTTTGTTTAATATTTTTATTTAATCATTGTATTTTAGGACATTAAGTCAAATGTGTTACAAAGTATTAGAAAAAACAAAAGATATGAGATCTAAAATTTTTAGAAACCTAATTTTTCAGGTAATATTTTATATTTATATTAATTTTTAGTATAGAAAAATATGATTAATTTTTTAATAGTATTGTCGAAATAATAGTGTATTTATAACAAATAAAAGAATGATTTTTTAGATTCTTGGTATTTTGGTAAAAAAGTACAATCATGGTATAGCTTGTGTTGTTCGAATTATACAACTTGCTAAATTATATGAAGCTCTTGCTGCACCAATTGGAGTTGGAGTAGTACTCATGGTTACTGAATGTGGTTGCACCGGATTGATAAAAGAAATTGCCCGAGAGATAGGTGAAAATGAGCCTAAAGAAGCAGATGCTCGTAATTTCAGTAATTTTCTTGAATCTATTGCTTTGACCCAAGCAGACATTGTATTACCTATTTTAGATATTATAATGGATTATCTCGGTGACGAAGTAAGTTTTAATAATTAATTATACGTTTGTTTTTAAGATTAATATTTCTTTAATAAATCCATAAATTTTTATTATTAATTACTTTTTTAATAGTGTTACATCATGAGAAATTGTGCAATTGGTGTTATGGGAATTATTGTTGCTAATGCTCTCACTGGTGAGGACTTAACATCTGAAAAACGTGCCTTAAGAGATGAATGCTTGGACAACTTAGAGGAACATATTTTAGATAGTAATGCATATGTTAGATCAAAAGTTCTGCAAACATGGCAAAAACTTTGCTGCGAAGGTGCTGTACCCTTATCTAGACAAAATCATTTGTTAAAAGCGTCTGTTTTAAGATTAGAAGACAAAAGTGCAAACGTTAGAAAACAAGCCTTACAGCTACTACGCACAATTCTTCAAAGTAATCCTTTTGCATCTAAGGTATAATTTAATTTCTCTTTTAAAAAAATATAATTTATTTAAAATATATTTTTTATACATAATAATATATATATCTAAAAATAAACAATTTTTAGATGAATCAAGAAAAATTTGCTCAAAATCTTGAGCAGGCCAAAGCTGAATTAAAACAACTTCAAACTGATGTATATCATACTGTTGGAGCAGAAGAAGAGAAGGAAGAATTATGGAAGACGCAGCTTCCATTAATTGAAGAAGCAATTGATCATCTTACAGAAGAAAATAGTATGTAACATTAATTAATAATTAATCATATATTTTAAAATATATTTGTATTAATTAATTCATTATGTATAGAGAATAATACAGCCAACAATATCGAAGAAAACGACGAAAAGGATGATGAAATAGATATTAAAGAAACTTTTGATAAAATACAAACTTATATACTGAAAGACAAATGTTTAATAGCCGTTAAGTATTTGCAGAATTTATTTATGCAGTCAGGCTTTTCAAAGGAGATGAAAAATATATCAGAAGAAACTAAAAAGGAAGCATTACTTTTATTTATGTATAAAATATTTATGAATTCAAGTTCTAAACAAGGTAGTGAGAATAAGAATGAAAAAGAAAGTTCTAAAAAAACTTTAACAACTGACCAAGAAGAATTAAAACAATTGGATCAAATTAAAGTTAAAAAGAAACTTGTCGATTATTTACAGGTACATTATTAGTATTGGAAAATTACTATGAATATTAGATATATTTTAAGTTAAAATATCAAATTTGAAAATTAATATGATTAAATGATATTTTTAATGTTTCATAAAATATTTTTTTCAAAACTATAGTAATAAAAATTTTGCATTAATAATACATAATTTAGAATTATTAAAAATTTATATTACCAATAAGTTATTGTAATTTTTAAGATTATTGAAGGTATGTATTTGGACGTATATAATCAATATACTTTTATCATGGTTTAAGCATTTGTAATTATCCGTTTGTTTTATATTTTATTTTAATTCAGTCTATTGATATTTTATTTTTATTTTATTCTTGTTGTAGAATTGTTATACATTTTCGATTGAATTAGAAAAAACCATACCTATTGTAGAAAAATTATTATATTCAATAAATCCTGGTGATGCAATAGAAGCATGCTCCTTTCTTGGTTCGGCATATCAATTTCAAATAGCTGGAGCATTACCAGGTGTACGAAAAGCACTTTTCCAAATTTTTTGCCGTGATCAATCAGTTAGAGATAACTTGGCCAACGTTTACAAAGAAATCTATTTAAATTATTCAAACAACCAAATGTCCAGTCGCGCAAAAACTCTTCAATCTGTCAAATCCCTTATTCAATTATTAGATGGAATGTTACCTGGACAAAGTGCAGCACTTGCTAAGCTTATAGTCTCATGGAGAAATAATAATGAACTTGACGGCGAAGCTTTAAAGGTAATTTTACTTCGAAACCATTTATATTTTAAAATAAATTTGTAAAAATAAAATTAATTTTATTTACAGGTAATGTGGGAAATGTTTTCGTTAAAATTACCAAATACAACTCCTGAAGAAAGCAGATCTGCTTTAATGCTCTTAACCATGGCAGCTCAAGCAGAACCAAATATTATTACTGACAACTTAGATGTTCTTATTAAAGTCGGATTAGGTTTACGAGCGCAAACGGATTTATTATTAGCTCGAGATACTTGCAGAGCATTTCTAGCTATCAAACAAGACAGTTCCAAAGATATCGATAAATGCCCTATCAGGTAATTTATTAGTATAATGCTCATATTAATGTTTATGATATTAAAATTACGTGAATTTAATTGGACTTTATTATTACATTATAGATATGCTAACGATTATGAAATATTTACTCAAATATGTAAGCTTTTAAAACAAAATTTTTTTGAAGAAATTGAAAATGGATATATTTCATTTGCAACAGATGCCATAAATGCTATCTATCATGTAAGTATACAAATTAAAATATATTTTATAATAAAAATATATTTTAGTGTTTTTAAATAAGTGATTTTTGTGATAATATTATGATATTCTAATTATTCTTCTTGAAAGAGTAAAAATTGACAAAATTCATGAAAATGTCTATTTTATTTAATATTAAATTGACAATAAAAATCATCTATTATAATTATAGTTAGCAGATCAGCCAGCTCCACTCATCGAAGAAGTTCTGGCTCACATTGGTAAAACTGGAAATTTTATTCGTGTTTCCGGTAGTACTGAAAACACAGTTGAGATATCCTCTGTATATGTTTCTCGTTTCTTGTTCCTTATTGGGCATACAGGCATTCGTGAAATGGTATATTTAGATCAGTCAGTTTATAAAGAACTAAAACGTCGTAATGCCGTGTGTGAGCAAAAGAAAGAAATGTGCTTACGTATAAGTAACAAAAATCGGCGTAAATCTATCAATACCTCGAATGTATCAGTGTCATCAAATACGTCTTCGATATTAGGAAGTGCCCAACGCTCAATAAGAGTCAATAGGAATGAAGATGACCAAGAGGATGGAATGGAAGGCGCTACAGCAGATGATGCAGATGCCGAGCATATTAATCTGTGCTTAGAGGAGGAATTATTGAGTGATAGCGGTCTTCTTAACAAATTTATGTACGTACATAGAATAAGTTTTTATTGTAATTGTAGAAAAAATAGTTTTGAACGATCATAGTTTCCAAAATAATTTACATGAAAATGTCATTGAAAAGTGCTTTAAAACTATTTTAATTAATTTAGCAAAATATTAACATAATATTGTTATGTTATTTTAATAATTTTTGTTGATTTTAATTGCTTCAGATAATTTTAAAAATATTTTTGCTTATTAAATGTCATAGTAATGATACTATAACTATACTATAAAACTATACTGTATGCTTTATCAACTGATTTTATCTATTATATTTGACTAATTAAGTTATATTATATGAGACATAAATTTCAATTTTATTATACAACTTAATTGTATATTTTTTACAGACCATTAGTTTTAGATGTTTGTCAACACCCAGAAAAGTATACCGACGAAGTTGTGCAAGCACATGGTGTATTAGCGCTGAGCAAATTGATGACAATAAGCTCAAATTTTTGCGAGGCAAACTTGCAGTTATTTGTAACTATTTTAGAACGCTCGTCGTATCCGCAAATTAGGGCTAATATTCTCGTAGGATTAGCTGATTTAATGACCAGATTCCCCAATCAGATTGAACCTTGGACTTCTCATATTTATGGACGGTTAGCTATATTTAAAAAATTCTATTCGATCTAAATTTTCCCTATATATATTATATGTTTTGTTACTTTGTTTAGGCTTAAAGATGAAAATCTTAATGTACGTAGTACCTGTGTTCGAATGTTGTCTAATTTAATATTAGGTGAAATGATTCGTGTTAAAGGACAAGTTGCTCAATTGGCGCTTTGCATGGTCGATGAAAATGAAACGATTCGATATGATACAAAGCAGTTATTCAAAGATTTATCACATAAAGGATATGCACTTTACAATGTTATGCCCGATATACTCTCCTGTTTATCTGATTCGGAATTAAATTTATCAGAACAAAATTTCCAAGAAATTATCAAGTAATTACTTTTATTTTTAATCATAACAAAATTAATTATTAATTGCAATGTAAACAATTTTATTTAGAAATATAACTATTCTAGTAAATTTATAATTTTGATATTTCAAGTAAATTTTAATAGCATATTTGCATGAAAGTTTATAGAAAATATAAGATTATTGATCAATGAACAATGAACAATGAACATATAATTATACATATTTATATTTTTAATTATCAAATTTTACTTTAGAGTAAAAATAAAAATTTAATTAAAATTAAAAATTAGATGAATAATATTGATTTATTTAAAAATGTGTTTTAATAATTGCTTGTATAGGTATATTTTGGGACTTTTAAAAAAAGATCGACAAGTGGATAGTATAATCGAAAAACTTTGCAGCCGATTTAAATTGGCTACCACAGAGCGACAATGGCGTGATTTGTCTTACTGTCTTTCACTTTTAAAATTTAGTGCTAAAGGTATGAAATAATAAAATAAAATTATATAATAATTTTCTTTCTAACGCATTAGAATGGTTTTTATAATTTCAGATATTCCTTTATGTTTGCTCAATAATTGCTTTTAATTATGTTATTATAGATTTTGTAAATTCAATTAGATAAAATTTAATAAGTGAGACATTAATTAAAATGTTATATTATTAAATATTTAATTTTATACAAAAAATTATAATTTTTATTTCATTTAGACTGTTTTATTACAGGTATAAGAATATTGATTGAAGGATTACCTCTTTTAAAAGACAAGATTCACAACAATGATCTTCAGAAAGCATTGAGCTCTATAATTGAACAAACCAAACGACGACCTGAAGCTAAAAATGCCTGCTTAGAATTAGAGGAAAAAGTGAAAGATTTGTTGGAAAGATCAGAAAACTCAGAAGACGTATCCAAGTCCTTATCAAATAACGAAGCAATGCCGCCTCCATTAAGGCCAGTACCTAAATCTACCAAATCAAAAAAAAAATCTCGCCGCACAAAGCCGGATGAAATTGAGAGTGATGACAATGAAGATTATGAAAATCGGTCATTCAGTAGAAATAATAGTACTATTAGAAGTAGTAAGTGTTACATTTTTTATTTTAATATTATTTTATTATTTTAGTTAACAGTCATAAGTTTTTTTTTTTTTAATTTAAGGGTGGATTCAAATTCAAATAATCTGAATAGTGTATTTGTTTTTTATACATGTTAAATAACGAAAATTATTTTTGGTCAATAATATTTTTTTATAATTTTATAACTACAACAAAAATATGGTGAGCGTTTATATTAAAGTAATTACATGTTTTAAGTTAAAATTCAGAAGTAGCGTATTGATAAAAACGTTCAAAATCCATTTATTAGTCCGCGTTTTAAATCATAATTCAAATCAAATTTTTAAATATCTATTCAAAAATATTTTTTTTTAATGATATATATATATATTTCAGTTTTAATTATAAAAGCACAATAACATAATCGATGAAATATTTATTTTTAATATTTTTATTTTATAAACGATTAAAACTCTTAATCTTCGAAATTTAACTTCTAATTGGATACTATAAAATTATTGGCACAATAATTGAATTTAAAAAATTTTAGACAAATATTAAGATATATTTGTGAAAGTGCCTTTTTTGTACAGAGAAAAATTGAAATTTTACTGGAAATTCTATAAATTCAGACAAAAATTATATTATTGATATTATTTTCAATTAAAAATGCCTTTTATTGTTGAAAAGTAGAATGAATATTTATATTTACAATTAATTAAAAATTCTTCCTAAGTACATAAAAAAATATAATTTGATTCTTGTTAGTATTTTATTATAATATTTTATAAAAATATTATAAACCAATATTTTTTTATATTATATATTTAATATTAGCAAGAAGAACGAGGTCTGTATCCAAGGATAATTCCTCTATAGACAGTGGATCTGAAGAAATAGAGATTAATAAGACACCTTCAAGATTTCCAAGGAAGTGCCGCACAAGTTCATCAGAATCTAGAGTAATTAAAAATATGAATACGTCAGGTAGTAAGATTTTCCATTGATAAGTTTAATTAAAAATTTTAAATAATTAAAATATTTTTTATATGCACATATAATATGTATATTTTACTTAATCTCTTGTTAATATTTTAGTTGAAAATAATGCTGTGAATACAGCAAAGAAAACTCCACGGCGAAAAAAAGACAATGATTTGAATACAACTATACTACCTCCATTAAAAAGAACACGATCTTCAACGAGTTAAATTTATTTTACTCGTGCAAATAAAATACAATATAAATATTCATTGTATGGCAATTTGTAAATATTAAGTAACATTTTCTAAAAAAAAATAAATATATAAATCTCTTTTATGAACATTTTATATTTTCAATATTTGTACATTTCAACATTTATATATGTAGATATATGTGTAACAACTTTTAACATTTAAAATGCATTGATTTCATGGATCTTTTTATACATACAATAAATTGTTCAAATTTATTACAAATGATTTTTTCTAAAAATTTACAATTTAAATTCATTTGTAACTTTATATTTGAATGTATTATTAAAACGAAAAAATATTTATAAAAATTTAATATTGTTAGTGAGTTTTTCTTATTATTAATATTTAATATATCCTTCGCTTATAAATTATACTGGAATAACTTCTGTTTTATAATCCTTAGTTACTAAATGTAAAAGACTACCATTTAAGGGCCTTTCTTGTACTTTTGTCCATTTCCAAAACAGTCTGTAATAATTTTAACATGAAAACATTAAGTATTATTTTATACATATACATATATTCTTATGACACTTACTCTGAAATAAAATTTAATGGTGTCCAAGTTTTGTCATCTGCTTTTGGCATCAATTTGCGATTCATTTTTGTATCTAATACACTTGGTAAAATACAAGCAACTAAGGATTTTGCTGGAAGCCCACCTTTTTCAGTTGCTAATGATTTGGTCAAATGATGAACAGCTGCTTTAGCCATTCCATAGCCAATCATACCTGCGTAGAAATTTAGATTTTATACATTTTTAATCTTACTTTGATTATAATTATTCATAAATTTACCTGGAGTTCCTTCAAGTGCAGCTTTAGCACCAGTTAATGCAAGGAATCCACCTTCTTTCAAATATTGTGAAGCAATTTTTGCTGCTATGATTGAACTCCAAACACTTTGCTTCCACATTAAATCACTGTTTTTTATGAAATCCTTATTAGCAGCATCTCCACCAGCCCAACCACCAGCAACACAAATTATTCCATCAAGTTTATTATCTCCAAGAATTCCTTTTAATTCAGCTAAAATAATTTGTTCCTAAAATGGCAATTAATAGCTCTTTAATACATATATGTATATTTTTTATACTATATTTATTGTGAAATATTACCTGTTCAACACAATTTTGTTCAATATTAACAACAATATTTTCATTGGCATTACAATTAGGTTTTGTATCGATAGATCCAACCCACTAAAAAGTAATTAATACAATTGTTTAAATTATAATTTATACATATTAAATATTATAATTAATTTTTAAATTTTATTAATTATATAAATGAAAGTAATAGATAATATAATGAATGTAAAAGATATTTCGAAAGATAAATTAGCTATTTTTATTTAGAAAATAATTAATATTTTCAATTAAAATTATAAAATTTGAATAGTTTTGTTAAATCATTGCTATGTTAGAGCATTTATAAAATCCATTTTTATTATTATTTTTTTATTTTTATTTAAAAAAATAATTATATTTAGGTAAAAATATAAAAGCTAAAAAATTTTATAAAATCTCAATGCTAGGAATTTGTAAAATCACGTATAGGTTACATTAATATTCTATATATAAATTTCGAAAGTAAATTGAATGTCTCAATGTCCTTGACAATATCTCCTTGCTTTATAATTATGCAGAATATCTAAAAAAAAAAAACTAAAATATGTGACAAAGTATTTTATATAGTATTTGAAATAAATCTACTTTATATTTTATTTTACTTTATATTTATTCATATTTAAATTAGAAAAAATGATTAAATATAATATAGACTAATTTTCATATTACAGCAACGTATAAATTATCTTTTGTGTAGAAATAATTTACACAAATTTTTTTCAACCAAATCATTCACGGTTTAATAATTAAATGTTGTTAAAATTTTCGGATAAAAATTATCTTTAAATTTAATTTAAAAAGAAATATTAAGAAATATTATTATCGGTCTTAATGCATCTGCAAATATTATTTGCAATATTAGACACTTCCCAAATTAAGGAAATCTTGACGCTTCAATATATTTAATAACTATTCTTTTAACACAATTAATTCTTATGCACATTAATACGAATAAAGCTTATAAATACTTGATAAATAATGAAATTCTTATTTTAATATTCATTTTAACATATGGCAGCTCGTAATCGATATAACAGCAACAAGCGATTTTTGCTCCACATAATTTTCCATAAAAATTATATTAATTAATTAATATTATAGTACGTCATTATTTAGAAACTTACCCAATTCTTCGATATAAAAGTATCGACGCAGGCAGAGCCTAATGCGCCCTTTCCACCATAAATAACAACTCGTCCGGATACCGCCGGGATAGATGCAGATTCGAAATCTGCCATAGTCAAAGAGAAATAATGAGGACAAATTTCAACAGACGCTAATCCGTCGCTAGTCCAGCCGCTAGTGGTTGTGCGATCAGCAAGGAAGTGAAACGAAGGATAAGCAAAAAATTGCTATGGGAAAACAACGCCGTACGAATATCGACGGAAATGGGCGAAGATATACCTTGTTTATGTTATGTCAGGTTGAATATCTCTTATATATGACATCGATGTAATATACGCACGAAAAAGAAAATATAAAAATATTAATAGAATAGAGGAAAAATTTATTTATTATTTTATTTACGTAAAAAATTGAACACAAAGTTGATTCACGTTCAATATAATTTATCACATAGTCATAACATGATGAAATTATTAATTTTATGTCAACAATTGCATTAAACATAAGTACAAATTCAATCAATATATCAATTTATACCGAGATAGTTCAAGTTATTTTAATGTTTTTAACCGAATATCTTTCGTAATGGGACTTGTTATTACGATTATAACTTTGAAGTATTCTAGTTAAGAGAAGACTACATATAAGTTTTATATTATCAATTAAAAAAACTTAAAACGCTTAACTTGGTTAATAATTTTTTTAATTTTACAAATGTAGTTTTGTTTATTTGAATATCAATTCATATGAATTGATCATCATGTCATTAATTATGTATAAAATCTTGTTATTAGGATATATTTAATAGTATGAAAAGTATATAGTAATAAAAAATTTAGCAAATTTGTATGCGATTCTTCCTAAAGATCACTGATAAATATTATTATTTTATATGGTTCGATGTTGTACTTTTCATATGCAACTTGCTGCAAGTAACATTTAACTATATTTAAAAAAAATAAAAACAGAATGATACAAGTAAAGAATTAATATAGAATTAACAAATGTGTTTAACATTAAATATGGTATAATGAAGATTTAAAAAAAAATTGAATATTCAAAGATGCCAGTTTTAGCATTTCTATTTTCTCCAATGCAGATTCACTTTTTATATATAACAATAAAAAGAAAATAAACATGAATCTAAACTTTGGATTTAATATATACCATTAAATTTATTTTATACAATTTTATATTAAAAAAATTACCACCTAGATATTTAAAAAATTTTATCAAATTCTAATATTATTTAGATTGATGAATAATAAATCAATTCAAGGATTTAGAAAATTTTTTTCGATAAACAGTTTAAGAATTATATATTTCCTTTAAGTAATTAAAATAACTAGATACATTTATAAATTTTAAATTAACTTAATCAAATCTATCATAAAGATAAAAAATTATTATAGTTTTGATAATAAATATACCTAGCAATTCCTATTTTTATATATTTACATTTTAAGTGAATTATTATACTATTATAAAAATATTAAGTTTTTTTTTCTTGTGTAGAATTATAAATATTTTAAGTAATAGTTATGCTTATTAAAAAAAAAAATAGAAATTTAAAAGAACAATTACTTTTGCATATTAGATATATAAAAACTTAGTATATATAACATAGTACAAGAAACTTTTAGATATAATAAAATGAACATCAATGATTATTTGAGTTAGAAACCTTTTTCCATATTCAATTAGGTAAATCCTTATGTGCAAGTATCCAAAAATGATTTTTAACACAATCTAATGGTATTCTATCTGTACTTTTTCGTTTAATCAATTTTGATATGAGATCCTTTGCTCCAGGTGTTACTTGCGAAGGCCAGGGAATGACTACACTCTTAATTTTTGCATAAGTTTCATCAGATGTTTCACTCAAAAACGGTGGGCGACCAACAAGAAATTCATAACATAAAATTCCTAAACACCAGTGATCAACGTAGATATCATATTTTTGGCCAGTGACCATTTCTGGTGGAAGATAATCCAGTGTTCCACACATTGTATTGCGCTTTGTTGAAGGTGCATGAACAGACCAACCAAAGTCAGCTAACTTAATATCTCCATTGTGTGTTAATAATAAATTTTCTGGTTTTATATCTCGGTGAATAACATTATTTTGGTGGCAATATTCCAGTGCATCTGCAACTTGATAAGTATATTTGGCAGAGAGGTGTTCACTAAATCGTTCTTTTGGTTGACGCTTTAATTCTTTGTAGAGTTCACCTCTTGCCGCAAATTCAAGTACCAAATATATTCGTTTTTCATCATGAAAATATGTTAATAATTGCAAGATATGAGGATGTCTCAAATGTGATTGAATTTCTATTTCACGTAAAGCTTGTTTCTCAACTCTAGATTTCATTAGTTCAGTCTTAAAGAGTGTTTTTAGAGCAACCATATAATGAGTTGTCTTTTCTCTGGCTAGGTACACTCTACCAAATTTACCTCTTCCTAAAGGAGCACCAATTTCAAAATCCTCTAGACTCCATTGATAGCTGTAAACATTTCATAATAAAATTCAAACATTACTTCTTTTTAAAATATTTGAATTCTTACATTAAGAAGTTAATTAATAATATAAATCATTTTTAATTATGTCATAACTATTCTTTTATTTAAGCATTATAATTTTGTTAACCTTATTTAATAAATAAATAAATAAATAAATAAATAAATAAATATATATATATATATATATATATATATATTAATGTGATTATATACCTATTATCACGTTCTTCTATATGTTCCTTCATATATCGTATACTTGCTTCAACGTCCTTAACATAATCTTGAGGTATTTTTTGTGGAACTTTAAATATTTCAGTTTTCATAATTATCTAGAATTATTCAATACTTTTTAAATATAAATTATCTGTAATTTTTAATTCAACGTATTAATAAAATTGGCAATCTCATATCTAATAAACAAAATTTTTACTTGATATTTTAAAATTGTATTTCTATGAAGTAAAAAAATTTGTAACATTCATTATTGAATTTTTAATAGTTATTATAATTTTAAAATTATACATAATATTTATAAAATGTGCATGAATGAAAATAAATTAAGTCAATTTTAAATAAACAAAATATTTAAAGGGTCCATCTAATAATTCTTATTCAGTCTATATATTATATGTAAACATTAACAAATTTTATAAACAATTTTTGAACTATGATATTAAATAACTGTTTCATTAGTTTATAATTCATATAACATTATAATAAAAGAATTATATATACACATATATATTGAAAAATTTATTACTAAAAATAAAATTACCTTAACTTATGTATTACATTAAATTATAAGTTTTAGTTTTCTAATTAGACTCACAAGTTATTTTAATTTAAAAACTATTGATATTTAACCGTCTAATTCAACGATCAACGATCAGCTAACAATGCTGCCAAAATTAAAACTCTAAAAATTGTATTTTTGAGTATTTCAAATCATGTGATTTCGATACGCCAATCAGAAATTTGAAGGATTGAATGGCGAGAAAAATACGCGCGAAATTATCACAAATGGTAATGTTTTGCAAAGTTATTAAAAAAAAAAAAAAACAAAAAAAAAAACAATAGCATAAATTATAAATAGAATAATAAATTTAAATAACAATTCAATAAATTCACAGCATTTTACTTATATATTATTATATTATAAGTAATAAATATATTTTACAAATCCGATTATTTTTTCAATGCTTACTCACTGATTTTTTTCTGCTAACTTAACAATTTCAAATTGATTTTATTTATTAATAATATTTAATACCATTTTACAGTGTAATTATGGATTATATACCTAAAGAAAAATTTACTGTTAAACCAGAAATAAGTATTCTTAAAGAAACTTACCCTCATGATGTACAATTATATAAAATACCACCAACAGGTGAAATTTCATTGCTCGAATTTCAAGACTATGCTTTGGAAAGACAAAAAGGTATTTTTTTAATATTTAAATCTAAATGTTTCAAATAATGGTACATTTTAAATATATAAAAACTTAAACTTTTATCCAATATAAATTTAAACTTCAGTTTTACAGTTACTTGAACTTATACTTACCCAACAACACTCAACACTTGAAGAAACCAAATTAGCATTTACAAATTTATTAAGAAAAGAAGGCTATTATCAGTATGCAAAGCTGTTGAATGCACAGGGTTCTGATTCTAATAATGAAGATTTAGAAGCAAGACGAAAAGATCACATATCCCATTATGTATTAAGATTAGCTTATTCTTTAGAAGAAGATTTACAGAATTACATGCTCGTTCATGAAACAGAATTTTTCAAATTAAGATTTGCTTCAATGAATAAAGAAGATCTTAGTAAATTTTTAATTACAAGTGGGATTCATTATTCGCAAGTAAATAAATGAAAGATTTCACTAAAACCTATTTTAGTTCTATGTAATATATTTCAAAAATGAAAAATCAATTTATATTTACATTGTAGAAGATTTCGATACTCGATTTATTATACAATGAATGTATTATATCATTACTTAATAATTATGTATTTTTTAATAAGAGAATTGAAAAGTATTTAAAAATATCTAATACTGAATATTTTTATGAAATTTTACTAAATTTTGTGTAACTTATATTCTTGAAAGTAAATGAATTTTCAAAATTATGGATAATATGAAAATTTTTTTGACAAATCAAGATTATTTATTTAAAATTATATTTTATCACTAAATAATAATTATTACATTTTAGATTTCACAAGAGTTTAAAGAGCAAAATAGAGAAAATTTACGTGCATCAACTGTATTCACTGGTGATTTTGAAAATATGGATTTTTATGAATTACCATTTGATGAAGTTGTTGATTTGATAAATGATAGAAAAGTATATGTACATCGTGGAATTGCATATGTTCCTCAAAGTGAGTTCATTAGTGTATTTGTTACACACTTTCGAAGTAATTTAGCTGTAGAATTAAATGTGAGTTTCTATTAAATATTTATGTATTTTTAATTTTCTAACAACATTAATGTAAATATTAATTTTAGAGAGCTAAAAAATTTGTTGTTACAAATCTTAGTGATGATAGGTTACAGCATTTTATAAAAAATCTTCCAGACTGTTTTTCAGGAATGTCAAAAGTAGTTTGGTCATCAGAAAATACACCAATTTCCAAATTAAATGATGTAAGAAATTTTTAATAAAATAAACAAAACAAATATAAAATACTGATAATAATTTTTTTTTGTTAAGTTGTCAAAGACGTCTTATCCACTCTGTATGAGAATAATGCATGAACATTTGAAAACAAATCACCATCTAAAGAATACAGGACGTTTACAATATGGATTATTTTTAAAAGGTATAGGGGTTACTTTAGATGATTCTATTGAATTTTGGAAGAGTGAAATGACAAAAAAGGAAGATATAAATGAAGATAAATTTAATAAACAGTATTTGTATCAAATACAGTATAATTATGGTAAAGTCGGAAGACGTGTTAATTATAGACCTCCTGGTTGCACTAAATTGGTAGTTGATCCTGTTGGACCAGGAGAAATTCATGGTTGTCCATTTAAACATATGGACATAGACGAACTTACAAAAAAACTTATAGAGTATAAAATATCTCCATCGGGTAATAAAAATATATTCAATAAAATAATATTTCTAATTTTGTACAATTTCAATGGAAATAAGTTAATTCTTATAAAATATTAAAAGAAATATCTTAAACAATATTTTCAAAATTTTCAATATTTATATAAATAATTTATAGTAGTTCATATTATATTTACATGAAGCTTATTTTATTTATAGAAAAATTAATTATTTAAAAAAAAAAAAGATACAATTTTCAAGAATAATTAATCTTAAACTCATATAAAAGTAAGTTAGTTTTACCGTTTCTTTATTCAGCAATTCTTAACTTAAGTAATTACAAATGATAAATAGAATTTTTTCATAACATCAATCTGTAGTTCTATTTATTCAATTGAGATTAAATGATTTTTATTTTAATTTCAAAACTAGTTAAAAAAATCTTTTTATTTCGTTCAGTTTTATTTGATTAACTATTGATACACATTTATATTATATCGATAATTTTATATTTTAGATATTCATGAAATTAGTAAGTATGCCACTGAAGGTCGTTATAATTTAGCTTGCACAACGTACTTCGAGAGTACACATAAGAAATACCCTGAAAAAATATTTTTTCATCCAAATCAGTATTTTGAACAAAGTCGATTAATATTAAATAAAAATGAAATAAAAGGTTAGTAAATATATGCTATTTAGTAATATTTAATTATAATTGAAATAATTTTATGTATTATAATATAGCAGAATCTTAAACGTTATGCATTAATGTTTGCTGTATTATTATATTCAATTACTAAGTACTCTAAAACAGTACTAATAAACAATAACCTTGAATTCTTATAAAATTAAATATTTCAATATTAAGTCTTTAATTTTTTATATAGTATGATCTATTGATTTTTTAATACACATCAATATATTTTTTTCAATTAATATATTATAATTAAATTTGTAAACAAAGATACAGTATGCATAATATATTAAATACAATCACTTACTATATAATGTTTACTGTATATATATATATATATATTTAGATATTATACAATCATATAAGTAAAGTTTTAATTCATTTACCAGCTGATTTTCTTTTTACTTTTGTTTTTCTAGAAGAAGAAAATACTATACAGGATAAGTACGCGGAATTATCTCCGGAGAATATTTCACAATCAGCTAAAATAAAAGTTGAAAAAAATATAAACACAAGTAATTCCACTACACCATCTAAAACAATTGAAAGGAAAGTTAAAACGATAGATAGAAAAATGGGAAAGATGGATTCATTGAACATTGCAGCACTATTAAACGATGATAGCGATTGAGTGTATAGTTTTTGTCAACTTTTTGTTTTTCTTTCTAAACATGTATAATTTATACTTATTTTCTTCATTTTAAATTTTAATACTTATTTATATTTTTTATTAATAAATAATTTATAAAAATACACTTTAAAAGTATGTGTAGAGTTTATAAGGATTTGTTCGCATATTTTAGACATAACTGCTGACTTCAGATAAATGTTGATATTTTGGAATAAAATTTTCACTAACATCTTGAATCATACTTATCACCATTTTCTCGAGATTAAATTCATGCGTCCAGTTCCAATCTTTTCGGGCTTCGCTGTCATCAAATACCTGTGGCCATGTATTTGCTAAACATATAAAAAATCAATTTTGAAATGTACTAAGATTTACCATTTCTATATATTTAATTAATTTATTTGAAATATTGATTCTACAATGCAACATTATTAGATTGAACAACAACGAATGTAAATAACGAATTAAAATTAAATAGATCTATCTGTACATGAATATTAAGAATCATTAATTATCTAGAATTATTTTTCCATAAAATTCAGCTTAAGAACATCCTTTTTAAGTATTATTTCGAATAATCATTTGCAACTATTTAGTGTATTTTCGTTCTAAATTTTAGATACCTATGTTTTGACGACTGTCTGGTTTATAAGAAACATGCAGATCAGGAATATGCTTTTTGATTTCATTAAACAGCTCTTCGGGTGTGAAACTCATAGCAGTAACATTATAAACGCGCCTCCGAAGTCGCTCATTCGGAGCATTAAGAAACTGGAAAAGAGCTGCAAGACAATCGTCGATATACATCATCGGTAGTCTCGTGTGCGGTTCCAAGTAACACTTGTATCGTTTACGCAGCAAGCCTTCATGAAATACGGCGACAGCATAATCTGATAAAAAAAATCTATTAGTTCACTGATTATTATTGGAACCAAGTATTGCCTTCTGTAAATAACTATACCAATTTCGATGTAAAAAAAAAATTAGAAATTAAATGATCGAGCAGGTCCATATTATTGACAATTCAAAATCAATATATTATTGTTTGAAAATATATATGAAATAGTATTATTTTTAACATTTTTTACAAAGTTCATTTTAAATTAGTACATAATATTGAACAAAACTTTTATTTGAATATCAGTTTACATTACGTAGATATGAAAATATTTTTATTGCACAAAACTTGATTCCTATAAATGTAAAACTAAATTTATGAAAATATAAAAATTAAGATATTTTCATAAGCATACAAAAATAAAGTTAAGTATATTAATCATGAGTATCAATTAAAGTATATTTTCTTTTCTTTAATTTTTCTATTTAAAGAACTACACAGTTTTTAAATATTATTGTGGAATGTTCAGATTAAAAAAAAATTTCTATGCAATACTACTTTATACTATTAATATTTGAATTTGTAATTTAAAATTACTTGTCATAATCAACAATATTTCATAGTCTGAAAAACTTAACTAAAAACAGGTTACATTCGAGGACTGATTAATTTCTATTAAAGTATATTAACGCACATAAATCTCATTATTTTCTATACACGCAAAGGCGCATTTTTACATTTACGGATGGGGAAATAAATGACACATAGTTTGCAACTCCACGACTTTACTTGGACAACGGTTCTCCAATTATGGTCTCCTTCATGGGTTACGTTATTACACAATTACTTTTGGCTAGGTTTTGACATAGTATAACGCGCTCTACTTACCATGTAAACGTACCTAGGATTTCAAGTCAAACACTTATTATTTTTTTTTTTTAATTCACGATACAGACTCGTAGATTTATAAGCTGCGTGTTTCATTTGTTAAATTTTTTCTTTGACGAAATGTGCTAAGATTCTGATATCTTATGAAAACATAAATACAATTGATTTATATATTTTATTTTTATCATAGGTACCTAATGGAAACTATTAACAAAAATGTATTGAATATTTATTTTTCTTATCTCGTTATAGATATTTTGTTTATTTTATTTAATAAAGATTTAATTTAATATAAAAATATCTTCATATTTTATAAATGTATTTTTTATTTAATTTAATTGAAAAGAAATTGTATTCTAGTAAGTACAACTAATTTAATAGCTCGAAATAATCTAATTTCCTTATAAATGTAAAAAAATTGAAAATAATGTAATTTATTTAAATAGCCTTAAACAATTATATATTATATATTATATTAAAGATTGTTATACGAATTGTGAATTGAATGAATTCAAGTATTGGATTAATTTATCTTGTTATATAATTGCTTATATATCTCGTCGTTTGTATAAAGTAGAAATTACTGTTATTAATTTAGAAAGTAACATTTTTATGAAAAATGTAATATCTTATAATAAATAAACTTAAAATTTTTCTTTTAATCATTAGTAGTATACTGATTAATATGATATAATTAATAATATTATATAAAAAATTTTAATTTAACGATTACTTTAATATCAATATTTATCATTTACATTAAATATCTTTACTAATGCAAGGAAAATCTCTTACTCTAAACAATATTGAATAGTAAAAATATATTATAAGTATCTATTTCAATGCAATTTTTAATATATTATTCTATTTAATATATTTTTTAATTATCTAAACTCTAATAATATATTAAAATTATGAAAAAAAAGGTTGTCTCTATTTATTTTCTTGTTGTAAAAGTTGTGTTGTATAAAAGTGTTTCAACTAATAATACAAAAACTTTCTTTTTTATTACAAATTGCTTTTATTATATAAATAATTTAAATCGAATCATTTTATTCTTAAAAGAGCTGTAATATAATTGTAATAATCTCTTTTTTTTTTTAAATTGTATTACAAACTCAATAATTATGACTTTATAAATATGCAGTGATTATAATAATCATTTTAGCGTAGTTAAAAGATAAATGGAAATGATATTCATAGAGCTATACATTAATAATTTAATATGAAGGTCTGTACAGTTGCTTTTAATCACTCAATACAATGTCATTTTATTTATTCCGTTGTTACAATATAAAAATAACGTAACGTCACTTTTCCAATTATACGCTATTATCTAGCTTTATATTTTTCGTTCTTTACCAGTTGTTCCACCACCTGGTGGATCGCTGCTGATAACCCCGGGGAAGCGGAGACATCGAAAATCAAGTCCAAACTTATGGTGGTAGTATTCACCAAGGAGCTCAGCGTGGACTTTGCTGACACCATAAATAGTGCGTGGACGTTGAATCGTTATGTTTGGCGTTGGATTTCGTGGAGAATCGGGACCAAATGCACCGATCGTTGATGGCACGAAAATACGAAGATTGTATTGTCTTGCCAGCTCGATAACATTATGCATACCTACGTATCAATATGAAATACATAATAATTTCTTGGTTTAAAGAACTTTCAAGTTTACCAAATGATTAACCTTGTCATCTTTCGATGATTTTTTTTATTAAATTTGATAATTATGATTTTGATTTATCTTATTTTAATTGCCTCCAATAACTACGTATAACTATTTAAAAATATCTAATTTAAATACGTATCATTTTTATTTGAAATAATAAGACAAAAATACAAAATCATTTTCACTTAAAAAATGTAATTCTATTACTTATTCTAATTAATTTGCATTACCACCTTATTATAAATAACTAATCTATACGAACTTATATATATATATATATATATGTATATATATGTATATATAGGGAAATTATGTGATAAATATTTATAACTATGCATTTATAATTTTAATAGCAAAAAATTGAATTCTAATTAATAACACGAATGAAATTCATATACATTCGATTTGTAAATTCAATAGTTAGAAAAAACAAAAAGCATAAAACATAGTTTTTAAAAAATATATTGGAATGTCATTTTTATCATATTAATCATTAATTTTCATTTTTATAAAACAAAGTATTTAATGGATGAATATTCAAATATATGTAATTAAATAAAACATGTATGAAACGAAAATGGAAATATAATTATAAACGTGGATTTATATATCAAAATAGCATAATAATAACTACTAAAAAAATGTAGAAATAAAAATTATAGATAAAACTATTAAAAATGATCAAATAATATAGGTTATTATAATATAGGTAGGCAAAAAATACATTCGAATATATATATATATATATATATATATATATATATACACTTATATAAGAACAAGTTAATTAAATTTATTTATATATGTTTATAAATAATAAATATATTTAAAATTACGTAATTTTCATTCTAAATGACCTTAATTATTTTGTGATTGTGAAATAATTGTATTAATTGTAGGTGTATTAATATATATTATATAAATTTGTTAGAACCATGCTTATGAAGGTAGGTAAACAGATCCCGAATAAATGACTCGAAATTACCTACTCAAATAACTTCGTAAAAATAAGAATATATTAATTCTAATAAAATCTTGATTAAAAAAATCATTCTTACCTTTAATCGTTGAGAAGATATTTATATACTTTTGTAATATAAAATATTGGTAGTTAAATTATTATCGTTTTATTTTAATTGTTTTTTGCGGTCTTTAATTATTTTATGTATTGTAGAAACTAACGTCATATCTCAAAAATTAAATTTAATGTAGTTAATTTATATAAAATTCTCTAAATTTAAAATTAAAATTTAAAAAATTAAATTTTGGCATAATGCTTTCAACTATCAATTTTATATTAAATATGTCATCTTTGTTTACCTTATTTTTATGCCAATAGTGTAAAGTTAAAGACTTAAAAAAAAGCTTTATTGTAGAAGTGCTTGCATTTTATTTAGCTAAACAATTGCTCGAAATTTACAGTTCTCATATTTGAAAATTAATATTATGTTTAAGGAGATAAATTAAAAAATTAATCTTTTAATAATTGACAATGAAACAATAAGAATAGAACGATAAAGAAAGTTATATATTTCAATTTATGTATTTTATTGCAATTTCCGAAAAAATAAATTGACATGGAATATTACGGAGGTAAGATACAACGCGTTAATGAGTTGATCGTGAGATCCATGACATTCATTTGTCTAAATCAATTATAATAATTCGATTTCGTTTTGAGATATATTTGTTTTTTCAATTGAAAGAATTTCGAGATTAAAAATGTTAAGATAATCAATTATTTAGAATAATGCTTAAATTGGATATACAGCATTGAATATCGATCCAATTGGTAATTAAATCACTTTGAACTATCAATGAAAATTATGCATTTATACAAGCACATGTTTTTACTATATTTTTTCTGTTTCGATAGTATATCAGAGGTCATCGAGCATAAATATCCATAAACATCTCCATAAACATCAGTTTTATTATTGGCTTTCGAAATTCGAGGTTTAATATACGGGACAACGTGCGTCTCTACCTTTTCGATTATTTCAGGATTTTTTTATATTATAGTTTTATTAAGAAATATTTCTATGGCATCTTACCTTCTATATTGACTCTAACAGCGAGAGGAACATTTTGTTCACCAACAGCGCTCAGCAACGCACTAAAGTGTATCAACCAGTCAATTCTGTAGTTGACAATAATCTTTTGCAGTCCTTTGAAATCAAGAATATCAGCAAAAATGAAAGGCCCGTTCGTCAAACCATTATCCGTGGGTTTTATGATATCAGATAGAATAACGTTCTCCTCGCCATAACTTTTACGTAATAACTTGGCGCATTCTGTGCCCAATTGGCCAAGGCCACCTTTAAATGGTATCTTGATTATTAATATATTCAGGAAACATACACGTTTATTTAATATACGAATTACACTTTTAATTCAGCAAAATAAAATTAAAAAATTTCGATAAAGTATTTTCTTTATAATGAAGTGAAGGGGCGAGTTTGGATATTTTTAAATATTACTTAACTATAATTATTTATCAATAAATTTAATTTTTTAATATAAAATAATCAAACTTTGCTATAAATATTACGTACAATTTTTTTTTTATGAAATCTTTAAGATATTTATCATAAATAACTCATAACAAATATAATATTTTAAAAAAGAACATTTGTATTACCAGTAATGAGAATTCTTGGAGTTTTCAGACCTTTATTACAAAATCTTTTATGTATTTTATTGATATCAACCACCTCGGAACTAAAGTCTCTGTAAAAATTTGTATTCAAATTGCAATTTACTATTTTCAGCAATCTTCGTCCCAACATTGTTTTCTCTTAATTTATCAATAAGTATGCACGTATTTAGGTTTTATGTGAATATTATACTGGCGATTTCTGATTTCTGAAATCACAGAACAAATGAATATTCATGCCTTGATCTCTTTTCAAAGACAAATTATATAGACATAAGTACTCTCTATTAGCTTTCACTTCACCATCAATTCCATTTATCGACAACTTGGGCCCCTTAAATTATATCACGTCTGTTTTACAATTAGCTTTTTATAAATGTATGTTTATTATAAAAAAAAAAAATGTTACATTATAATATAAATACTTATCGTGCTTTTAAAAGTAATTATTAACTATTGTAAATCAGAAATTGTTTTATGCAATATTTTTAAAATTTGTACATATAGCCAGAAATATGAAACAAGTATGTATTATAAAACAAAATGTAAAATATATCGATTATATTATAATGTAAATACACTATCTCCCATACAATACACAATTTCATTTATTTGAGTACATCAATAAATATCTTTTTTACGAAGATAAATATTTTTGTATTATTATTTATATGAAGGTTCTACTGTTTTTCCAAAAAAGTATCATTAAAATATATTTACTTATAATAATTAAAAAATTATTTATTATTTGTCCAATAACATTTTGAAAAATATTAGAAATTAAAATAATATGTTGAATTAGAATTTAAATTATTGAAAAATATTTAAAAATTTTATTTACTTCAAAATTTTATTGAAAAAAAAATGCATAAATATAAATATATCCACTTAGAAATAGCAATACATGAAATGAAATTCAAAATAATTTTAAAGAAATGTCATGATAAACTATTTTCATCGTTACCGTAATATTAATTCTTCCTATTTTAATTTTTCACATGTATTTATATAATAAATATACACAGTTTTTTTATCATTATAAAAATTACTTTGTCGCAAAATACGCGTATTTGAATTGAATGGCAAGAAGATACACAAGTCATACACTGATCAACACTCAAATTAAACTGATCGATCCCTTTTACTCAGCACGATCACGACGTAGCCTCAACTTAATAAACAACCACCGTCGATATACGCAATTATGTCAGATTATAGATTACTATTGAACATTTGGAAAAACCCGTTCGGAATCTGAGTCACAACGTACATTTAACACGTAGATAGATCAACGAGTGAAAAAGCTCGTTGGTCTCTTTACTCTCCTTTTCTATTTGTCCAATTACAGTAGAGAACTTGTTATTTGAAATTTGTCGATGAATACTTTTTGTTATTTTATTTCGTTTCCAGCAGCTCATAAAATTTTTGATTTCATATAATTTATTTATTTCTTCATTATACTAAATATTCTAAAATAATACTTTTTAAATATTTATACTGAATTTATATATTAATAACTGTAATCTTGATGAGGAAACATACCGTACATTTGTACATTTTATAAATCCCTATTTTTTATTTTAATACATTCATAACTAGAATATAGCAATGAAATTAAAAATTAAATATTGTAATTTTTATGTACAGTTTATTAATATATAATCTAAAAAATATTAGCTATAATGTTGAATAAATTTAAATACTTCCTTTTGAAAGTCTTGAAAGCAGTTAATTACTTATAAATGCGAATGCATTTATTTTCATTATTAAATCGATTTTGTTTGTTTATTTAATAAATCTCGTATATTATATTGCAGACATGTCATTTTATTTTAATGAAACTTAATACTATGCAATATTAATTAAGAACCTTTGTTTTATATTAAAAATTTATTCTGTATTAACTATATATTGTTAATAGAACAAAATTTTCATAAAAATAACTTCTGATTAAAAACATAAAATGTATTTGAATCAGTAATGCTGGGTTTTCTATATATAGTAGTATTTTGAATAATTTTTTATTTGAAAAAGAAATTGAAAAGGAAAAATCGCAATACTTTTCGTCGATAAATAATGAATTTTTCTCTTCAATACTTGAACATTATCCTAGATTTTACGTATAATTGATGAAAAACATGTATTAGAAATATTCTTCATGGGACAGTCCATATAATACATTTTTTTCGGATATTTTATGTAGCTTATTATTGAATTATTTAGAGAACAAAACTTATAAATAATTAAGAATATTGTCAGTTTATGAACGTATATAAATGGATGAATACAGTAGCAAGATAAGGAAAACTTTACCAAACAATAATTTAATAAATATTGTATTTTGATTAAAAGAATTAAACTAAACTTATCATAATTTAATATTAATTAAAAATTCATATTTTTATTCAGAAATATTAATGATTATAATGAAAAAGTAGTTTCTTTTATTAAGAATTGAAAACTATAAAACTTCTTTTAATAAAAAATTAATTTAATAAATAACTTTGTATGTAAGAATATTTTTATATATGTAAATATATGTATGTATAAAATTTAAGTTTAAATTGTGGGAATTACAATTCCTACTAAAGACTATTTAATTTTTTAACTTTCACTGTTACTACTTATGTTACGACTTGATCAATTACATTTAAACGATTTTAGAACAAGTATTAGTTTAAAAATGCATACTCTATTAATAAATTACAACTTCAATTCGAAACTGATATCTTAATTAAATAGTAATTTAACTATTTGTATAAAGCAAAATTTATTAATTGTAGTTGTACTATCCTATTAAACATTATAAATATATTGCAAGTTTATTAGGTTCAAATCAATTTTATTATTATTTATGTATTTCGTCGAAAATTTTATCTTTATAATAACATACTATTGTATCATAATTATAATCTTCGGAATTTCTTATGTCGAAATTTTTTATATACAATTAAGTTAAAAAGTGCTTTAAATTATAAGACATTTAAATAAATATTTTATGTATTCTTATCAACATCTAATTTAATAAAGATTAAATATTATTTCTATTCTAGTTAAAGACTAGTTATTTGCCGATTTGATCATCAACTTCTTAATATAAGCCGTCATGCTCATGTAATTATAATAAATCTATTCAATTATTCCGGAAATTATCAGTTTTCAATAAAACTTACCATTTCAATGTATATGAGATGTGGAATAAATGTATTTAATTAATTTTATGAATTGATATACCACCGTCTTAAATATCTGTATTTCTTAATTAAAATAATTAAAAAGTACATATACTATTAATAATTTATTATTTTTATCTTGCTGTATTAAAGAACATTTCTTATTTTGTTTTGTTTTTTGTAAAAATGATGTTCGAGTATAAGGTAAATGAAATTTTTTGTGGTCTTATTTCACTGATAAAACTTGTTTGGTTGTATTAAGCTTAGTTCTTTAACTTGTTATTTATGTAATCACTTTCTTACGTTCTTATATTATTCAATTTAAGTATAATAAAGCTACAAAGAATTTTAAAAACTTTATATTTAGTTTATGACATTAATAATAAATACTTTTATAGTAATGTTATTTGATTTTATTGATGAAAATACTATGAGAGAGAGAGAGAGAGAGAGAGAGAGAGAGAGAGAGAGAATAGTAATATAAGAAAGCCTTATTATATCGATAAAAGATTTATATGAAAAAAATTAAACCTACATTAAATATTCAAAAGAAACATTATTAGCGATAAAAAAATTTGTGAAATTGCTAAATTTAGTTGGATTATATGTTAGTGATATTAATGGTAAAATATTTATATAAAAATGCGTATAATTATTATTTCTTAATTTTCTTATAAATTATATTATCAAAATAGAATGATGTATTCAGTTGATTCATAAAATAAAACAAATTATTACGGTTTTATTTTTCATGATAAAATTGTAGATGAGTCAAATAAAATTGAAGAGGACTTCTATTAAATACAAATGAAAATTTTTAAAAAACTAATGTATATTTTACATTTTATTGAACGATTCAAAATCTATGCATTTATAATGATCGACATGTTATTAGTGCACGATATAACTTATTGATTAAAAGTATCTATTTAAATTCTATTGCCCTATTATATCTTTTTCATAGTAGAGATTTTTAAGTAATTTGGAATTATGTCGAAATTTCGTTCACTTTTTAAATATGAAAATGACGGCTTTGCTTATGAAAAAGTAAAATTTTTATGTAACCGACAAGGAATACATCGTATAAAAGTGTGTCACTGCAAATAGATTCTAGGCATCCACTGCTGAATTATTATAAAGTATCACAGTATTTGTATTTTGGTATCCGAAGACAAAATATATGTTTCTTACAATCATTTCACGCAATCTGTATATACGTAATCCAGCTGTTCTCGATTGCCCCCTGTATACTTGCTATTGCGCATACGCGTTTCCAAGATTGTACATTCGAAAACGACAAAAAGTTTTGAAATTCAACGTACCGTAAATTGGAATTTATTGATCTAGATATGTATATATTTTTTCTTAAAATTTTATTTGTATAGAAAAAATTATTTTATAAAACTATTTAACATTTATTAATTATAGCTGATATTATAATTTACAATTAATATGTACTATATTGGATTGTGCAAATCATGACCAAAATTTTAGTTATTTAGATAAAATTACAATATAATGAGTTTTTTTTATCTAGAATAATGTCACATTAGTTTATAAGAAATCAGGTATCGACGTTACCTCTATTATACATTCTATGCAACAGAATTAATTATTTTTATGAACATTTATGATTAATAAAATTTATCAATAAATATGAAGTTTACATATGCGCAATACATTAATCAATTATATTTGGGGAGATTATTTAAATGAACGTGAAAATAATAAATAACTTGAGCCATATATATGTTTAAATATGTCTAATCAATGTATAAAATTCTTTCGGTTGCCTTTGCATTATTTACATAATTCTATCTTTACAAAAAGAAAGAATGTAGGATTAATTAATAAATGAATATCTATTTAATTTTAAAAGTCAAACATGTATTAATGGGATACTGTATTCGCTTTCAAAAAGCTTAAGAAGTTCTAAAAATTGTTTACAAGTCTTGTAAATTGAGGTTTTTGACAATATTCGCTTTTGATAAGGCACTGAAGAAGAGTGATATTATAATGATATTGAAAACTTTTGTAATTTTTAGTCAATATTAATAATGAAGCAAAATAAAAAATTTAAATTTATGCGTCAATAGTTAAAAAATGTAAAATAAATCGGAGAAACAAAGTATAAAACATTAAAATAAAGAAGAGACGAAAAGGATTAAAATTTCAAAGGATTTGTTGGATATGAATGCTTCAATACAGTCAGGTAATATTGGATCTTTTACGAATATCTGCCGAATTAGTATCAACAAATTAATGTCAAACTAAACGCCGGCTGCGAGCATCAGAGTCGGTAAATTAGAAAACTCCGTCGTAGAATCGACTAGGGCCGTCTTTTGGATCCGCGCTACGCTTCCTGGCACGTTGAAAACGCGTGCGTTCCGCCGACTGCCTCGAAGAAAAAGCTGAAAAAGAAACGAAAAGATGAATAGTTAGAGCCCCACCTTCCAGAACCTAGAATAGTCCAGCCTTTCACAGGAACTGCATGTGGGTTCACGATTCAGTTTGAAGTTTGCCCTCAGGCAAAATGCGCCGAAAGAGTACGCGCCAATGTTTCGTAAAATTGTAATATTACCGTTCCTCGACGTTTGTCAACGAGTACTCGTGCAGTACGCGAAGACACATTGGGACTTCCGTGTTTTCAGGCCTCATTCGAAAAAACGCCGCCGTCGCTTGTTTTGCCGTTTCGACGTTGCTGCGCAGGTAATTGGTTCCTCTTACGTTTTTACTTTACGTGCTTTACTTGCTTATTGTTATTCACAAATGTTCTTATTTATTAATGTTATCGATAATTTTGAAATTTTATTGTTTAAATATCTCTCTTTCATATTTGAATACTTTATACATTAATTGGTGTAATTTACATTCCGTTTTTTTCTAGTTCGCTTTACAAGATGTTGCAATAATTTTTTTACTTTTTAAATATAAGAAGACAAACTTTATTTTAGTATAACCAATCAACTAGTACTAATATATCATCAATTGATAGTTATTTCATTTTTTTATTTATAAATAATTTTTTTATAATTTTAATAATTTATAATCATTTTATTTTGAAATTTTTCTTACTTCAGTTGAAAATAAAAAACATTGGGATGAATGAATCTAATACAAAATTTACACAAAACTTTCATTTTAAGGCTAAACCACAACAGTGAATTATATTATACAAAGCGAAATTGTTAAATAAGAAATTATGTGCAATATACTTATAATATTCAATGCATAGTGTAATCATAGAATGTTAAAAAATTATTGTTATAACATATATATATATATATTTATATATATATATATATATTGTAAGTCATAACAAAATTAATTGAACAATTTTATCATAGCAATTATCAAATTAACTAATTTAAAAAATGAAATATACAAAAAATATATAATGAAGTAAAAATTAATTTTCTTTTTAATCATTATTTTAAATGAAATTAATCACAAAAATGATAAATATAATCTATGGAAAGACGTTATATTTTGACTACGATGAATTTACATATTACAAAAATTTTAATTGCATATTTTATAGAATACTTATAACAGCCAATTCATTTGAAGAAAGTTATTTGGTTTCTTTAAAAGAAAAATAAAATTATATTAACAGTCAATTAGATATTTAAATTAGATATATAATGAATTTGTTACGACTTTAAAAGAGATTTGCTTAAAAAAAAATGTTTATATTGTTTTATTGTAAAAAATGCGTTGCGAGCTAAAAGGAGCGCAATACTGGGGTGAATGTGCGGGAATCACTTTCACTGCTCTCGGCTAATAGATCAATGATAGTCTCAGTCACTAATTTTTCAACCACCATCCTTTCTCGCTCAGCGACTTTAATATAAGATAGAACTTGGTGTCTACAATATTTTTAAACAAATTGATATTTCCTCTTGATTACAATAATGTGATATGTCGATGTTAATATGCTCAATAAATTTATATATGATCCTATTAGTCAATGATTTTTAATATTTTAATTATAATAAGCCCATTACTTTTCATATTTGATTAAAATTTAATTAACTGGAAAATTTTAAGCAATGCAAACTTTCTTCATTTCACTTTCTATTATTAAGCTTCTGTTTTCTAAATTTTAAATATGCTTAAAAACAACCTTCGTTTCTTTATATATAATAGATTACAAATAAAAATATTGTATGGCATATTATGATTATACATATATTGTTGGAACTAATGATATCCAGATAATTTATAATTTATATATTTTTTAATTTGATAAATTTTTAAAAGAAATAATTTTATAAACAATAAGGCAGCAAATCGTATTCCGTGCTGCTTATTAAAATGGAAGGAGATCAAAACCATATTCGTCAAATTACAAGAACTAATGTAATTAAAAATAGTATCTTTTGTGTTTAAGCTTATTTATATTAGAATTTGAATACGAATTTCACAGGACATTTTTGCATGTTCTGAGATACACTGATTTCGTAGAGGTATGCATTCGATGTTTGATGTATATTATAATATAATGTTATTTGATATATTTGATATGTTTTTTGTTTAGTTTTCATAACATTCAGTCCAATTATAACTGAAAATGATTGAATCGAACCATTTTTAAATGTAATTTTTTTATTCATGTTATGCGATTCAAAATAATCATATAATGCAAAGTTTGCGTTACATCTGTACGTGATATCAAACCATTCTGTTTCTCTGGTAAATAAGAATACTTTCTTTTTGTAAAGTATTCTTCTGCTACGACTTCGTGTTTTGTAGGCTAAGAAGCCAAATAATGCATAATGTTTCAAGTAATATGTTACATTAATATACAGAATTCAACATCTTTTCAACTATTTATGATAAAGATTATAAAGATTATACAATTTATTTTCAATTATCATTTTGCTGTGTATGCACTTATAGAAAAGAAAGAGTAAAAAAAGTAAAAATCAGAATATGCGGTTATTGGCTCTGCTAGGATTAATTAGCATATAGACTATTTTTGCCTTGAAGCTGTTTAAAAATGTGAAGACGTATTTTGCAAATTATTTCTTAATTTTTCAGATGTATTTTTAATTTAATAGTAAATGTTTAAAGGTTGAAAAAAAAACATGAATAATTGAAAGCATGCATTTCTATAAGCTTTGGGCAATGTAAAATCAGATTTCCGATGAATCGCTTCAAACTTCTTTTTCAGCATATTAAATAATATGTTCTAAATTCATTGGTTACACGTCAAAGTTTTAGTATACAAAGATATGTGATTGAGAGCTACCTATCATGAATTTGGAGAAAAATAATGGATTCGCGGGCCATGTTTGGCACTAGCTTCTTCTTCACTCAGCGGCTTTCCTCCACGTTCCAACGACTTTCGAGGGCGTCGGATTTACTTGGCGCAGACCTTATGAAACATGCCTCGGTGCGTTTCCGTGAATGCCGGAGCTCTCGAAAAAGAAAAAAACTTCCCCTCTCGTTTTATCTGCTCTCGTGATCAGCCGCAACTCTGCATACGCGTGCCACGATACGTTTCGTAAAAGGTCGGCGGTGGATTACTTCGTTTGTTCCTTTCTTCATTTGAAATACTTTTGAATTCGAGTTGACTGTATGTCGATAGTCTCGTTATCCTTGTGCATCATGTTGAGCATTTGTGTGCACTGATTTAGAAAATGATGTGTATATTATTATTCAGTCAGCAGCGGAAACGAATATTTAAGATCGTTGCTTAGCTTTTGGCATACTTGCGTATTATTCAATCTCTCTTCGCCATTGTATACAATTTCTTTATTGTTGAATAATATTGTGCAATTCGTTATAATGAATATATTTAGATAATATAAGGTTATAAAGAGTACACTTATGTACATTCAATTAAAACAAATATAATTGAACAATTTAGTTTAATTAGTTATAATTATCTAAATATACTTAATTATATATAGTCAAATATTGTGAATATAAATAATAAAAGTTTTTTTTTTTTAATCTTACTCGCTATCACAATTTTATTCAGGTTACATATTATTATAAAACAGATTTAAATGAAAAGTATTTGTTATTAAGATAATTAATTATTTAACGTTGCAACTGTAAATTATTATAAATATTAAATTGAATTTTAATATAATATTTACAATATAACATGTATTTAAATGAGCGCTGTTTTATATTTTCGGCACAGAAATATTAATTGCTCATAAGCATTAAACAATTTAAAAGATATCTTTTAATGTTATTGCAAAATAATGTTTTATAATAATAATATCTTTTAATGTTATTGAAAATGTTATTGCATTAATTTTGTCTGAAAGTTAAATTGAAAGTAAGTTGTACAGCTTGATACCGAATAAATTGCTTTTTGAGTATTGAGAAGTTAAGTAAGCAATTGTTGTCGAATGAACAACTGAACAATAGACTATGCTAATTATTCTTCTTCTATATCGGAAAATTAAAGCATAATAAATAAATGAGGGAGATCGATATAATCTAAGATTTATTACAAAAGAATAATGATCAATTTATTAAACGTTGGCTTAAATCGTATAGGTAAAATTCACGTTAAGCAACTTAACGCATTCTATTTGCTGATATGCATAAATCATAATTTATTTAATATATAATATATTATGTAATATTAAATTTAATTCTACCGGAATTGGTATGAAATTTCATTGATTACTTGCATGCTTGTACTTACACGAATACATTTTTATTTAACTAAAAACTTGGATGATTATATAATTCAAAAATAATAAATATATAATAATCATGGAACTCTTAATTATATAAAGAATGAAATAAAACTATTATTTTTTTAATTACTTATTAAATTAGCAATAAGTCATTAGTTCAAATTACTTTTTAAAAAGCAAATGCCATAGTTGTCATAAATCTAATAAAAGCATACTTATATTATAATATACAATAATTATGATATTAATAAAAAAAAACCGATGATCATAGGCTGCTATATTAATACAAAAGTTGATAATATAAATACTATGTTGATAATCAACAGTACTTAAGGTGCCATTCATTTAAAATTATATATAAACTGTAAATATATTGTTGAGCTTATAATATATGGTCATTGGGATTTTCGATTACCTCGTGTAAGTAAATCTCCTGAAAAACTTTGCTTCTCAAACAACAAACACACATAAACAATAGAACTACATAGTCACGTATTGTATGGCTAAACTTGGGGGCGAGTATAATTATAGTGGACGACGATTGTCCTAGCGGTCTTTATTATTGCCTTACGGTTACACAGCAATTTTGTTGGTTGTAAGCGTGACGTTTTGCTTCATGGTGTTTTACCGTGATAGTTTCTCTCTCCGTGGTGGTAAAGACTACGTGAGAGATGACTTCTAGATTAATTTTAATAGGGCTGGCATATCTACATCATAAACTTATCTTATACTTATACTCATGCGTATACAAATTTAGAATTAAGCAGAAGACTATTTTTTTACTAACCTATGGTCACAATCACTTATCTATTATTATCGTTTTATTCTTTTCAAATGAAGTTTAAGATAATGTGATTTTTAATTTCATGTATAATGGGAAAATAGTTGAATGTAATTTCCAATGCAATTGATTTTCTTTCATGCATAGATTAAAAATTATTTTCATGCAAATTTTTAAATATATCTACGTGGAATTTCAATTAATAGAATTATTCAATAATAATTTTACTCATATTTTTTCTTACTGCATAAATAAACTTGATTTCGTGTCTTTTCAAATAATTTATTATTAATTATTAAGCTACCGTACGAGTCACATAATCTCAAGACATTACTGGTTATAAATTGCTTTTGAAATACACTGCTCTACATATTTAATAAAACTACCGTTCACAAAATTACTACCTCTATATCAATTACAATATTTTATTTAAACAAAATAGACTTTTTTTTATTTTGTAATAGAATTCTAATGCATTTGATAATTTTTATTTGTGTTTTTCTATAATTTATATTTACGATGTAGCAGTCTAAGGCGTCTGCTAATAATTTCAATCATTTGAAACAGTATTGTATTTAATTATATAAGTAGTTAATATAAGTTAAATATAATTTTTAACTAAAAGAAAAATTTATTAAAACAAATTAATTTTTTATGGTGATAAAAGTAAGCGTGGATTTCATTATTTTATATATAAAAGTTTTATGTCAAGAAAAATAATAAATAATATATATACAATAGAATAAATCATTTTTGTATAAAACAATGTTTAATATCTATTGTTAATTTATTAATAATTATTACATTGTGTGCTTGATAACAAATTGTTTCTAAATTAAATAATGTTTAAATACTTCTTTAATGGTCAATTATTACACACAATTACATTACAATACTTCTAATACGAATACATTTGTGTATATTTGAGATAATAATATACTAGGTATATTAATAAATTATGTTTAAACTTATTCAAAATATTATAAATAACTAAATATTTTAGATTTCAATTCACACAAATTCTTCTTTTACTCAGTAACTCTTTATCCTATAAAATACATGATAAAATCAACTTTGATGATATTCATAATTTAAAATTTCCACAATTGTTAAATTGTATTAATAGGAATTTTTTAATTAATTTCTATGATCCATAGAGACTTGGAAGATATCTATTATTTATAGTATTGTCACTTTGTTATTAAAATAATAAAATGATAAGTTACTTATTAATTACTTTATTAAATTATCTTACATAAATTTATGAATATAATAGTACTTCAGATAAAAACTCTTGAAAATTTTCACCAAATATACTTAAACATAAATTATTTTTTCTAATTTATTTATAATACTAAATCACTGCTTAGTATTTGCTTTTTCATTTATAGTTTTCTTTTCATATTCTATTCTGATGTCTTCTCAAAAATATTGAAAAATTTATTAAAATACTTTTTTATTTAATTACAGTAGTTTATTAATTTTTTGATTTATCATTTTTATCTAATATTTAATTTAACCAAACTTTTAAGTATATAAATACATATATTTATTTATTTATTTAATAGATGATTTTTTCTTATTTCATAAAAAGATTTCAAAACAAAATATAAAAATTCGTTATATTTTTAAGAATATTTTCAAAAAATATATGTACATAACACATACACACACACACACACATATATATATATATATATATATACTATATAAAATAATTATTTATGACATATATGAAAATATTATTAATGATATCTTTTTATTACCATAAGGTTACAAATATCTTTATTTTAAAATTTTTCATTGAATTTTTTCATTTTTTCAATTTTTACATTTTTTCATTGAATGGTTTATGCTATTAATAGATATTAATTGATATTTTTAAATCCTTTTGAAGTAAATATATTCTAAATGTGAAAGCTTTTATACCTAGATAACTTAAATTAATCGTAAATGGGTTACTGTAACAGTTAAGAAGTATAATAAAGGAAAATTAAATCTATCATATTTACTGGATTACCATGAATAATATAGAGAAAAGCTAATTAGAAGCTTTTTACATTATATCTAACGTGGTATCGTTATATAGGCAAAGACACCGTGTATAAAAGTTCCAAGGGGCATTGTTGCATGACATGAGTTGCAGGATGTGGCGAAGGACTTTAGCACAAGTGTGTTGATTTTAATTAAATATAGAGAATCGTACATGTATATAATTTTGTCAATAAACAAGATTTTTTACATTAATGAAACTGATTACTTAAATGATTCAAGTGTATTAACCGAAATATTTTAATAGATAAAGTTGATCTTAAAAATAATAAGATCAGTTTATTCAAATTTTCGAAATACTGCATATTAATATATTATTATTCAACATTATAAATTATTGAATATAATATTCAATAATACACAAATTAATTTAATACCAATAAAATATAAAATTATTTCTATTTAAAGACACTAATCATGTTTAATATAAGTGGTATACGAAACAAAATACTTATTCCTCAGTATTTTAATTACAAAAAATAAAAGATTCTACATTTTTAATACCATTTCTGTGGAAATTATATTATAATAATAATGGCAATTTCCTTATGTTTTTTAAAATTTTATTAATTTAAATTTACGAAAAACTAATTAAAACATTTCTGGAAATGCTTACATCTATTATTATTCAATAACTTATTCAAGTTAATTATCTTCAAATATTTATATAGGATATAAAATGTAATTATTGTCTTAATTAAATATGTATGAGATATTGAAAGTTATCTAAACGATTAATGTTTAATGTATAAATATTTATATCTAATAATAAATATTATATAATTTGTTCACTTTTAATTTAAATATATTCAGTGAGACCAATTAATATTTAAACGCTTTAAATACCTACAATAAATATTAAAATGAAGAAATTTCATTTGATGACATTTGATCAGGTTGTACAATCTAGAAAGTTGTTTTGAATTGAAGTCCAAATTTCACAGCCTTATAATTCATGACAACTGAAAAAAATAATTGTCTTACGAGCAATCATTTATATTCTTTATATATATAAATTTTCGTTTATAAAGAATTAAAAAGTGAAATAAAAAGTAAAATAAAAAAAAGTAAAATTGTCCATCTTAATCTGTAGCTAAAAAGACTAAACTAAATACAATTAAAGTTGTATGTAGTATATCATTTTTATTAAACAATATTACTATACATAATTAAAATGTGAATAATTTTATATTTTAAATTATACAATGATTTTTTTAAATAAAAATTTTGAAAAAGTATTATTAAATAAATTAAACTATATTACTAAAGAACTGGATATCTGAACTGGATAAAGAACAGCCTAAAGATCAAATTTGTCTATATACTCTTATATGTCTTAATTAATTAATTTTCGTTGAATATATATATATATATATATATATATATATTTATTTATTTATTTATTTATTTATTTATGAAAATAACTATCTGTATTGCATGTGAAAATTGTTATAGAAAAATCAATAAATTGTTTAAACGTTTAATTGTCGGTGTATATAGGAAATGTAACGATTTCCCAGTGTTCAACTAATTGAAATACGTACAATATAAAGTGTATACAACGTCGAGAGTGATGCACTATGGGTAAACCACCCGAGGGTGGAGGCTTACGGCCGTTCATCATTATCGGTATCCTGGTACTACTTTATGATTCACATGCACAGGAATATGGATGTCCACCACAGGAAAAAATTTTGCCATGCAGGTGTTCAACGCGTGATATGGAATTCCAAATATGGTATGGAGTCAAGTATTTTATATTTGTTTATATGTCTGTCTTGAATGTTACGTACTGATAATGTACCGTTAGTAATTCCTACCGATCACACATACAGCTTTTAGATTTGATCCTTAGTTTAATTGAATAAGAAATTTTTTCATTTATAAATAAATTATATATAAAATAAATCATTTATAAAATAAATTATTTCATTAATTAATTTATTTTGATTAATAAATTACATTAGTTGTTTAATTGTATTAGAAATTTTATATGTATTATATATGTATATGCATTTATAAGATATTGCCAATAATTATAATTAAAAAAATTTCTAATATTAAGATTGGCTAACAACTTGCGTTTATTGCAAATAAAATTTAAGACATTTTATAAATTGCATAATTTCATTAAAAACGTTATTGTACCAGTTTGGTACAATAATTTTTATTAAATTTGTTTAAAATTTATTAATATCAATATAATAATATATTGTTTAATTCATTATGTTGAGCATGTAAAATGAAAGTAGTCTTCTTTATTATATATTGATTGTTTATTATAATCGTACTTATAAAAGAAAAATTTAACTTGGAAATAACTTTATTTATAGAAGTAAAATAGATAGTATTGTTTATGAAAAGTGTGTTATTATAAATGTTACGATATAATATTAATATTTTCTTTATACTCAAAACGAATTTTATTCTATAAAATTGGATTAATTATGATTTTTGATAAGAACTATTAAAATTAATTTCAATCCCAAGAATTTCTGTAATTATAAGATTTATCGCTTTTCATTTTATTTATCATCGGGAGAATGTAACATTAGCATTCAATAAATAAAAAAATAATGAAATCAGTTCAAACTAAGAATACTAAATATAATATAATATCTGATCGACTTTTGAAAGCTTTCGTGCTCTCACCAATCATAATTTATGAATTAACAATGAAGAAATGTAAAGTTTTGTGCATAATGCCTCATATAAAATAAGCTACAATACACGTACAACATCAGCTTCCAAGTATTATTAGATATTAATGGTCGACAATAAATTTCATATTATGACAGTATGATCATGAAAGGCCGGAACAAAGTTATAACGAAAGTTGAGAAATAAAGATAAATTTAACTGCAGGTGTAGTCACAGCGAATTGCCGCGCGTCCTGGAGGGTCTGAAGGCAGTGAGTCGTTACGTGAGCCATCCTATCGACGAGCTTATCCTGGAAAACAATAACTTGCCGAGTCTACCTGGTCACGTGTTCGCAAGCTTGCGCGTGCTGCGACTCATGTTACGCAACAATCGATTGGAACGTGTCTCGTCGGGTTGGCTCGACGGTCTTCACGATTCACTACTCGAGCTGTTCCTCGTCGAGCCTGATCTACGTTCCCTTCCAGCTGATAGTTTGGAAAACCTTCAGGGCTTAGAAGCTGTCACCCTCCAGAGCAAGCTTATCAAACGCTTGCCTAGCTTTACCGGTGGGCGACCTATTCATTCTTCTACATCTGAAATTATGCAGTGCCTACTATTTCAATATCAATGTCAATTTAAGCATATAGCTAGTTATCTATCGAATTTTCGACGTCGATTATGAAAATATAAGTACCAACACACACGCGCGCGCACGCACACACGCACACACGCACACACGCACACACGAATGCGCCGGTATACAAATATATAGATAAAAGAAGCTACGGTTGAGCTAATGTTTGATACAATGTTCAGGACTCTCAAAGCTGCGATACCTGCAAATAAACTCACCAGGACTGATCGAATTGACTCCCCGTAATTTTCGCGACCTGCCCTTCTTGGAGCAGCTCCACGTATTTGGCAGTCCAAAGCTCACGCGCTTCGAGGCTGGTTTATTACGCGATCTGCCACGGCTTCAGCTGGTTAACGTTAGCGATTGCGGCCTCCAGTGGATTCATCCGCGGGCCTTCATTAACCTGCCGGAGCTCAAGGAGTTGGCCCTGCCAGGCAATTTGATTCAAGAAGCGACGATGGTTGGTCGAGCCATCGTTGATATACCGAGCCTTTCGGTTCTTCAGCTCGATAGGAATAAGATTGTTCGACTGGCCGAGGGCTCCTTCGCCGATCTACCCACGCTCTCCAGGATATCCCTCAGCTTCAATAGAATAACAGAGATCTTTCCAGGTAAGTCAATTTATGTATAGGATATAGGTCATCTCTAATTGTCTTCCCATATTGCATGTTAATCCTGTTTAATGGCTCAACTGATATTTGCTAAGACTTTTAATCCAGCGGAATCTAAAGTACACAAAAAGAAATCGTTTATCTCTAGAATTAAGGCTTTCGTTTTTTTTTCTATAATAATATACATTATTATAAATATATATTGTAATTTTATTTTAAAAATCAGAATTATTATCTGAATTATTTCATTCTACTTTTATTTATGTCGTCTCAACACATGGATTCATAAGCCTACTTAAACACTTAGCCATTTCAAATTCCAATTATAATAATTAATTGAATATAAATAGCACTATTATTGATAAATTACTTTGGAATAATATAATTGGATCAAAATTGAATTAATGATTTATCTAATCTAAAAAATAATAAATATACTTTATTACAAAGAAAATAATAGCCATGTATAGTTATAAACTCATTTATTTCGTTGAATTAATAGATGGAATAAATATAGATTAAATTTATTAAAACAAAAAGTGTACTCTTTTTCCTTATTGGCCGACAGCAAAATGTAAAACAAATCGAATATTCTATGAAAACGTTCTAGGGGCTTTCGAGCGTGTACCGTTGCTCCGCGTCTTGAATCTCAACCACAACCGCATCCACCGTATCCATCCGGAGTTTTTTGTGCAGCATGGACGCGAGGTTAGTGGTGTCGAGGAGATGTGGCTGATGGACAATGATATCGGTCACGTGTCCGAGATTCGTTCCGTCCTCGACGCAACGCCACGACTAAAACTTCTTGAAGCGAGCTTCAACCAAATCGAGGATATAGGATACGGAGCACTAAGGGGACACCCAAGTCTCGAACGGCTTCATCTCGATTATAATAGGCTGAGCTTTTTGCAAAGAGATGTTTTTGCGGATATGCCAGCACTTAGAGAACTTAGACTTAGAAATAATTCCCTCGTCAATTCTCCGGATGCGCCCTTCTGGGATTTACCAGCCCTCAAGGTTTGAAGCTCAATATTTCAATCATACGCTACTTTCCTATGTCATTCAACTTTTATCTACCAAAATAAGTAAAAGTTGCACGTTAAATATTTCGATAAATGTAATGAAAATTTTTTATAAACTTCATTCATATTAACATTTTGTTTATTCGAAAATTACGCATTCTATTTATGTACTTTATTCATTAACACATTATTGAGATAAATCAACTTCTTAAATATGAAATAGTATTGAATACCATTTATTTTGTATATTAATTGAAGTTGGTAATACAATGGGAAAACATTTCAGGAAATTTATCCTTCATTCTTTAATAAAACAGAATTACATTTACCGTATCGAATTTTATCCGATGTAAACAGTATTTCATCATATTTGCTAACAGTGCTTTAACATCCGTTATAATATATATATAAACAAAAAACCAGAAAATGTTTGCAAACAGAAATATAATATCGGTCTAGAATTAGTTTATAATTCATTTTATGACAATAAAAAAGGTAATACATTAAAAATATAAACATTCAATATAAAAAGTGTGATATATTAGCGGTTTTTAAATACTTATAATTTATAATCTAATAAAAATAATGTAATAAAAATGGTAAAAAATATTAAATGAAAGGAAGAAACAATTTTTATTAATCATTTACTTAGTCTACTATTATTTTATATATAATATAAAAATATAGCACTGACATTGCTTATGTCATTAAGAATTAGACCGGTGCAAAGAATTAATTAAAAACTTATTAAAAACAGTAAAATGTTTATTGCATTGCATGTCTATTCTAGTGTTTTAAATAATCAATATTAGTAATAACATTATAATATTATATGGAGTAGGAATCAATTGTAATAAATTTATAGTTAGGTAAGTTTCAATATATAAAATATGTTAATTAACATTAATTATGTTCATGCTTTAATTTTCAGGGGTTAGATTTGTCAGGTAATTTCTTCCGTCACGTCGAGGCGCGTTTATTGGCGAATTTGCCAAACCTTAGACGTCTTGATTTAAGTGAAAATACTATTGCCTTGGTAGAGCCGGACGCTTTTCTTAATTTGCCAGCTTTAGAGCACATAAATATGTCAGGAAATGCTCTTTCCGTCCTTCACCCGATGACGTTCCGGCATCTGACGAATTTATACGAACTTGATGTCGGATGGAATCGGTTGCTTGAAATAATACCAGGTTTGCTCATACATTTCCAATTCATACTATATCTTAATTATATAATAGATATATGTCTGATTAAAAATATTGGATTCCCATGCGACTGCAATATATAGATAACAATTGATAAAGTATTTTCAAAAGTATGAAAATTACAGTATTTTATCAAATTTCATCGAAAATATATAAGCATAATTAGTCAGGTGAAACTCAGAAAGGCAAAAATTATTATATATATATATATATATATATATATATATATATATATATATATTATATATATATAATAAATATAATAAATTGCGATTAGACTTGAATTATTAATAAAGTTATTAATAATGAAAAATAAGTGCTGGAATGCACTGAACTATAAGGCCGTTAAAATTTCTAAAAAAAAAACAAAATGAATATTCGTAGGCTTACCCCGTAACATGGAGCATCTGTACTTACCGATGAATCGAATTGTTGCGTTGCCATCAAATCTGGATTCGCAATCGTTAACGTTACCGCTTTTGCGTTCGCTCGACCTCAGCGCAAACGGCATCGAGCGATTGGTTCCAAGTGCTCTTGGTGCTTTACCAAGTTTGCGTAAACTCAATCTTGGCTTCAACGCTCTTACAATTCTCGAGGATGGCAGTTTCGAAGGTTTAATGCGGCTCGAGTTGCTCGACCTCAAGTACAACAGGATTGACGAGCTGCACGCTAGATGTTTCAGACCATTGAGGAATCTACTTGACCTAAACTTACGCGGTAATAGAATCGAACTTATAAAGCCCGATGTTTTTCAAGATAATGTTCGACTCCAAAGGCTTGATATTAGCAGAAACAATCTTGCTCAGATTCCTCATAAGACATTTGCCTTTACGAGGTGAGTTGAACCTATGTGGACTTGTGCAAACTCCATGTTAAGAAAATAAAGTGAAATCAGTTTTGGTATTTTTTTTTTTTTTTTTTTTTAAGCAAATTTAATAATATTATTAATTGGAATCACAGTCAGAATTTTAATATAATTAAATGTAATTAAATAATATAATTACAATTTCATTTATAATTATAATATAAGTAATTTCTATTAGCTCACATTCACTTAAAGACGTATAAAAGCATTTTTTTTTTTTTATTATAATAATTTATGAAATTATATATTTTTTTCATTAACTAACATCGATTTAAGACTTTTCACATAACTGTGCTTAATGTATATTTATTAATTTTGTATCAATTATAATAAAATATTTAGTGTTCATATAGTGTTTAAATGAATATATCATTACATATTTACATTCGATTTTCAATAATCAATACATTTTCGATGATATTCATATAATGTTTGAGTATTATACATATTTGCTGACATTAGTAATTAAAATAATCATAATATTTTTGAATGTTTATATCCACTTTCAAAAAGAGAAGAGCAGAATCGACAAAGATTTGTGTAATAAATAGATCGACATAGAGTTTAGACGCAGCTGATGAGAAAATAGATGCGCAAACTATGGTTCGTGAAAGCCCTTTAGATGAATATAAAAGTGGTTTCACTATTACATGTCTTTGTCTTGCGCAATATCATAGAAAGTTTGCAACGTTGGCTCGCGTTAATAATTGTCACTCGCTTCGGTGACGATCATCACCCTCGCGTGTTGTAACGAGTGATTCATTCTCTTATGAGGATTCCTCGTTAGCGCGTTCATATAAACGATGCTTTTCTTTACAAAATCTTATAACGAACGTATGGAATCTATTGTTCTTAGTAACGGTATCCTAGATCCTTTCGTCAAATACTGGATGATGGTGTTTTTCACTGCTTTATATCATTGACGTTTGCGGATGGAGCGTCAACTTGATTTTCTTGTATTTATTTTTTGTTAGTAAATTCTTGATCGAAAAAAATTTATAATATGCGACTTACTGGAGCCCAACAAGAATATTAATATTTATAATTATAACTTGCATTTGATCAATTGATGATTAATTGTTTGTTAAAATATTTTGTTTTGATCGTTAATACAATGGCATTTTAAATGTATAAGTCTTCAACACTTTGATAATTATATGAAACATCAAAATAATAATGCTATATATTATAATGATTCGTACTAGTTAATTCGAGAATCAAATAATAAATGAATATAAAATTATAAAATTAATGAAATATCGATACGAGGCTTTAATTATCCATGTTAATGAAAAAGGTCACCTTAAGCTGCTTTTTAGTTTACTCATTTGTGTGTTGACATTTTTCTACGCTAAATAAATGAAAAATTGAAAATATTTTACATTAAATTGATTTTTTTTTACATTTTTCTTATTTTATAATTAATATTATAGTCTACAAAAGCGCGCGCACACACACGCACGCACAAATTACTTTCTGAATATAGAAAATTTACTTTGCATTACACTTTTCCTCGTAATATAACTTCATATTATTACATTTTTAATTTTTGATATTACGAATAATTATTTTAAACAAGAAATCTTAGATGAATAGGAGATAAAATATCTCGTGCTCTAGTAAAATAATATATCACTTATTTACTACTGTATAATGAAATAGAAAGTACGTAATCAGTGACATAATGTATTCATCCTTGCAGTTTCTGAAAGGTTTTAATTAATTTTTTTTTTCCAATTCATAAGTTAAAGCTAACTGAAAAGTAATTCTATCTATTATATTACATTGAATGGGGTGTGATGTAAAAACAGCTTAGAACAAATTTTAAATTACAGTTGCGTAATCATTGCAAATAGCGGAAAATCAAATCAGAATTAAAAAAAGAAAAAAATGTCTCTAATAATATATCGACGAACAGGGAATTACGAGAACTCTACGCATCGCATAATGCTTTACCAGAGCTCCCGAGCTCGCTTCATGGCCTCGAAGCTCTGCAGATCCTGGACCTGAGCTTCAATAAACTTACGGCTCTTGCGCCCGAAACGTTGAGCAGCCTCACGAGTCTCCTTGAGCTTAAACTCGTGCGCAACAGGATTCGGGAGCTACGCGAGGGCGCTTTCGACAGGCTACCCCGACTCGCTCTTATTGACTTGGAGAATAATGATTTGGTGCTCATCGAGCGCAATGCCATCAGAGCACTGCCAGAACTGCAGGCACTTAGGCTTGGCAAAAATAGAATTCAGGTACTGCGGCGTTCTTTGACTTAAAATTTCTTTTCATTACCTACGCCTTATTTTATTCGTTACATCTATATTTTGCGCTTCAAATTATTCTGTTATTCAGCATTTCGTTTACACGAAAAATTTGAGATCTTCGTCTGTAAATCGATGATTAACATTATTTCAAAATATTCATTATATTCATAATTCAATAATAGTACTCGATTCTAGTGTTAAGCTGAAAGTACTAATACATGCTGTTTAATTTTGTACACTAGACTCTACGACATTTAATGTATGCATATTTTGTTATGTCTGTCAAATAATTATAATTTTTATGTAAAATAATTTTGATGTAAAATATATATAGAGAAAAATTGACTTTTTAACAAAACGTTCTCGGTATTAATAGATGATTCCCAGCGGAGCATTTTCAGAATTGCCGATGCTTCAAAGTGCCGAGCTTCAAGAGAATCGTGTGCAAGAAATTGCTAACAACGCTTTCATCAATATTCCGCATCTGCTTTTGCTTAATCTCAGTCACAATCTACTATCGAGCCTTGAGCACATGGGGTTAGAAAGTTTACACTCGCTTGAAGTACTCGATCTCAGTGACAATCGCATCACACGTGTGTCCAGTGAAAGTTTAGCCACGATGGAGTGGCTCGTTGAGCTAAAAGTAAGGATTTCTTTTAGCTTTTAAATACATATTAGCAAGAATTCCATTATGATATAAAAATCCAAATTTATTTCTTAATTTCACTTCTTTATTCTATGTATACGTATTTTTGCTTAATTTTTTTTTTATTGTTATATCGAATTAAATTTATTCGCCATCCTTTCTCCCCGCCAATATTCAAATTATTTTAAGTATTTTATTCTACTGAAAAGTTTATTTATATGTAAAAGCATTATTCTAATATATATATATATATATATATATATATATATATATTACTTAATAATGATATTATTATATAATATTTTTAAAGTATTTCTGAAAAATAATTTTAATAAAAATTATATTCTACCCGATCTTCAGTGCTCTACTGAATGAGCAATATCCTCTTCCTTGCAATAAGTACAGAGTTAAAAAAAAAAAGAAGGTCTTTCACAGTATTTCGTTAACGGAAAGGGAAGACCGCCTGCGCTTTCCTGCTAAAAGTGAAATCGCGCAAGAAAAGCCGAGAACGCTACTTCTCCTATTATTTGCATTCAATCTCGCTTCAAGGTAGTTAGAGCATGAAGGCTTATCGTTTTCTGTCCTATAGATGGACAACAATCGAATCTGCATAATCCAAGGCTCACCATTCGACGAAATGCCAAGGTTGCGTGTCCTTAGCCTCAGAAGTAACAAGATGGCTTCTGTCGCTGAAAACACCTTCAAACGGCTTAGGTCCAACATTGCTGTTCTTGACATCGATGGTACATACTTTTAAATATAATTCACTACATTTCAATTACCTTTCATATGATATTCAGTTATATTTATGGAACATGCAATTATAAATTATGATAGAAATATTTTTTTTCTAATTGCATTAATTGTCTTTTAAAGTTTTTCATTGAGCATTGTTTATTTGAGAAATAATTTTTCACGTTGAAATTTTCAGGAGGAATTTTTTACTATTAGGCGTATTAAAATTCTTAAAATTTATTTACATAAAAATTGAATCCAATATTAAACATAATATTATAAGGTAATATTAGACTATAATATTAATTTTTTATGTACATTGTCAGTTAATTATATTGTTAATTATATTTCATAGCATTAGAAAAAATTAGAAAAAATAAATGCATATTCGTTATATTAATATATATATATATATATATATATATATATATATATATATATATATATATATATATATATATATATAGATATATATATATATATATATATATGTCTATTAATGTAACGATTATGTAATAGATAAATCATTGAAACTTGTCTCTATAAATATTAGTTGTTATAAAGTAAGTTTTTAAATACAATTTAATACGTAAGCTATTATATATTTGCTAATGAGCAATACACATTCACACGCGTATATATAATTCAACAAATGATAATATTCTATCATTATATGTCATTTTTTGTCATTCAATGAAGCAACTCAACTTCATCCAGCTGATGATGTATTGATATATAAATATTGAATGAATTTTTCATACATTATTTGTAATAAATTGGTAGAGCTTAGATATATATTTAAAAATTACAATAACTCATGTTAACTAATGATTCAAAAATTAAATGTGCATTTAAAATCAAACTCGGTTGCTAGATTTGTCATTCATTTTTTATCACAAAATGCACAAGTCATTATTTTCAATTCAAATTAATGTGTGTATATATGTGTGTGTAATACATTTTCTAAAGCCTGAGTCTGCATTAATAAAATCTTTTGATTATTAATTGAATATATTTTTAGAAAAGTAAGTGTAATTCGGTGTGATTTCTTTGATAAACATGAGAAGAATTTTTGATTTTTACATTTCCAATAATATTGGTAAAGATAACTTCTGATGATATGGTTCATTAATAAATGAAGAATCATCTTATTGTGTCGTAAAAATAATTGTTTCTAGCTAACGAAAGTTTATGTAAAAAGAAACTATCCAAGACTTTTGCACTCTTTTATTTATTTATTTGAAGTTACGATTAAATTTACATCGGTTCAAGTAAGTCTGTTGTAGATTATGACTATCTGGTAAAGTATTTCATTTGCAAAAAATGAAAATGAATTTGTCCTTTAAAACTAAAGAAGATATAATATATTCTTAGGCAACCCATTATCTTGCTCCTGTGGAATGCTATGGCTACGAGGCTGGTTACAACAGGCGTCGTCCGAGGGTCCGCGTTGCGCCGACGGCTCGCTTTTCCGGGAAATTCGACTGTCGAAACAGGACTGCCAGCGGGAGCGACAGCTCGAGCCGCTCTACCCAGGCTGCGAGTCCGAAGGGTTGAGCGCGACCTCGACCTCAATTTCACCGCACTGTAAGTCACGCTTATAATTCGACCTCAAGATTTTGAAAATCATTTCAAATAATTGGAAATTATAATTACTTATTGACCCAAGAACTTTAATGAATATAGCTTTTCAGCTATCAGCTTCTATAAACGAATCTAAACCTGGTGTTTAATACCTGATATTTTGCACTAGGTACGTACAATCAATCGATAAAAGCCGATCCGAGTTACACATTATTTTCAGCTGCTTTTATTCGTAAATAATAATAATTTGCCAATGATATTTGTGTATATTAAAAGAAAAAACTTACCAAGTAGGATACCAGTTTTTTCAAGTATTGTGATAAACACTTTTACCATTAATATAAAATTTATTCGTAACTAACTCGTTTTCCTGCCCCTCGTTTTCCCGCCTCTCTAGAAAATCCCAAGGACTATCCACGCCTCAAAATCTGCCGTCTTCTATGCGCGTGTAATTAATTCGTCTCATGCAAAATACAGACTCGCTGCCGTCTTGGATGGATATGAAAAAGCCGTCACGGTTACCTGCTCAGGATTCCGATTACTCTTACAATGACTACGACGATTACCCACAGGAGGGTAACTCGACCGACATCTCTAATGCCCTCGGCGGTAATGTAGCGTCGTCGTCACCCTCGCCGTCCTCGGTGATGACAGTCGGCCCTCAAGCAACCGGCCATAATGTTCAAGTCGCGAGGCCAACAAGTCCCTCCAAAAGCCTGGGAGTGAAGAATGTTACCGCTGCGGGTAACCGCAAGCCCACAATACCGCCCTCGCCCAGTAGCTCTGGGTTTACTTTTTTCGGGGTACCGTTACCGAATCTCAATTTTAACCTTTGGGGTGAGTTTATAGTACAATTTAACCGATAACTTTTTTAATAAATTACATTTTAATAAAGTCATTTATTATGTATTAATTTATTAATAAACGATAAGAAACATTCATAGTAAAAAATTTAGCCATGTATAAATGTCTACAAACAATTACTCATAATTAATGTATTTTATGTTTATTTTAAGATCGTTTTCATTTTATAGATGTTTATAAAATTATTTAAATCAAACATCTTAAATGCTTATCGAGTCTTATGATTTACATGTCTCTCTCATTTGTCCTTTTACAATGTTATTGATTCCCGTTTCTAAATCATTTGCTTTTTCGTTGCAGGTAATGCAGCTAAAAAGGCTAATAGAAAGGAGGATAGTAATGATGCTTCTTACTCGAATTCTTCGAAATTATCGGTATCCTCGAGACCAGGTCGTAGTCGTTATAGGAATTTCCTACCCACCGAGCCAGAGATCCATCGGGGAGGTTTCGTGCCTTTACCACGTGGTCAAGGTGGTTTCATCCCAATCGTAGATCCTCGATTGGAACAACGTCCATTTAATGTAAACAACTCTGATACTTCGATCATTTCAAAGAACTCGAGTAAAGAAAACGAGAACGGTAGTCAGATGTTACATGAGCGTAAACATATCAAGACTTCGAACTACAATCTAGGCAAAATAGAAAGAACAAATGGACCGGTGACGAGCGGCCATAATCATTCGCTAAGTAAGTTTTTCCTTGATTAAATATAAACCGTTTCATTTGGTATTATTTTTAATATTTCTATAGTTTATACAGTCAGACTTTATGCCTACAAATAACCGCAAAATAAAAAATAAATAATATTTTACATCATATTGTGTTTCTTTACCGTCTGTAAAAAGAAAAAAAAATTTTTAGTGATTAAATTTACAGAGTCAATTACTTTGTATTATGATAAATAATTTTAAATCTAATATTTAATAATATTTAAAGGAAGTACAACAATTAAAGTATAATTTTATTGAGAATATTAACAAAAGAACGTTTTAAGTAAAATTTGTACATTCCAATACAAAAACCCTTTTAATATGCAGAGACGACTGTTTGAAATCTTATTTAATATGTATATATTTCTATCAGCTCAGAATATTCTAAAATTCTAAGATTCGAATTAAAATTTTGATTTACCGAAAAAATATGAATCCAATGTATGCACAGATTTAGGGAATGCGAAATCTCGTCAACCTGATCGTAATCGTGAAAAGTTTACGGGAGCTGTTTCTATTCGAAGAGAGCCAAATAGTGGTTCGACCATAACCCAAGATTCAAGCGTTGAAGCCCATGAAACTCTCGTCTCAACAGAAATATATGTCAATGAAAGTATCGAAGGCATTCCAGAAGACGAAGAAAACAAAGATGACAGGACGGTGAGTAGGATCGTCTGGGAGTCGGATAAGACAAGAAATGTTAGTACGACGATAAAAGAGGTACCAATAGTTAATGTCGACAAACTCCATTCTAACATAAATAACACCAGCAATGACAGAATTAGTAATAATCGATTAAAAGCAACAACAATGCCAACAACAATGATCACAACGACGCAAGTTATTGCAGGTGACAACACAGATACGCACTATTGAGAGTAGCTTAATAATAATATTAAATATTTATGACTTAATTGTAAATTCACGTATTTCTATAAAATAAGAAATTTCTTCGTGTTAATAAAACGAAAAAATTTAAATATTTAAATATAATTTAAATACAAGCGAAATAGTGAAATTATTAATAATAACTATAATCTAATTTATAAGAATTAAATTGTTGAATATTCCTTTGAATTAAATAATTTTCTTTTAATTTAAAATTTCTTAATATTTTATAATACTAAATTAATAATATTAAATTATTATTATTATTATAATCAATTTCAAATTTAAGCAATTAAATATATTAATTACGAATAGATCGAGAAGGTCATTAATTATATGTGACTAATGAACAAATACTTTATTATTCAATTGGATGAATTAAGTTATTTAAATTTATATCATTTAAGCTATTTTCCCTTAATAAAGGTTTGAATGAAAATTTGTATTATAATTTTCGTTACAAAGATATACGTATATAAAATACACGAAGAGAAAGATAAAAAAAATTTAATTTACAGTTACATATGTATTTAAAGAGTGTGTATTTTAATTGAAGAGTGAATATATATGATAACAATAAGACAGTCACAAAATTTTCAAATAATCAAATTGAGTTTTTCGTGTAAACTTTGAAATTTAATTACAATAATTTAGTTGTTAAATTAATAAAGAATAAAATATTTAATATGACAATCAGTCAATGAAAAATGATGAATTACTTATATGTTTAACTTAGATTAAGATATTTTTAATTTTTAACACATTTTGGATTGCCTTTTTAGAAAATATACAAATTATGCAAGAAACTTCAATTAAACAAGCTGATACATCAACACCAAATACTTTGATAGCACAAACATTGGACGCTTTGAATTTGACACCTCAGGTTACAAGGAGTATGGAAGCATCTGCTTTATCAGCTCTATTAGTTCCTGGTGGACAGTTACCACCAGTTACCGTATCAGGAACTAATATTCGACAATTCGGTAGATCTACCATTACTAAAATTCCTTCACCATATTTTGAACCAAACAATGATAATAATGTTCAAGAAAAATTAATCGAAAACAGAGAAAATTTACTTTCCAAAGAAGACAATCACCTGAGCGGATCTTCGGTTGATGAAACTGTTAAGCTCCTCGAGAACGATAATTTTAACTGGTACTTCCAACATTATAATGACTCTAACTTGGAACCTTATGTTGGTATTATTTACGGAGGTAATTTGGCATCTTCAGTAAAAGTCGATCATTTATCAATGTTTGTATATGCATATTATTTAATTCGATACTTACTCTGAGAATTCATTAATTTAATTATGAATTCTAATATACCGTGTAAATTATTAAATTATGTTCAAATTAAATTAAGAGTTGATTAGTACAATTATTTTTAAAATAAATAGGATTTAAAAGTAATATAATCGTAAATCTGTTATCAAATTTTAAGTAAGTTGTTATATTTTCATGACTAAATATCAACCTTTCTAATACAAAAATAAAAATTGTAAAATTGGATAGATCTTATTGATTAAACACTGCTTAGTATTTGTTTTAATTCTACTATAATATTAACTAAAATACAGTATTTTATTTTTAAAACTGTACATTGAAATCTACTGTACTAATCTATAACCCAATATTGAGAAAAATATAATTTGTAAAATCATTTGCAAATATTGACGTCTATCTAAATTTCATATTTTATGCATGAAATATCATATTTCAAGTTTCAAGTTAAAAAATAGTATATGTAAATAATCTAATTCTTTAAAGAGCAAATTTTACAATAAACATTTTTTAAATATGTATTGCATTTAAATTATTAATTAAATGAAAATTAATTTTTCAAATGAATAATAATATAATTGTATGAGTTAAGTTACCAAAACCAAAAAATGTATTGTTAATAATTTTTAAAAATATTAAATAACTATTTTTATATCATATATATGGATTATGTCATATCTATTAAATAATAATGAATAATTATTAAAAATCTGATTGAAATATAATTCTTATATAAATAAACTTTTGTTTTTATTTTAATAGATGTAAGATAGAATTTAAAAATATAAATAAAATGTTTTTCATATAATTTTATTTGATATTTTCATTTGATTATATGTGCTTTAATTCCAATTTGATTTCCAAATGTTAAAGTAAAATTAATTAATTGAGTAGATTTCAAAAATATATAACCTAAATATAACTCCTGTTATAACTAAATTATAAACTAATTATATAGCAATTTCAGTATATAAATTTATTATTTAAGTGCGTTTTTAAAAAGCTTAGTGATGTATTGTATTCAGCTATCAATACATAATTATTGCAATGATTAAATCACTTTCTATGTTTTCTTTATTTTAGGAAATATAAAATATTTTTACTAGAAATTATTTTTAATGAAAATCAGATGGATCTATTCTATATTATATGTATTGAATATAAAAATAAATAATGAAAAAACAAAATATCTATTTCAAAAAAACATTAATCTTTTTACTGATGTGAGCACAAGAACGCCTTATTATTTAAAAACAAGTTTTCTTCTTTTTAGTATAAGAACATATTGAATATTAGTCTCGTTGAATACTATTACACAGCAAAAGGAATCTTTCGATTTTCTCATTCAGTTAACTGCTTAAAGATTATTTCGCCATATTTTTAATTCGTATTCTGATTCTGCGTATAACACAGCTTTTAAAAAACAACGCTGGTCTGTACAAATATTGTGACGAGGCTTATTCTTATATCCAATTGGTTTGCACAATTGATTTATTAATAGTCCATAAAGAAGTGCAAATCGCATGAAAAATTGATTTTAAAAAATATTCTCACAACATTTCACTTCACTTTTTAGCCTTTTCTTTTTCGTCCTTCTTATCTTCTTCCTTTTTTTCATCTTTCTTGGTTTCCTTTTTGTCTGTTTCCTTTTTTTCTGCATCTCGATTTGTTAACTTATTGTTGATCAAATTGTGAAGTGCAATGATAGACCTCACTAAAGCGGCAAGATATACAACTAGCATTTGGTCATTTGTTTTAACATATAATGAATCAACAAATGTATTTTGTGTCATATCTGGTAGTAAATTGAAAATATCTTGCAGCTGGTATACTATTTGATGATTTATTGGTAATTTTCCATCGCCTACCTATAATAATTATTTGTATTTAATAATATATAATTACAATAAATTTGTTTCTTTTTCAATAGGTTACAAAAACGATGGTTTAAATATAAAACAATCATAAATAATAATAAATTAATAAAGCCTATCAATTAAAATAATTGAATTTAAAAAATAAAAGAAATTATAATATACAAACTTTTAAAAGGTAGTTTTTAATTTCTTCAATTTGTGCATGAAGTCCTTTCAAGCCTAACAATTGGTTTGTAATTCTTTGACTTAATGTGCCAACAGTTGTATCTTTAATATCTCGCAGTAAGTGTTCGACACCTACTTCTTCTGCTTCTTCAGCACCAATTTCACTAGGAATATGTTCAAATGTTTTAGAGGTTGGTGAACCATCCTATAAAAACATTAACAAAGAAATAAAATAAAATAATTTTCATTTTTAGTTATTGAATATTTTTTTATATATGAAAACATTACTTGTAATTATTACTCACATCATGAACTTCTTCAACTGCTTGATAAGCTTCAGTTGGAAGACCAAGATCTTTTGGTTTGGCATCAATAATAATCAACACAGAATTAGGGCAGTACCTTCTAATTAGTTCATTAATTGCAACATCATTCTGATGTAACTTAGGTCCTGTGTGATACCAGCCAACTACTTTTTCTCGGGCTGAAAATATAAAAATTATGAATTTTTATAGAATCAAATATATATATATATAGTCGAATATATGGTAAAGTGAAATTATAAATTTTGCTAACTTTAAAAATTTACACATACTTTATTTGAATATATATTAATATATAAAATGTAATAATACACACAAGACTGTATTTTTAATTTTAACATTTAGAAATAATATTTTACCTAAACTTAAAATTTTATTTTAGCATAAAGCTTGCATTTTTATATAAATATTATTATATACATAATTAAAAAGTTACAAAAATTTTGATTAAAATTTTTAAATTATGCTTTATTATACTTTAAAACTGTCATGTAAGAATAATGATCTTTCGATATTGGAATTGTTTAAATATATATTAATATTTAATGAATATTGCTGATAATTGATAAAGATAAATACTTTATTTTTAATTTATGCCGAAAGATTTTGGTAAATATTATATAATAGCCTACCATTGACTTTTTTGAACATTCCATACATGTTTTCCAAGTAATCGTGATCAAGGAACCACACAGATTTATCTTTGTCATCCTCATCGAAGGGTACTGAAAATATATAAAATATGTTTATTAAGAATGTCACGTAACGTTTGTTTACTTCATAAAATCTAAATATTTTTAACACATGTATAGTAAATAAATAAATAAAAATAGATATAAAGTAATGAACAGTAAGGTGTAGAGTAAAACATAACCTGCAAAACTGTTAGAGACATCTAGAACCCCCTTGGCTCGCCAGCAACCTAAAAGAACACCGACAACCCTTTTCTGGTTACCGATTTTACCCATACGATTAAAATGATCAACTACGCTGAGGAGGACCAGTGGATGGACCACGACTTTTGTCGTGACGACCTCTTGACTCGGCATTTTTGAATATATCGCTGTCCGGGTTAGTCACTGTACAAATCTTTCCTCACAATTGCTTTCGGCAACAGCAGCACGTCGATTAAAGCTCCCCCTACAGTAGCGTACAAAGTTACTCATTTTGCTATAAAAAAAATATTTTGAAATAGATCTTCACTTACTTGGTTTTCCAATTTACAAATTATTAAAAAATTCAATTAAAAATTTACATCAACGGAGAATTACATTTATAATATAAATAATTAAAATTTTAATTAGTAAGAGGAATAAAATTCTTCGGACATAATGAAATGCGATCCGAACTTTTGCAAATTGCAAATTACATGCAGTTTATTTTATAAATAAAAATAATAAACAATATTTTAAGTTAAAACTTCATAATTCATAGCGCATCCAAATATAAATATAAACAATTGAACAAATTGTTTAATAATCGTTTAATAAATTTAATTCTGCACATTTAAAAAGTAAACAATATATTGTTTATTAAAATTATAGATTTCAATATTGATATGGAAACACTATAGTCTGACGAAAGAATTACAATATAATTTGAAGAATAGTTACAACAATGAATTATACTTTCTATTATTTAGTTTCGCTAAGCACCGAGTTAAGAAAAAGTTAATATTACAAATACGTGAAAAATAAAAAAATATTTAGTAGATTAATAAATTTCGTTTTTCCACAATAAAGTTTAAACATTTAATTATTATTTTTTAATTATTTTAGACTTTAATAATATTTTGTACCTTAACGGCCGAAAGTCTATAATCGATGGTAAGAATTAAATCAACCTCAAACTCTGTTTTCTAAAATAATTTTGAACTATTAAAAACATTGATATTTACATTTAATCATTGAATATATTCACTGCAGTTTCTATTGCATTTGCGGAGTTTGTAGTTTTTTGCGGTGTGTGTGTTTCTTTTGCAGAGTTTGTAGTTTTTTTGCGGAGTTTGTGGTTTTTATTTAATCTTATGACTAGCATATTGTTATATTACTTATAAAATTTATAATATTAAAGAAAAGATAATTTGTAACTTTATCGATACTAAATACTCCTCAATAGAATTAAATCGTAATAATATATATCATCGTATGAATTGGTTAAATACTATTACAAGATTGTTTTATTTTTGTAAAACAATACAAATGTCGTACTTTTCTTTTTAATGAAGTCGTTTATATTTACGTTTCATTATTATATTAATTTTCTTTAATACTTACGTGTAACTTTCATTAAATACGTAAATATGATCCGTCCTACCATGTGCACATTTTATATAATAAAAATGTTTAATATTTTATATGTAATTTTTATATGCTATTTTATTTCATTACCTACAATAATTATTAGATTACAAATAAATACATCAATTAATTAATATAAAAGCAAAACGGTAAACTACTTGCTTTTACTTCATGAAATATCTATTTAATTTCATAATCTATTAAATCTATGAAAATACTTGCAATAATTAGAAATATAAATTGAATTACTTTGAACAATTTAAAAATAAGCAAGTTAAAACCCATTAATATAATAAATCTAATTTCAATTATAAAATTATGAATATTTAATTACAATAAATAAAAGGAAACGGATGCAAGAGAAACATGATTCGTAAACTTAGGAAAATAACTGCATATGCTTCGTTGATAAATTGCAAAAGTAATTCCAAACATATCCGATATTTTTATTTATTATATATATATATATATATATATATATATATATATATATATATATATATATTAATAATACAATGATGAAAAATATTATATATCTATACATATATGTATACGAATATGTATAAATACATACAGAAACATAAACACATAATATATTTTGATTTTTATGACATTAACTTTTATTTTCTATTATCCTCAAGGCGGTCCTAGTACTCGAGTATTGGACAAAATTTTTTTTTAAATTTGACAATATTATGTAATACGGCTCTTTGTATCTGAACTTCAAAACAAATGCCAGTCTGACGCTATACGTCTGAGTGCTTATGTTGGCTACATTGTTGTACATCACGACTCGTCGCTATGTGCCTTCGTTTCTCCGTGACGAAAATTTCTCGAGGCTTAACCAGGTATTTATAAATTTATTAATTTTGATAATTTTGTGTAAACGAAATATTATTGCTTGTTGATAGTTCTAGTAAAAGCATATAATTTATTCATTTATTATAATTCAAAATCTTATGATTGCTTAGAAGTTATGATCGTCATTTATTGAAAAGTCACGTGGCGACTTCTCGCTAATCAACATACCAAGAATTTTGGCACTAAATTTAAAAATATTTTTGTTTAATTATTATTTATTATTTGTTTAATATTGAATTAGCAATATGTTTATTTGAAGTAGTGAATTTACAAAGAAAATTATAGTATTGGTCCTATTAAAACTGTAAACAAATGCTCTATTATAACAATATAAAACATTTTATTATACAATTTTGTTACTTTTAGTTTTAATTTATAATAATCAGCATAATTTTATATTGAAATTGTTACATTGTTTAAAAAGTGAAGGATTTATTAAAGTCCTTTCTTTAATTCTTCGGTGATATTTATATGACAGTACATAGTTTATATTCAATTTTAAAAAGCAAGCCTTCAAATACCGCTTTAATTAGTAATAGATAATATTGAATTTCATAATTATATAATTATATATGAAATTAAGCAATTTACATTTATAATCTTATAGTTAATTTATTAATATTTTATATAGTGATAGATAACAAGAAAATACTTGTAATTCATTTTTAAATAATTGTTTTTTATATCATATACTTATTATACTTATTCTGTAACTAATAATCTTTTACGAATTTAAATTGGTATGAAGTTATTAAAATTAACTATTAATTTGTAATTATAATAGAAAATTACATGTAAATACAAACGAATTATAACACAAAATAATTAGAGGAAAAAATAAGTTGGCACTTTATGATTTTGTTCTAAGCAAAAATGAAATATTTTTAAATATAGTTATTTTATTGTCAATGAATTATCGACGTATAGTAAAATGAAATATATGAAATAGTGTATACTGAAATTGTAAAATAATTATAGTAAAACAGCATAATGTAAATAATAAAACAAATATAATTAACAATCCATTCTTCGATTTACTCCATTCATTCTGTACTGCTAACAATACATAATTCTCTTTTAGTTTATATCATAATATACCATGTATATATTATAGATTTCCTGTGTACATTCATATTTTTATTTTATTGTTACTACTTTGGTTATGGCTACCTTGTACATTGCCATTGTAATTAAATCAACAGATAGATATTTATTTTAATTCAGATTTGATTTTTAAATTCATATTACAGAATGTTGATTCAAATGAATTTATAAGAATTGAATATATTAGGTTTATGGAAATGTTAATTATTATTATTATAGAATTATCATATATATATATATATATATATATATATATTGATTCGAATACTGTATACTATATTGTAATTAAATTATAACATTTGAAGGTAATTTATTATTTCATTGTTTTTGAATATTAACTATATTGTTTATGTAGAAAATTATATATATTCATGAATTTGTAAAGATTAGAACAGTATAAAAAAATACATATAATTTATAAATTTTTAATTATAATTGTATATAATATTTTTATAATATATTTATAATATATAAATTATAAACGAAAGAGAAAAAAAAATTGTATTCAACATTATTATATTTTATTCATTATTTTGTTTTAAAAACAAGAATGTAATAAAATGAAAAATTATTAACATGACAGTATTTAAATTGATATTATAGTATGTCGAAGCCAATAGTATTTGTAACGGGAAACGCCAAGAAGTTGGAAGAATTTATTGCTATACTTGGCAAGGGATTTCCTCGAGAAATAACAAGTAAAAAAATTGATCTTCCCGAATATCAGGGCGAGATCGACGAAATCTGTATTAAAAAGTGTGAGACAGCAGTCAAGATTGTTCAGGGTCCAGTAATAATCGAGGACACGTGTCTGTGTTTCGATGCTTTAAAGGGTTTGCCAGGACCTTACATTAAATGGTTTCTGGATAAACTCGGACCCGATGGCTTATATACAATGTTGGCTGGATTTGAAAATAAAAAGGCTCAAGCTGTATGCACATTCGCCTATTGTGAGGGCAAAGTGGATGATCCGGTTTTACTATTTGAAGGTTTGCATATTTTAACAAATCAGTTATTATAAGAATATGTTTTAATAAAAAATTTGATGTTTGTATTTATAATTCGATGTTTAAAGTGTATTTTATAGTCAGCGGTAAAATTAGATTTATTTAAAATGGGATATTTTCATTTTTAGTTTCTGCGAATAATGTACATAGGATCGGTTTTCATAATTACCAAATTTAAAAGTAAATTTTTAGTTATCAATGCACAAGTTCGACGAGATGTTGAGAAAATAGTTGATCATATTACAGGAAATAAGAGATTAATTTACGAATGAATTCATGTAATGTGATGAGATGTTTGTTGAAGATAAGTTTTTTTTTCATTAAGCAAAAAGACGCCAAGATTAAAAAATATATTCGATTCTAAGAATATAATTAAAATTTTTTAAATACTTTTACTAAATATTAACTACATTTTATATATCATATTACATTTAAAAATAATTATCTTTATTGAAATTTATTTATAATCGATATGTTTATATGAAAAATTTCAATTCAATTGACAATTAAAAGGGATCTTTATTTGTATTGTAAAGGGTTTTTAATATATTTTTAATTAATAATTGAAAGGTTTCATAAAAATTTTTGGAGAAAGACATATCAATCAGATAATAAAAAAAAAATATTTTCTGACGATTTATATTATAATTTTACTAAATTTTCATTATAGAATTATATGTATAATTATATTGTTAATATTACTACTTGTTTATCGAGAAATTAGTTGTGTCGAAGAATATTTTCCCTGTTTAAAATCGAATATTTGTCATAATTACAAAAGAAATTAGATTTATAAATAATTTTTGCTTTTAATTAAACTAATAAATGCAATAATGCAATAAAAAAGTAATGTAATAAATATCAATAATCCAGAAAATACGAATAATAAAATTAATTTTTAATTCAGGACGAACATATGGTACTATTGTTAAACCAAGAGGTACAATAAAATTTGGTTGGGATCCCTGTTTCCAGCCTGATGGCAAAGATGTTACTTTTGCCGAATTGTCAAAAGAGACAAAGAATGAAATTTCACATAGGAGCAAAGCTTTATCGAAGCTTAAAGAGTATTTATTGAAGGATGAAATGAATCCTGCATTAGAAATATAAGTTTTAGAATAATGTTTTTATCTGACTAGAAAACAATTTATTTTTAACAGCTGGTGATTTGTGTTAAAAAATTTTTTTTTGAATAATTAAGACATTGTGTTGACATAATTTTTGATATGTTGTAAACTTTGCATTACGATTAACATTTTGTTAATGACTAGTAATTTATATACATAACACTATTTTTTTTAATAGATTTGACCATGCATGAAATTATAAATGTTGCGATAGAATTGAAATCTATAGAGTTATTTATTCAAAGAAATATTTCATCTAAGAATATGTTTACATTTGTTAATGTAAAGATGTAATTTAACACGTAAACAAAAATTTCTTACTCAGGAAATCGTAACTTAATATTTGTATTCAGCATTAAAATGTTAAACGTTCTGAAGATAATTTCACAAGATAAATCACATTTAAACCACTTTTTAATGGTTTAATAAATATATTTTAATTTTAAAGTAAACCTTAATAACAGTACATTAGAATTAAAATGTCATAATTTATTACTCTTATAAATGTTAAATTATTATATAAGTAAATTATTTTACTTTATTCTAATTGTAATATCCGTATTTTAAAATTATATTAATAATTTTATAGTTCGTAGTGTTAAGAATTGTTGCTTAAATTAGGATATAAGAGTTTACAATAATAAAGTACTTGAGTAGCTTACTAACGTGTAAGCAGATTTTTCACGTTTTTCAAAGATATTCTCAATTTATGCAATAACAAATAAATATGTTGATTTATAAGATGTATTTATTCGACTTCGATTGATGTTTATAATGATTAACTAAATAGAGATGATTATATGGTCATTTTTAAATTGTCAACAAATTCTATTAAAACTGTTTTAATGTATTTTAAGCTATTTTAATAAATGAATATTGAAATATTAGTTTTTTACATTAATTTGTATTTACTGTATATTACAAAAATTTGCGATGATTAATTTTCAATTTCAATATTTTTAAAATTAGATTTTTAATTTTTCCTTTAATTTAATTGCTTCCATTGTTTACTTAGAATAGCTTGAAATAAGTTATTTAATAATGTTTTAATAAATATCTATTTATATCAGTGTTGTTTATATTTGCATATAAGTTAATTGCTCTATGTAAATTTTTAATAAAATTATAGAAAAATTGTGAAATAAAATTAATTTAGAATTTTTTTCCTCCCTAATTTAAATTTTTCTAGAATATATTAAATTATAGTATCAATGACTGTTTTATAATTATGATATTAAACTTATTATATTGTTAATAATTGTATTGTTTATAATTATTATTCTAAAATAAATAGTTTCTAATTGTTTATAATTAATATAATTATTATTATTGTTTAATTATTTATTTTGAGAGTTTACGTGTGTTATAAAACATAAAGTTAGAAGATACTATTTATATTTTTTAATAAATAATTAAAAATTATTATGCATTCAATACATTGGTAGATAATTCAGAATTCAAATTATGTGTTAATTCAATACATTATTAACATAATTCTTCAATATTCGTTTCCAAGTTGTATTTAAATATTTGTATTTATTATGTTATCTTCAACCACAATATTTTTTGATACAATAAGATAAAATGTATCTTTTTCAAAATGCATAATTGACCACTATCGATTGATTATTGTCGAACAATCATTATTGATCTTTCAAGGGTATTGATTAGTATAATTAATCATTAATAAAATCTTAAATATTGATATTTGTGTGATATCAATTACATAGTTAGTGCGATCAAATACAGAGTTACTGAGTTCTGAGAATAGAGTAATACACCTTTTTTAAAATTTAATTTATTATATGTATTCGATAAAACATTTTATTTTAAAGAGATTATGCCTATATATTATCTTGATAGTGGATTTTTTTTTAATATTGACTAATCTGTACCTTGATAATTAAGGCTTAATGAAATAGTGTTTTGAAATAGTTAATTTTAATCGAAAATATATTAATTATTCATTAATATATATAGCATATTCATAAATGTATTCGCACACATGTACGGGTATATATATATATATATATATATATATACATATAAATCAGCAATTAATATTCTTATTTTTATGTAAATAGTTAATTTTTAAGTGAATTTTTTAACATTGTTTTATAAATAATTAAATTTTTTTATTTTCTTGTCTATTGAAAGTAACATAATATTGTAAAGGATTGTAATTTTTATTATCAGAATATATAGCATATCGTGTAATTTATTCTATTTTATTCTATGAATGATTTCAAAATTTTATATTTAATGTTTCAATGAAAAATACATAAAAGCATAACTATTGTTGTTTTATTTATTATATATATAACTTATTATTTTTCAACATAATATATAACGTTTACAATTATTTTAATGAGTTTTTAAACTTCGTAACAATTAAATAATTTAAATAATTAAAATTTAAATATATTTATGTAATATTATATGAGAGTAGTAAATAGAAAATACGATAGTACTGAGATATCTTAATTATAACAAAAATACAGTTAAAAATTAGACATTAAAATTCAAAAAATGTTTAAAAATATTTATATAAATTTCTCTACAGTATCAAAATATAAAGATTTATAATCAATAAAAAAGCAATTTATTAAATGTTTAAATATAATTATAATTAATAAAAAAAAAACAATTTATTAAATTATCTAACAATTAGTTTTTTTTCTATTAAAATTTCACAGTTTAATGTTATAATACTGCCATATTGCCATAAAATAACGATAACGATTTCTTTATAAACGATTATTTGTATCAGTTACATATTAAAGTATAAGTAATTTACATATCTTAATCACAATTCAAAATCAGAAACGTTCCATATTTTATATCTTACGATACAAAAGATGACATAACACATTACTATTAATTTACAATTTAAAACACTTACAAATTTAAACAACATTAATAAATTCTTATTCCTTTTTATTTATTACTTATTAATACAGCTTTTCCTTTGAAGTATTACATATACTGCAAATTATTTTTTTGTAGCGAATAAATACGAGTTTTTATGTACTTAACATTAATATTGATTACAATTCTATTGAATTAGATATAAAAAATTGAATAAAATTTATCGCATAAATATTAATTACAATAAAATTTTATCGTAATAATTTTTGTATAACAAAAATAGTATTTGGTATTTGTTGCAATATTAAGTAAAATATTACATTTCCAAATACCAAAATAAAAATTATTAGTTAAAGTTCATTAATAAATGTATTTTCAATGTTGTGGATATTAGGATATTATATGTATATCGAATTACTATCTTCAATGTATTATACAGCTAATTTCAGATAACAAATTCAACACTACTGATAGTTTCTCAACCATTCTTTTTTAATCGAATCACTTATCTTTTCCGCGATCATTATAGTTGGGGCATTAGTATTTCCTCTAGTAATGATTGGCATTATTGAAGCATCCACGACTCTTAATGACTTAATTCCGTAAACTTTCAAATTCGAATCAACGACAGCATTTGGATCTTTTTTTGGGCCCATTTTGCAAGTTCCTACCGGATGATAAAAAGTAATTGTGTATTCTGTTATTAAGCACTTCCAATAATCATCAGTGTCAAATTTGTATTTTGTACAGGATGGCATTGGTTCCTCATAGAGTTTAAAACCATTTTTCTCAAAAATTTTGGTACTAAATAGTTTACGAATTATTCGAATACCGGCTATTAACGCATCAAGATCTCGTGATGCGTCAAAGTAGTTAGGATATATTAATGGAGGTGACCATATTGGATTGGTTTGATTTAAAGTAATAAAACCTCTACTGCGAGGTCTAAGTAAAACTGGTAAAATATTTAAACCTGAATAATAAGGCAATGGCAGCATTGCTGAACTTGGGGATCCATCGACGAATGCTTTGTAATCCTGCAAAAGTGATACAAAAATGGTACCTTAAAAGTGTAGTTATTCAAATACTTATTTATAAAATATATTAATTATATTATAATTAATTTACTGCAGTATTAATTAAATACTAGATAAATTTTATTTTCAAATTTCATATAATTAAGTATACTTAATAATTAATATTGTAAAAAATTGAAAGTTCTATGAATGAAATGGGTTTTTCAAAACTGCCGAGTAGCTATAGCGGGTGGTGAAATATATATTATATAAATTCAATAATATATTTACTGTTATATTTAGTCCTTGAAACATAATTTGAATATCCGGAGAATTTTTTATTCGTTCAAAGATTGTCTGGATAAAAGTGTTTGTAGGTATCACACTCCCTGAAATAATGTTATCATGTGTTTTTAAATACTGTATGGAATCTTGTTTTATTTGTTCGAAATCAGCCAATGTTTGAGATTTTTCATTTATATTTATCAGAAAACCCCTGAAGGATGGATGATCATGAAGATTTTTTCCAACGGACAAATTCTTAATTATTTTAATTCCTAATTTATTCAGTTCTCTTTTTGGCCCTATTCCGGAAAGCATTAAAAGTTTTGGTGAATTGATTGCTCCTCCAGAAATAATAACTTCTTTGGCCGCAAAAGCTTGTTTTACTTTTCTGTCACTGTGAACGAATACTTTATTAATGAATGACGTACTCTATGACAAATAATATTTATATTGTTTAAAGTCTGCACTATTGACTTAATCGACATTAATTTAATAATATTATATTTTTTAATTATTATTAATAATAAATTAATAAATCAAGATCTTGTGTTACGTCAAACTTAAATATAAATCATTTGTTTTAAAACATACAAAAATTTAAAACATCTATTACTAGAAACATACAAAATTTGAGTACCTTGAGTTTGTTAAGATATATTCAACACCCTTTGCTCGATTAGTTATTGGATCGATTATAATTTTTGTCACATATGCTTCAGTTTTTACAACAAGGTTACGTCTTTTATTAATAATAGGACGTATAAATGCACCATTTGTACTTTGACGTTGCCCATCTTTGGAAGTTGATTGAATTTTGAAAACACCAATGTGTTCATTTGCATTTGGGTCGATGGTTTTAAAACCAATTTCATTCCAAGCATTAAGTATTATATTCGTATTTGGATCAACGTACGGTAGGTATTCAACGGTTAAATAGCCTCCTGTATTATGATAATTGGGATTCGCTGCCACAATCTCCAATGTAAAAATAATTCTTACTTCAATAATTATTCAATACAATTAATATACATAATTCAATAATTAATACAAAATAAGCATTTCTTGTAGAGTACATAATTTTTTAATGAAATTCAACGTTTCTCATTCATTTTATCTTGATTAATATGCATTTTATATATTATAAATAAGATAAACAACAATAATTTATTATAACTTCCGTACTACTCAAAGACTTTTATCTAGAACTTTTAATGTTTATTGCTTGTTGAAAACAAAATAAGACATTAAAATGTATTTAAATACTAAATATTATTGTATAAGATATATATATATATATATATATATATATATATATATATATATAATGCTTATTGATTTTTTTACAATTTGGCATAATAAGTATATGCTTGGTAAATATGACACTATTGCATTATTTGTTATTTATTCAATGAATAATATTAAAAGCAATACATAATAATATAAAAATTATTATACAATAATATTATACCTCTGGATTTCGATTGTTTTCTGATTTTTTAAAATAAGGCAATACATCTTGGTAGCTCCAGCCAGTATTACCTAAACGAGCCCAATTATTAAAATCTTCAGGATGTCCTCGAATGTATATAAGTGCATTTATTGTACTTGATCCACCCATTACCTATTATAATATATTTTTATTTTAAATCATTGGGAATTCTCTTATTTTTGACATTTAAAGAATACGTAATTTCAAATTGTACTTTATAAATGTTTAAAAATCATTTAGTACTATTTATTTGTTTTATTATCTTTTATTTTTCCCATCACCCGAAGAATTTAAAATATTTTATTAAAAATATATTATTTATTTTAAAATAAATGACAGCTAAATTATTAATAATATAATAAATTAATTATTGAGATATAAATGCGTAGTAACAATAAGGCGAGATATTATTATTATGTTGTTTTTTAATTAATTTTTAATTAATAAATTTCTATATAAATACAGAATTTAATTCTCTCTTTTTTTCATTATCAATATTCCTAAGATTAATTAACATTTTTTTCATATAAATTTTATCTCCTTTTAACGCTGCTATTTAAATAATAAATGCTATTATTCACGTTATTATTACTCTCTAAATATTTTTTATTTTTAGTAACAGTACTCTTAAATTGTATTATTTTTATTCATATATATGTATTATCTTACAACTGAATTGTACACTTGATCATGTAGTGGAATTTAACTTACTTTTCCTCGAGGCCAATTGCATCTCCGATCAAAATATGATCGACATGAATTTTTTTGTGGTTCGGTTTTATAGCCCCAGTCAATGGTACTTTTGCCCATGATCGCTACAAAAGCTGGCGTATCGGCTGCTAAAGGTTCTTGTGTACCAGCTTCTAATAGTAAAATCTTCAAGCAAAGCTAATTTATTATACTTATCTTATTAAAAAAAAAAAAATAAACAATCAATTTTAATATTTGATTAAAATATAAAGAAGATATTTGAGCTAACATTTATGACATTTGTTTTAATAATATAGATCGTTTCAATTTAATATTTCAGTTAGAAACAATGGTATTCATAGGTTTAACAAATTTTGGAAGAATTTCGCTATAATATTATTGGATACATTGTATCGACATTCACTTATATTATTAAAGATTTGAAATTAAGACTTATCAATAATACATAAATAAGTGTTATTTATATTATTGTATATTTATTGATTAAAAAAGATCAAGGAACGAGGTGAAGCTTCCAAGAAAGAGTGATGATATGGGAATGTATAGCGATGATAAAGAGAGATATTACAAACAAAACATGATCAATAATAATATTTTCAACAGTATTAGATTGCCGAACCATCAAATATGCTAAAAATATTGAAAACTCTAGTGCTTCAATGATAGTTTTTTTTTTTATTGTCTATTGTATTTATTATATTAATAGAATTATTTTAATAGACTCGATTGGTCTAACTGTTGATTACCAAGTAGAGCTTAAAATTTTCATATAAGTCAAGTTTATATTGTTGAAATAGCTTTGTAAAATATTTTTCTTATCATAAACATTTATTTGTATTTGAATTATTGTAATTATAAGCAAGGATTTAAAAATATATTTAAATGTTTAATATTATTTGTATACAATTAGTTATGATTAAAAGAAATTTATGTCCTTACCCGCCAATTTTTTATTTCACTCAATCTGTTAGCCACAACACAACCAGCGCTTCCTCCTCCCACAATAATAAAATCATATTCACCCGGTTCATTTGTAGTATAGTTTCCATTTGCAGTGTAATTATCATTGGATTGGGCAAAGTACTGAATTAAAAAGGATACGAAACCAATAGCAGAAGGTGTACATCCTGCAAGTAATGGATTCTGCGAACATAAGCTTGAAATATTTGCAGGTCTCCAAGTCATTATTTAATTCTTAAAAATATCCAAGTTGTACAATACGTTGTGCTTGTAAAATATGTCAGTTTTATATTTAGTCTCTTCATTTTATATTCTTGATATAAATTATAAAAATGTGATTACAGCGTTTTTTCAATAATTTTAAATTTATAAACATTTTTAATTTATCGATAAGTATTATACATAATTTATCAGATAGTAGTTTTCATTCTGTGAAAAATTAAATCAAGAAATATATATAAACATTGACAAATATTTTTTAAGTTACATATTTGATAGGTTTTATAGGTTTAGTAAAATCTTATGTAAATGATAAATATTTTTAATCAATATTTAAGAATTTCATTGGAAATTTAGTTTATGTCGAATTTTATGGGATTAATATTAATATAGAAAACAATTAAAAATAGTAATTAGTTGAATAATACTTTTTAACTTCATTATTATCTTAATTACCTATTTATCTTCAATCTTATCTTAATTACCTATTTATTTATAACTTGAATGTTATAATATTTATAGTACAGTTTATATTATTGATTATATTTTAAAAAACAATAATAAAAAAGTACACGCTTAATACAAATATATTCATTAATATATAATAATTTTATATTATATAATAAATATATTTGTTAATATTCTAATGAATTAATTGTGTAATTTATATTTTATAATAAGCGATTCAAAGTGTAATTTAAAGTGATTATATATTTAAAAATTAATATTTATTATATTCAAAATTATATAAATAATATTGAGATATCAAGAAAAGGTATTTTTATTTCTCTAAAGTAAATATCGTTTAATTTTTTTAATAACAATTAAAGTAATGATTAAATTTCAATTTCAACTTCATTTATAGAATTTTGAAATTGTCAACCAAAGTTTTAATTAAATGAAAATCATCAAATAATCAATACAAGATTTTTATAAAATATTGTTTCATAAAGTTATTCATTCAGAATAAATATAATATAATAATTATAATAATTTTTTAACTACCCTTGGCAGTGTACAAGGCTATTCAGAGAATAAAAATTAATAAAGAATTTGTTATCTTGTCAATAAATCGTTCCGAGTATTATTTTTATAGTAGGTAATCAATATTTATTTAATTCTGTTGAACTAAAAATTAGATAAATTTATAAAATAATAATAAAAAAATGTTAATGTATTCAAAAAATACATAATTATAACTTGTTATGGATAGAATAATTTGAATAGAAAAAAAAATAAGTTCTTGTTTTTTGTAAATTTAGCTTTATTATATATAAATGTTTGAAAAACCTTTCAAAATATAATGGTTTTATAAATATACTTTTCTGAACAAAAATTAGACATTGATATATTACAATATTAATTTAATTATTCCATAATTAATTCCATAATTACGTAAAATATTTTACACGAAATAATTCTTACAAACAAATATGAATCTAAATAATTAAAAAGTATTTTTGGCAAAAAAAAATACTGTGAAATTAGTTATAAATAATGTTATAAGTACAATTTATAATTTATTACAATAAACTGAAATAATCGAAAATAATTTTATATGTAAATTTTTATTAGTAATAAAAATAATATTTATTTATATTATAATATTTTATTAATTATTTTTATCTAATCATAAAGAATACTGTTTTGAAATTTAATATCAAGAAAAACAAATTTTAACATTTGAATTGTGCATTGAAATTTCGATTTAATATATTAATTAAATAATCGATTAATTTTTATTTTCCATTTTTCAGTAGTGATGCGTGTTCTTGATATTTTAGCAAGTGTGGCTCTCAGTTCATCAATTCGATAACCTGCTGCTTTTAAGATTTTTTAAAAATAAAATACGTATTTTGAAAGATCATCAACACAAAAATCGTGCAACAGACCGTAACTTGTGACAGGATTGTATCTAAATACAGATTTAAATTTAATTTACGTATCAATTATTTAGCCGCTCTATTATGCACATATAATGTACTGTGATGTGATATCTTTTCACTTTAACAAATTCGCTAAAAACAATAAGATATTTCTCGTAAGTTTTTTGTTTTATCACTATACAGTTTATTAATTAAAATTATGGAAAATTTTTTACATTTGATTGAAAAATAATTTTTTCTACGCATTGTATTATTTTATACTCGTATGAATTAGATGTACGCTTTTAATTGTGGCTTTTTAATTAGATTTTTTTTTATTGATTTTGAATTGTCAATTTTCAGTTTATTGAGTAATTAAAACTAATTGAAATTAATAGATTAAAAATAAATTAAATTTATTTGTTTAAATGTAATACTGACCAAGAAATATTTATTAATTTTGTTTGGAGATCCCGCTTTGGAAAATTTAGTTTTTAACAAAGTATGCTTATAATGGTATTATAATTAGAATTTTTTCGAATATATATATATATATATATATATATACTATTTTCAATAAGTGGCTTAAAATATTATTCTATGTATTTACAAATAAGTATATATTCTATTAGATTGATCAACTGTTTTTTTTTTATAATTTCTTAAATAAATAAAACGTTTTTACTGATAAGTAGAAAGGGATATGCTTATTACTTTGTTTTATCCTATTTTTTTTTTATTAATCACAGTAATAGAATTATATGTACTATTCGATTATGAATATTTTAAATCGTTACATTGAATATTCGTATTATATATTTATATGATATATTTCTATTTTTATTATTATATACATACGCACATTATGATAGAGTGAAGATGAAAACACAGCTTAATCTTATCGTGTACTTCTTTTCACACTTTTTCCCCCAAGTTTATTTTCTTTTAACTGTCTTTTTCTATCATTGCCTGCCATTGCGATCATATTAATCTTCTTATGAAGACTTTTTTTATATAGATATTTCATATACTCATATATATGGGTATCGATTCGGACATTCTTTTTCCCTTCTTCTCTAACGTTTTGTGGGTATATGTATACATATAAACGCGCGTATATGCATAGAAATATTTGTGAATGAGAAATCTACTTTATTTATATAATAACTTTTAATTATCGTATTTAAAATCATTCCTATCAAAGTTAAAACACAATCTTCATTTACTCCGTTTATTATTAATCCAAACCGAAAATTCAAGCAATGATGATTTTTGGAAATCTTGTTCCAGTTCTGTGTAAGTCTCTAATACATATTATGTAAGTCATAAAAAATAATTAAACAACATATACGTACAGACAAATCAATTTTTTATTTTTTATTAATTATTTATATTTTTCATATATATATATATATATATATATATATATATATATAGATTCTAATTATTTTCATTAGGGTATTGAATAATTCATAGTTTTAAAAAATATGATTTATGCATATATTAATAAACTTGCTACATACACATGCATTAATAAAATATGAATAATGTGATTTCAAATTAAATAGGTTTTGTATAACTTATATTCTGTTTTACTTACTACTGTAAAGATAATTAAATAACAAAATATAGATAAATTGCGGGCATTAATAATTAATTATCAAACTTTTGTATTATACGTATGAGAAAATATCATTAATGAACTTTGTACACTTATGTTGGATTTATCAAATTAATTGTAATTTGAAATGCTTATATAGTATTTTTAATACTTTTAAACTTAATATGAATTAAAATAATTGTAAATTAACAACATTTTGAAAAATGTAAATGTTATAATAATTCTGTAATAATAAAATAATTTTGAATCATTTTGCATTTTTTGTTTTTTATTTTAATCAGTTAAAAGCTAATATCGAGTTTTGCATTAATATATATGATTTGTTATTTCGAATTCAATTTAAAATTTTCACTTTTTAAATTACTATAAAAAATAATATATTTATTCTTGTTAATTTACTGTTCTACCTTGACAATTGCTTAAATTACTTCATGTACTGTTACGAATATGATATGGTAAACATTTCTGATGACGCATTTAGATTATGATAATGAAATAAATTTTCATTGCATTAAAATTCGCTAAAACATTCACAGATTTCTTTATATATTTTAATTGGTATTAAATGTAAAAAATATGTATTTATTGTTAAAACCATTAAATTAATAAATTAATTATATTATAATATTATGTGCAGTTCCATTTAAAAAATAGTAAAGAAAATAATTATAAAAATAACTTCCTAATTGATAGTTTTTCTGATTTTAAAATTAATATCTTTAAATATTTAAAATTAAACAAAAACTTCTTAGGTAATAATTTTTTCATTTAAAGAAATGTACTAATTTAAGAATATTTAAAAATTTTAATATTATTTGAAAATCTTAAAAATGTTATTGTGATAAAAATAATAGAGTCAAAACATTACTAAAAATTTTGACAAACAGACTCTAATAACCGCGTATTTTAATTAGTATCAAAATAATTTGAGGTAACAATTGATCACGCGATAAAAATCTTCAAAGGCAATATTCTTTATTACATTCGATAGTGTCTATCATAACATAGTTTATTTCAACAATTATTTAATTATTATGTTTATTCATTCATATTCATATAAATTCATTATATTTAATAATTCATTCATATAAATCCATACTTTCTTGTTTTGAATTATTTATCTTGTTTACCACTTATAATATTCGTACAATAGTATTTAGATATTTTAATCAAGTTTTACATATAAAGCAGAGAACTTAATCTTAAAGTTTTTCATAAAACAATTTGGTTAAGAATAATTCATAATTAAATTGAAATAATAGTTAAATTTTTTGTCTTAGAAATCATGGCATCTGTAAATATGTAAATGTTGTCATAAATATGTAAATCCCATGATTAAAATTTTATTTATGTAAGATTTTTTAATAAATCATTATTAATATTTAGGTAAAATAAGGTAATAAATAAAGATTTAGGAATATATATGAAATATTTTTAAACATACCAAATATAATTTTCATTATTATTCTTAAGATGACAGTATTTTATAAAAATTCAATGACTCGATAAAATTATTATTCATAACTTTAAATTCATGAATAAATTGATGTTTAAAAGTTCTAATGTAAAATAATTATGTTAAATTGTCCTTTATTTTTGCAATAAACACAATTTTTTTTTTTTAAACAAAAAGCAATTTCTAAGTTTGATTTCTACTTACATTTTGTAATAACGGAAAATGTAATTTCGTAATTGTGTATTAAAATTTATATTCCTTACTAATTACATAAAAATGTTAATTAAATATAAAATTATTTGTTTCTTAACTTAAATATATTTTTAAAAAATCAATCAATAGTTTGAATTAATTTTCTAATTGATTATTCTTTAGTTAAATATATACATGTTTATTTAGTTAAATATTAGTTAAATTTAATTAAATGTACATGTAGTACAATTATTTAAATAAGTAACATTTCCTGAAACACATATTTTCATTACTCATAGCAGTTTAAAAGATTAATATCATGAATTAACTATATTAAAAATATTATTAGCAATATTTTAAATAACTATAATTTGTGTATATCATTCATTACATTGATACATACATTTTCCAATATCTACATTATGTACAAATTATTGGTATCAAGAATATTAGAATTTAAATCTTTATTTCAATATGAATGCGTTATTAAATATTCTTGTTACTTCTAATAGATATAATTATGAATATTCTTCTCTCGTATTTATCATTCTTAAACATTGGCAGTTTGGCTTAATATATCAATGTATTATTTCAATTTAATTCAGTAAATAATTTTATTACAGGAATATGAGAATAATATAATCTAAGAATAATATAAGAATAATAAAGAAAACAAATTTCTTATAATATTTTTTAAATTAATTTGTTAATATTTTGTATTTAATGTTTACTCTTATGTATAAGATATTTTTTTAGGTTGCACTTATAAAATTTAATTTTTAAAGTTTAATTAATTTTATCTATTTATATTGTTACTGTGATATTTTTCACATAAATTATTGTAAAATAACATCATTATTACTATAAAAAATATGAATACAATATTAAACGTCTTATTTGAATATACGGAGAATGCTTTTGCATTATAAAAATTTGTATAATAAATTTAATAAATACTATAATAATATTAAAAGAATATTTATTGTGATTTCATAAAACTACAATAATTATATAATTTAAACTTTATTCTTACATTGTTTAATGTATAGAAAATATTGTACAGGTAATGAATTTATTAATTAAAAATATTTATATATATTTTAATATAAAAAAAAAATCATAATAAAGCTAATTTTTATATAAGATAAATTATATTTTAAGAAAGTAAATTTCAAAATTTGAACTGTTTGAAAATTCAAGTAAGCTAAATAATAAAATGTTTTGAAATAGAATTGGTTAAAAATTATATTTATAAATAAAATACAAATATTTTTAAATAGATAATCTTTATTCTAGATTCTATATAATATTATAGTAAATTGACTATGTTCTAAAACATCAATATATATCTATGATATGAAATTATAGTTTTTTTTTGTTAATTTGAAAGATATCCCTATGAAAGTAAATTCATATTTACGTGAATTATTGAAAAGGATTACGCTATAGATACAGCATTATAATTTAATATTTATTTTATAATTATATAATGATATTTTTAGTATTGAATAATAATAATAATTATTATTATTATTATTATTATTATTATTATTATTATTATTAAATTAACATTCATTGTACGGAAATTTAATTATTTTTCATAAAAGATAAATTGTGTTTTTTTTTTTATAAATTATTCCAAGGATGTTTTATAGAAAGTTAATAACTATTTGTAGTTATAACTATTAGTTAATAACGAAAGTTAATAACTATTAGTGATATTTTTGGTGAAGTTTGTATTGATTTTGTTACAACAATTTATACAGTTATCATGTATTTAGTATATTAAAAAAGATATTAAATCTAATAGATTTTTTATTAATTATTGTTCAAATCATTATTTCTTCATGAATTATTTACGGTAAATATTAAATATATTTTATTCGCAGATTAGTCTTACAATTAACTTTCTTAAATTATTTGACTTTTGAAAAAAACATATTGCTTAATTTGGAACAGTATCAAAAATTCATTAACCCGAAGACAAATCGTAGATAAAAAACCTTTATGATTGAAGTACACTATATCTGAATGCTCTTAAATTTTCAAAATATTTTTTATGTAACTGTTACCGATTTTTTGATATTTATCAATATGAATAGTGTATAAAAAATATTATAAAATAAGTGGAGTTACATTTACATCGTCATAACCGAAACCGTGAAAATCTTAGGAAACGTACCGACAATGTAAATGATGAAGAGAAGAATCTCGTCTAACCAAAAGGTTTTTATCGTCTCGCTTCGAAAAAAGATTAGAGACAGTCAATACATCGGGCAGGGTTATCGCATCCTCTCTTGTCAAGAGCTGTACTTTGTCATAAACGCCCAACAGAGTTTTAGCTTTTATATAAAAAGGGGACGGTAAAGTCGGTGCGTTAGCAGTATATAATGGATACCGTCGCCATGTACGCGTTTACCGGTAAGACTTTCAGTACACATCCATACGAATATACCCGCGACACGCTCAATCGTACATATGTACTCCAAGATGCTTGTGTACATACAGAATCCTCCTCTTATAAACAATACTATATATATACTATATATATATATATACTATATATATATATATATATATATATATATATATATATATACAAACAAACACACACACGCATACTCATCATACACATACATATTCGTACGTACGTATAAATTCGTAGAGATATGTTTCGAAGTGCAAATCTTATTATAAGCCTGCACAAATACTTTATAACTGAACCGCAATCCTAAATATTATTATTATCTTTCTTATTAATTTCATAACAAATTTATAAAAATTTTTCAACAATGTTACAAAACATTGATAAACTTAACAAGTAAACAAGATTATGAGTACGTTTATTCAAATTTAGACATATTAATACGATATTATCATTTCATATGCCTTAGATAACGTTTTTCATTTAGTAATAATTGAGACATCTCAATAAGAATAAAAAATAAAAGAGAATAGTTAACAAATTTTTAGGTTAAATATAAATAAATGTTTCATTTTTTTTTTCATTGCATTCATGAATTTTTAAAAGCTTATAATTGATTTGTTAATTTATGCTTATATTATTATGATTTATCATTATATAATAAATAATTTGATTAGAAAATAAAATAGATTATTTAAAATATTTAATAAATTAATCATTTACTTTTTAACAATAATTGTTATAAATAATCAGTTATTATTTTTTTAACATATTTATATGTTTTAAAAATTTTCATGATTATGTAATTATGTTTATTTTATTAATAATTTATTACTTTTTGTAATTAATTAATTATCACAGTTTTCACGAATTCAATATTTTTATTAATGATAAAATGATTATATGGATGAAATGACATACCTAACTTAATTTATAATGTCAAGATATAATATTTATTATAAATATTTTTTAAATATAATTTTTTAATAGAATGCAAAGTATAGAAATACATTGAATCATGCATCTTAAAAAAGAAATTTTTAGTAAAATATTAAAATACAAAGCATAATGAAATTTTTTTTTATAACGTATATGTAGAAACATTTAGATAATAATTTTATAATAATTTAAAATCACAGATATACGTTTTCTATAAAAACTGATATTGTTAATGTTGTCTATTTTATCGAATAAATATTGAAATCTATGTATACATAATGTAAGAAGATGAATAATAATTTGAATTTAAATTTCTTATTTGTTGAAAATATAATTTATGCCATATAAAATATTTCTTAAAGTATTACGTATATTAATAAAAGTTTTTAAAAATCGATTTTAAAAACTATTAATTAGCAAAGTAGTTATAAAAACACATTGTAATGTGTATTATTTAAACAGTTTCAATGAATTTTATTTTATTAGCTAAATTTACTGTACAAATAATGTTGAATTAAATTTTTAAACACTATCTATTTTCAACTTTCTTAAAAATTTAAACAAGATATATTTCATTGCATTAAAACTATAATAGGTAAATGAAGTCTATTTTACATTAGTTCACATCTAACGAACATTATGAAATAAAAATAAATTTAATTAGATTCATTCCTTAAATAACTATTTTATAAAGAACTATGACAATAATGTAAATCTATACAATTTGTATTTATAATAAGACTGCAGTTATAGGTGAACATTTTGTAACAATAATTATCACTAAATTAATATTGTTTAGAAAAAGTCATTAATCTATTATTATGGGGTAATTGTATGTTGGCAATTAAATTTTAGGTCAATTCTGAAATGATTTAATTTTAATTGTTATATTTCTTCTGTCATTCTCTTCAGTTGCATGTTTATGTTTTATATTAAAACATTTTTTTAATAAATAATAAGAAATAATTAATTAATTTCTTAAGTTATGTAAATGAGGCTTTCCAAAGATGTTTCCAGATCAAAAATATCTGTTCTATACTAATAATTTGCAATATCAAGTTTATATATTTTTATTTAGGTAATAATATATTTTTAACTGATAAGTATTATTGTAATAGATTATATAATTGACAAAAAAGTGTATCATTCTAAATATAATTTAAGTAATATTAGCAGAACAATATAAACCAATTTCATATACATTAAATTTTCAGATTTAAGGAAACTGACTTCAAAAATTTGAGAAGCTGAGTTCCTAGTTTCTACTTGAATTTTGTTAAGTATATTAAATTCTTTGATATTAAACAGCTAGCTTATAGTGGCCTCGATTATGGTGAAAATGAAACTCGTGATAAATTTTACGTCTATTCCGTATACTTCTCATACAGCCAAATATTTTTCAGAATTTTTAATACTTATAAGTTCAACAAAGTTAGTCACAATATTAAACAAACGGAAATATAAAACTAAAAATATTAAAATTTTCTATATTCGATAATATAATCAAAATGTATAGACAGTTATGCTAGTACTACGATATTTAAACAATTGTTTAAAAACTATATCCTTGTATTATCCTGAAGTGTATATTTGAAAAAAATTATACATTTTTTATTTTATAATAAGACAAAATAACTTAATATAGTTATTATATATACTCTTATAGAGATAAAGAGTATAAGATATGAAGAAACCAAATTTTTTTAAATATAATATTTTATTTGCTTCTCTGTAGTTACAAGATATAAATATATAATATAAAGAATTTATCTGGTCCAAAAATTTGACGTAACTATTGGAAACGATAATATAACTACAACCTGGTATTTTCATCTGTATGGAAATCTACAACCAACTAATTTACAAACAAGTCAAGGTAGGTAACGACTGATGGGAACACATAGATTATAAATTAAATGTTCTCTTTGGTTGTTACCACCAGAAAACTATCCATGGAAACGGTAATCTTAATTATAATGTCCATACGGCTAAACGAGACACGGATACACGGATGAAAAATATATTTTATGTTGAAAGGGATATGAAGCATCAGTAAATATATTTAATTTTGTTAATAATAAAAGTAATATGGATACAAAAATAAACTAAAGGTAAATATTAATATTTAAAAATTATATGACTAATTTTATTAGATGCATGAAATTTAAAAATTTTTGCCATTTATTTAATTTTAATGATTATATATTATTTATATATTAATTTTAAAAACATTTTTAATATATTAAATAATTTTTCAAATCTCATAAGTTTTTAAATGCTATTTGAATGTAATTGAATCAATGAAAAATGATGTATTACAAGTTTTCACTAAAAAAGTTTGTTCTTCATATATAAAATAAAAAGTATAACACTGAATTTAAATTGAAGAATTTTATATAAATGAAAGTTTTATATAAATAAAAAAATTTCGATAAGATTGCATAGTTTTTAAGAAATCGCGCTCAAATGAGAAAAGTACCGTATTCTATATGCCGTGGGCAGGGTTCATAAGTCATAATAAATAATTAAAGTATAATTATCGATTCGAATAATAAATTATGAACTTTAGGTAACAAGAAATTTAATGTTTTAAGTGAGTATTGAATGTTTATTTGGTGACGATAGAAAAAACTACAAATACGTTTAATTATCATTGCACAACCTTGAAGATAAATTTCTGAATCAATCAATTTGCCTATGCGTGGTATTTTATAAATAATAAATAAATAAATATATAAATAAATAAATATATATATATATATATATATATATGTGTGTGTGTGTGTGTGTGTGTGTGTGTGTTACAAAACATCGTAAAATTTTAAATAAAACATAATAAAAAATCTTTAAATTTGTAATTTCCATAGAATGGCTATTAGAAAGAAATTTCAATATGCGAAAAAAAGAAATAATAAATCTAGATATAAAAATATTTATTGTTGTAATTTTTCTAAAATTTATATTTTGATTAATAAAAGAATGTCATTCTAAATATAAACTTAATTTAAATAAATTAACTCAGATAATTTATAATTATTAAATAATAAACCTTACAACTCTGGCTTTTCAGATCTATTGATGACAGCTGTATTTAGAATTTTATTACAACCTCTTTTGTACTAAATCTCAAATAAAAACTTTACAAATTTTATTTGATGAACGATTGAATGCAAGTTATTAGAGATATAAATTAAAGTAGACTGTTTGATGATAAATAATGATTTTATAATATTTTTTTATTAAATACGTTTATTAGACTTTATAAAAAATATATATAAAAAAACTATTTTTCAGCTAATTTTATGGATGAAGAAGCAAATTTGAATTATACTTTATTAGATATTTCATTCTTTAATCATAAAATAGTCGTTATAATAGATATTGATACTTTTGTTATTGTATAATGAATTTTCAGATTTATTAAATATTTGAAATATCTCAAAATTCATCTATATAAAACAATTATAATAGTCAAATTGAAATTCATAGGATAAACGTGATCACTTATATATCTTATAAAATTCCATTTTCAAATCCGTTCAATGACATTATACGCTCTATTGAGGAAGTATTATTGTAAATATTATTTTAAATATAACATTAAATATTTAACATTAAAAGTGATCATATGTAAAAAGATACTAAAAATAAGATTGTTATTAAAGCTTATATTCTAGAGTAAGTGAAAATTGAAAATTATATATATATATATATATATATATTTAATGTTTAATGTTCTGATAGCAAAGATGTTACCAAATGAAAAAATATTACAAAAGGTGTAATACATAATACAAATTATTAATTATTAATTATTACAAATTACAAATAATGAATAGGTCATGAATTTTATAGATATCAGATTAAAATATAACAATTCTACATTTAGATGTGCCAATGTTGCTTTGTCCACTATTAAAATTGAAGACATATTTTACAATTCCTAATGCTATTAAAATAAGTTCAATATAAACTTTTAACATTGTATAACTATAAAGATTATAAAATTATGATATCTCGATAACAATCATCTAGTTGTTCTATTCGAAACTTACTATAGAAGTGAATATGTATTTATATTGTATGGAATTAACGAATAGCTAGTTTCGCAAAACCTTGATATTCTAAAACTTGAGGAATAATTCGGAAAATATAACCTTTCAAAATTTATTTAAATTCGAACGTAAGTATTTTTATATATGATTTGAGCTTGAAAATATAACAAAAATAATATATTATTGTACATATAAATTAGTAGATTAAAATAAATTTTTAGTTAGATTTATAAAATTATTGATATTTATTAATTTATCAATACAATCACCATTTTTTAGCCTTTTTACAAAATGTTTAGAGATATTATGATTAAAATTATACTTATTATATATAATAGTAGTAAGTATTCTATTTGATATATTTTTAAATATGTGATATTTTAAAAATGATATAACCGAAAATATAAATATTGAAGTTGATTTATACAAAATAATTTATGATAGATAGTAATTCTGTCAAATTAACATTAATTTATAGTCTTTTTATAATTAATAATAATATACAGAAAGTTTGATTCTTAAATCTTAAGCGTTTAATAGATACACTAACTTTTTAACATTTTTGTATATATAAATAAATGTAAAAAGTAATAATGTTATTATTTAGATATTTTGATATGGAATATTCAAATTCTTATTATTTATTAAATGACAACTGTTACATTAATATAGTCATGATTATGTTTTTACATATGAATTTTTATATTTGTAAAAACTGGTAAATATGTTTGAACACTGTAAGTGATTTGTATATTATTTATACGTAAAGCAAGTAAAAATCCTTTGTTTCAAAAGTACTGCGATAGACTATAACTTATCAAATTCGTATTTAAAAATTACTGAATTTATTGGCATTAATTCAATATTAATAATATAAATAAGAAAATAAAGTTTACATTTAGTGATTAAAATTTATAATTCTAATCGATAACATATTATTGACTAAATAAATCATAATATAATTTGAATTGTTATTAAAAAAATTATTCGAAAAATCTACTAATTGTACTTACTTACATTATTTATATGGAATACAAATCATGAGCTCAAAACTATGTGAATAGAAATGAATAACTCAAAATTGAATAGAAATGTATAACTCAAAATAAATCATTAAATTTATTTGATCAAACATTAATAGTATATAATTTGTTTTACATGTTAGCAAAACAGCTAGATGTTTATAAAAAATAATTAAATGCACTAGTGTATGAATGCACAATGTTTTAAAATATATTACAATTAAAATTTGTATTAAAAGTAAAGGATCGTTGCGAATAATATATAAAATGCCAAATAAACAAAATTTTAATATTATATTTAAATTGTAAAAAATATAATTATTTACTATAAATATTAATTAACCACTTTAATTATGCATAGAAAGTGTTATAAAAAAGTACTTTTTGAATTTATAAATTATATATTAGGTCAGCCTTTTCGAGCAGTATTATCCTTAATATAATAAATAAAAATAGAATTTAAAAATGTTTAGTTTTTTTTGGAAAAATTTAATTTTATTTCATTAATTCTAACAATAGACTCGAGTTAATCAAATCACCAATTTAAATATTTTGTAATCCATGTAATTGCAATGTAATATAATATAATATAGAAAGTCAAAAAGAAACAAATTTAATATTTAATTGAATTATAATTAATTATCTATGTATATGATTAAGATGATTAATTTTATACTAATGGTCATTAATCTACAATTATTAATACGAGCGAATTAATTTTCTAAAGTCAAAACTTACTCAATTTCTTATGCAGTCAGACTTCCAGAAATTAATTTTCGGAATTTGGTTTCATATATATAAGAAACACAATTATTTAAATATTTTGTATTTATCAATTCGTTTTTTTTTTTTTAAATACTATTTGTATCTATTACTATAGTTTTTTTAATAATATAATTATAATAATTTCTTATAAAAAATTAATATAAAATATTTTTTGTATTAAATAATTTAGCATAAAATATTAATGATTATTTCTAGAACAATAATAATTGTTTTCAAATCAATGGTAATAATTATTTACAAAAATAAGTACGATAGATTACTAATATTAGAAAGATATCTGATATGAAGCAATAAAAAATGTAAAAAGATAAGTAATCATTGTTTATATAAACATTTTTCCTATTGTCACAATATACTGCATACGTTTAATTATCAATTTAGTACAATAACTGTAATAGAATAAAAGATTTTTTTATATTGTCTATTTAATGATGAGTATTTTTTTAATATTCGTTCCAAATGCATTAAAAACACTTAATAACGCCAAATCCTTCTATAGGACAGAAGTTGAAATAATTACTTTTAATTATTATTGAGCAACTTAGTTTCTTAAACAAAATGAGGTAAATATGTATTTTAAACATTGATTTTTTCAACAGCTAATTGGCGTCTTTATTATTAATTAAAATTTTAATTCTTAATGTATTGGAATAAGTTGCTTAGTTATCGAGACGAAGAAAATTTTATAAAAGTTACAAATCATGATATTCATTTTCTAATATGAACATTCATATAAATAAATTACCTCGTTTTATATGTACACAATAATTTATTTATTTTATTTTTAGCCTGACAGGGTTATATAAGTGAGATTAAATTTTTATGATAGTTAATAATTTAGTAATATAGTTAAGCATTTGAATGGCTTATAAATGCCTTGGAATACATACCAATAAATTCCATTTATTTCGAATTTTCTGTTTTTAACCATGCATGGAGATTCCTCTCTTTTTTTATATATTTTCTACTTTTGCATATTCAGAGAATACATAATACGTAATAAAATACGCATGTACACACACATACGATCAGACATTACAACACATATGCAAAATGTTTCTACAAATGTTTCTAGTAATGCATTCAACAAGGAAATAAACGTATATGAATTTCTGATTAATTCCTGGGGAGTGTAATAATCTAGAATTATGATTTATTTTTGGATTTTAGATTTGAAACGAAGATATATTTTTAACTGTAAACTCTGTATGTTTATCTTTAATTTGAGTTATCTCTCTTCACCTGTATTGTAGCACCCAGTTTATGATTGGAAAATCTAAAATTATATTATTAATTGGCATTGTTTGAAAAGATTAATTATCATGTTTTATTATTATTTACAATTATATACAATTTTGAAATTTTGTTCATTTTAAACATTTCAATTTTAATTGGTTTTCTGGGACTTCACATATTTCACGGATGTAAAATGAAATGGTATCATATTCACGGTCATTTTATATTTATTGTATAAGTGTAAACATACTTAAAGTGCTAAGTTATAAATTCCATCTATATTAATATATTTAATTTGTAGATAGTTTGTAGATATATTCAATTTGAGTTCTGATATAGAATAATAAATATTTGTTTTTCATAAAACTAAAACTTTATTTCAAAATATATTAAGCTTTATCCACAAATTGACCAAGTAAATTTTCTATTTATATGTATCTTATATATAATATTCTATTATATAAAATTTTCTAATTTATTACGAATATTCGTGTTTTTTTTTTTTTTAATTTATTATTTATTACATATTTTTACAGGTAAACGTCGACAACAGAATACAATCGATATTAAAATTAATTTAAGCATAAAAGAATATTCCTTTATTATTTACTAATATTAATAAAGAAACCTTTATAAATAAAACATAATTTTTTATTATATTAATTCTATATATTTTTATATTAAACTAAAACAAATGTCTACTAAATTAACATATCAGTTATTGTACATAATTTCAGGTTACTGCTTGTTTATATGCGTACACGTGTACTACGTAGCACAAATAAATAACAATATCAATAGTGTTTTAATAAAAGGTACAAAAATTATATATAGATAAATTCTCGATTTTTATCTTATTTGTAATGTTGATTATTATAACAATAAATACACGTAAAAAAATATTATAAAGTAAAATTTATATTGTATTTGTTTTAAATAGTAATACATTAATAATTCCTATCAATTATCTGTTATTCCTATCATATATTCCGATCAATTAGAAATTGAAGTATATTTCAATAGATTATATATCTTATGAATATTTTTTTTTTTCGTTATAAACAGAAACAATACAACATATTAGTATTAAATATAATCATATTATTTATATTTTCAATCATTTAATCAAGTTTGGTTGTAAATTAGTTAAATTTATTTAATTATATATCCAAAAGAATTTTTACAAAAAAGAATTTAATAATTTTTACAAAGTTGAAACAAATTAATAATATATTAAATATTATATTTGATAAATACATGATTTTCATGAAAAAAAAAAAATAATAATAAATTTGATTTAGCATAAACTTATAAATCTTTGGTTTTTCTATTCCAAGTAAAAAATATTATTTATAATATAAATGTTATTTTTAATTTTTCAAATATAGATAAGAGTTTTTGGTTATTTACTAATACATAATTACTATAATATTTTTGTAACAATAAAATTCTATTTTTCTATTGTTCCCTATTTTGAATACGGTAGGTAAGAAAATCCATAAAACAATTTGGTCTATTAAATAATTAAAATAATTAAAAAATATAATGTCATATAATGTAGAAATATATTTTTAAATTACCAACTGATATAAATAATTATGTATTATAAAATTTTTTAATAAATTTAACAATCTATGTTTATATTTTATTTAAAATTTTAATGTATTATAATGATAGAATAAGAGTCAGAGTAATGTAGAAATTACTTTTTCTTTTTTTAAGTAATTTGTATTTTTTCATATTTTCACTTAAAATAAGCTTATTAATAATAACAAAATAATAAAAACAAATATTTATCATCAATATATTCAAAGTGTTTAAAGAGTGTATTTCATCTGTTCGTCAAATCTTTTTTCGCCTTTATATAAAATTTGCATGAAACGTATAAAATGTATTAAATATAAAATATTTATGTTACACGTACTACTACATGTATTACAAATTTTTTATATTTTAAAAATATCCTTTATAACGTGAAATTGTAATTGTTATATTAAAAATCCTAGATATTTTATATGTAAGATAGTAAAATTATGTATAATTGGTGTTATAAATTATAAATTAAAGATTATGTTCTTTTTATTTAAATCAGACAATAATTACATTACGTTACTAAAGCAATTTCAGACCTTAAATTTAGCTACAGCTCATTATTATTATTATTATTATTACATTATTATTATTAATAAATATTATAAAAATATATAATCTTATAATTGCACATAAATAAATAAATACTTAAGTATGAAGTTTGATTATGTAGTTTTTGCTTATTATACTAATTAGAAATACGAGATAATATAGGTTATCATTATTGTTAACAGCTAATGAATAATATTCAAAAGGGGTTATCACTTGTACTATTGACAAGTGATGTTAACCACCACTTTTCTACTTTTAACCTCATCTTTAAATTTCTTAATGAATATGTTCTTCATTTTCTATAAAGTTTTCGCAACAATAAGTATATTAAATTTAACATTATTTGATTGAATTATTCGATAGAGTAACCCATTATTAAAAATGATTTCTGTGATTTTGGTCTATTTCATTCTAACAAATATAATAGCAGGTAAATTTACTTGTAAAAATTAATATTAAAAAAAATTGCCATTCAATTTTAAAAAGTCTAATTTACTTATTCTGTATCAAATGTTATTTATTGTTAACAATTTTTTACTTTGTAAAATTTCTAAAAAGAAATATAACATTATTATTATTCAATGATGATGTTATGATATTAAATAAACGACTTTATGTTCTAACAAAATCTAGAAATTTTGAAATAATAAAATTTTATGATGGAAATTATTTCTTGCAGTTACTATGGAAAAATAATTTTTTGTAGAATTTAATTACGGATACTTTTAATTTAATAAATTTTTATTATTTTGTTTTTTTTTTATAAAAAAAAAACTAGCTAAAACTCCTGTTCATCTTGTTTTTAACGGCAATGCAACCATGTATAATTATGTTGCTGAAATAAAAACAGGACTGGAAAAACCAGTGCCACACGTTTCCAGTTTCAAAATCTATGCACACTTATATATTCAAGAGGATACCAGTAACTTAAGTGTTAACAAGGCTTATTTAATATGGTTATCAAATGTTAAATATGAGGTATACAATGGCCCTGATGTAGTGGAAAAAGATACCAAAGAACATTTTCTACCTGATGAATCGTTGATAATTCAGTATGCATTTATGGCTTTTTACGATGGCAATAATTTGGTGATTATTAGTTAATTATATTTTCACCATTAATTAAATATATTTTTAATTTTTTAATGAAACATATTCATTGTAATTTTCAATTAATTTTTAAAGTACAGATTGAATAAAAATACTAATTTACATGTTTAAGTACCAAGCTAAAATGATTAAATAATGAGAATGGGCGTTGTTATATTTTAATCTTTTTAATATAATAACGTATGTTTATGAATACTTTTACTAATAACAATAACAAAATATTACAGTTAATAGGTTTAAAATTTCAAATGACAGAATCCGAATGGTCCAAAAATATAAAAAAGTCGATTGCTTCGACCTTACATGTTAATTTTTCAACTATTAATTTGACTGACAATTTTCAACAAAATGCTTTTTTAACATCTGAGGTATTGTTATGATATCACAGTGAAGTCTATTGCACTAGAATTATATGCCACATTTCTTTTTAAATAAATGATTTTTAGCCTACTTTACATGGAAATTGTCAAATTTCATATGATGTACATACAAATAATTTTGAACCATTTTTTAAATCAAATGCTATTGTTGTGACAAAGATTTATGAGCCCATAAAATGTGATAAATTTGTTCAAAACACTTATAGTCATACGGAAAGTTTTGGATGTTATATTGAACGAGAGGTAAGCAAAATATTTTAGTAAAAAGTTTGCACTTTTTACAATTTAATTAGCATGTACACATATTCTTCATTAATGTAATATTATTTTTTCTTTGAAACTTATAAAAAAAAACTGTTTGTATTAAATATAATATTATGTGTATGAAAAATGATAAATTCGGTTGTTCGTTAAAAATATTACTTCAATGATATAATTCTTTATTTTAATGTATATTTTACAGGAAGATTTAATTACATCTGTTCGAAAGGAACTTTATTTTGATAAAAATGGATCATCTTTATTTTTTAATAAACTGGTTGCACAAGAGATATTTTATTATTTTCCTTGGATGCATAAGTCAGAAATTTATTATTTACAAATTGAGTAAGCGAGTTAAATTATTTCAATATATCACTTCATATTAAATAAGAATTAAAAAAATATATTGAAAACTAGTTTAAAAACGAATGTATAAATTAATTGTAGACAAACATTGCAGTTTGAAAAATATTTTCAAGAAAAAGTAATATTTGATGATGTAGACTTTCAGTGGAATTCAATAACTAGCGATGTTTCATACAAAATACCATCAGATAATGAAATTGTAAATAAAATGAATAATATCACACAGAATACAGAGAGAATGGACCAAACTAAGCTTGTGCTTAAAATTAAGAATCTAATCTTCCAAATTACAGACTACATTGAAGAAAATCACTTGGATATAAATCAACTAGATATAAATGAAATCCATATAATTAATAATTTACTTAAATCAGTATCTAATTTAAATGTAACTTGCATGGAACATGTGTATAAGAGCTTTGACGATTCTAATACAACCAAAGGGGCAACTGCAAGGTTTGATTTTTATATTATGATTTTAATATTTAATTTAAAATTTTAAGACATTTTAACACATTAGTTTCAAGAATTTTTTACAATATATTTTAAATTTAATATTTTTGATTTTTAAATTGATATCTTCTGGTTTACTGATCATTTCATTTAATAAATATAAAATTTTTTCTATAAGTTCTCAACAAATATAAATTGAAGAAATTTCGTAATGATTAAAGTTATTAAATAAAATAGGCAGATATTCAACGAAAAACATTATATTTCTTTAATAAAAAGAAAAATTCCATTATAAATTATAAATTTTCGTAAATTATAAAATTTCATTTAAATTGTTAAAATTCTTACTTACAAAGATTGTATAATCTATTTTATCAATTATTAAGTATTACATATTTTATTTTCATTTTATAAATGGCACCAGGAAAATCTTTCTAGAGATAATATCGCATATTGGAACCATGGATTCCTGTTTGTTCATTCGTAATATCATCACTCGAAAAAAATTCAAGGTACCAGACAACGTTGCTATTATGATGTTAGTGAAATTGCCCTCATACGTAAAAAATTCAACAGAAGAATTACTTATTCAAATGGAGGAATTGCTTCAGATGAAAAACGTTACGGATAAATATGTTATTAATTCTGTACTAATCAAGCAAGCGGCTATACTAAGTTTTTCTTCATTGATCTACAAGACGTACATACTCAAAAATGAATATGATTCACCACTCTTGGAGATGTATCTTCAGTATATAAATTCATGCATATTAGGTTTAGTAGATTATTCAATAAGAATTTACATTAAAAATGCAAGTGAATGTTTTAAAAGATAATCAATTTAATTTCAATAACCAATATAATTTTGTTATAATTTAAAATTATAGTTCAAAATATTTTTTATTATTATTTTTTATTATTCAATTATATGAAGACTTTATTTTATAGATCACACGAATTTTGAGATGAAACTAGTGCACATAATGGCGCTACGAAACATTCAAATTGGCGATATTAAGAGATTTCTCATCCCTATAATTAGTGATGAACTTGTAATTCATGAGAGGCAAGAGCATATGCGATTGGCCGCTTCATTTGCTATAGCGCAAGCCATCAATAATGATAAAGAACTCGTGCATAAGCTATTTTGGCCGATATTATCAAATTCAGCAAATTCCCTACAACTGCGAATCGTAGCCTATGATATGATAATGAGTCAACTTTTAGATTTGAAATGTGCCATGAATGTACATTGGTTTATGACTAACGAGCAAAATAAGCATCTCTACAACTATCACTATACAACAATTAGAAGTCTTGCACATTTGAATGATCCATGCTTGCGGCCTGTCATGGAATTAGCTAGAAAAATTTGGCGTCTGACCAAGAAAAGAAATAATGGAGATAATTTGTCGGGTAGTTATGTTATCGGATATATTGATTCAAAATATGGTTATGGCGAATCTATTAAAGTTGCTTTAAATTTTGATGACATAACTGAATTACCAAATATGGGCATTTTCGAATACACTTATTCTTTTGGAAGAAAATCCAATCCTGTCTGGGGTGTAAGTATTTACACCTACAAAATGATTATGTTACATTCATTAAAATGAGTAAATCATAAATAATTGGAAGTAAAAGTCTTATTATACAGTTAATTGTTTACTAATATTTGATATTTAATATACTGAATTCGTATTAAATTAATATGTAAATTAAAAAATTGCTCTTCCTTTCCAATAAAATATACAATAGATATATTAAATTTAATGTAAAATAGTGCTGTGTAACTAAATATATTACTTAAAACTTGTTCCTGAATGCTTAAATATTTTCTAATTTATTTACAACCATACTTGTATAATTTATGGAAATATGTTTGTAAAATTTATAATACCCAAAATCAAACTTTTTTTTTAATTATTACACAAATTAATCGAAATATAATTTTACACAATGGTTAAATTAATGGAAAACAATATTATAACAATAATTATTAACAATAATGTTTTGAAAAATTTATTAAAGTTTAAGAAAGTTGAGTAACGTATTTATTTATTTTCAGCTTTATTGGAATACAAATATTCTTAAATCAGTAATGAATTTATTGAACTTTATGATGATAAATAAGAAAATAATAATTTCCGATGAATTAATTAAAAATATGATGCTAAAAATTAATGAACAACAATATTCAATGTTACGAGAAGGATACTTGGAAGCATGTTTTATATATCATGGAAGAATTGTACAAGTTATTTCAATCGATAAATTAAATTTAAATATAGAATCTTTATACAGTACAGTGAATATATTCTTACGTAATCTAGATATTGAAAAACAAAAGTTTAAAATTAATTGGCAAGATTTATCTTATAGACATTTTTATGAAATGAGCGTTTCAACCGATATTGGTATTCCTGTTACATTTTACAATCGAATGCCATTTGTCTTTTCCACTCATATCGAAATAACTGAATATTCACTATCAAATGAAATGTTGCATGTCAAACTAAAATCCGATACTCGTGCTTTAATGCGTGGATCATACGATATGGTGGCATATAACCCAATAAGTAATATTTCCCATTCAATTCAAAAAGCTGCGATAATTGATATTATTTATCCACAAGAAGCAAACATTTCTTATGATTTCCAAGGACAGAATTTAAAATTACATTTATTTACATTGGATTCTTCTAAAAATAAAGGCATTCGCATTTATACAAATAATTTTGTTACAATATTTGATGACGAAAATAATGTTTTAAAAAATCATTGCCCCTCGTGCATACATTACAAGCCAGTTAATCAAAGTTTTAATTATGCAACAACATATCGATATGTATTTGATTTTAAAACTATTGGATTGAAGTATTCACAAACTCTGTTCAAGTGTGGAAACGACAATGATTTACTTATCGCGCAACAATCGCTTACAACTTTTAGATCTGAGGATTCGGAGGTTGGGTAAGTGAGCTCCTAAATTTATAAAGCCAATATGCTTAAATTAATATGTTCTGCAAATAAATAATATTTAGATATGATCCAATTTTCAAATTATTCATATCATTATCGCATAAAGTATTCAATGAAATAGTAACTCCAAATACAGGATATTGTGGAAATTTAATTTTAATAAATGACGATAGTGATATTTCAAACGTAAGTAATTTAGTTAAGGGTAGATATTTCAAACATATATCGAATTAAAAATTGTACACTTTAGTAATAGCTAATATTATGATAATCACTAATTTAATATTTTTATTAACAATAATAATAATAATAATAATAATAATAATAATAATAATCAATTGTAATATTTAATTACTATATATAGGTTGAAATTAATTTCAATTGGAGATCAGAATCAATAAGAAAGAAGACCAATTCAATATTTCTCTATGACGCTAAAAATCTTTATCTGTATTCTAGTATAAATACTTTATCGGCATTAAATAAATCATCAATTTATTTTTCGTCTTTAAATTTAACGTCTTATCCTGAAATAGGCATTGAATTTCATTTTATTCGAAAGAAACCCGGAGAAAACAATCTTGTGGTAACAGAAAAATTGTATATAACTAAAATATTATTATATATAATATAATTTTATAGATATATATGAAATATTATGTCATAGGGTTGTATGCAGCTAGATAAATCAAATTTATTGGCAAATTCATTGACCAACAGAAATTTTACTTTTCATTTAAGTCATTCGAAAATAGACCGGTGTAATACTGGAGACACTTTCATTAATGGCACTTTTAGTAGCAAAGTTATACAAGAATATAAAACATTGAGACAAGAAATCAGAAGAAACTGTTCGAAGGAATATAAGCAACGTTCTATTAAAAAATATTTGAATAACACAACAATTGCAACAAAAAATTGTTTATTTCAAGCAATACAAAACAAAAGTTTCATCAAATACGATATTAAAATCTCATATAATGAGGTATTATAAATATTTCAATTTAATTTTCTATATATTTGAAAAAATAATATTCAAATTTAAATGAAATATAGATCCCAGAAGAGATATTGTCAGCTGTGCAATTAATAGAGGATACTACTAGAGAAATATATTCAAAGAATATCCTATATTTGAGGAATTATACTGAAAAAAGAAACGTAATAGTTAGTCTAACAGAGTCATCCAGTAATAATGGAATAAATATTAAAATTTCAACGCCGTATCTTAGTTATGAATTATATAATTTACCAACAAATTATATTAATATAAAAGCATTTTCAAACAAGCAGCATTCATCTTCTAGTACGTTTCAAACTTGTCCGATACATTCAATTAAATACTCAATACTTTATTACTAAATAATAATAAAGTATAATAAATATAATAAATTATAATAACTAAAGTAAATAACAATTAAATATTAATTTATTAGGTTATTGATATATTAGGCTTATCCCAGTATAATTTAATGATTTTAACTTATTCTATTAGCTTATTTGATTTTTTATATTTGTAATTTGTAATTGACATACAGTATCTTATAAATATTATTATTTTGTTTATAGAAATTTGTAATATTTCTGCTAATATGATTATTACGGACAGCAGTGAAAACTCCACAAAATTATTAGATTGGACTATTATAACGGGCGATTATGTGCATTTCACTTACATTATACTAGCCAAAATAGTTGAAAATAATAACATAGCTATAAAACTATATCATGGATCATACTTATTGGAAATTATTCCAATGGACACCGCTTTGAAAGTATTGTTTGATGGTATTTCAATAACTGATTATTTCAAGGAAATTGTTTTACCTTCGATGAAGGAATCATTTTATGATAACCTAATAAGGTAATATTTCTTAAAAAGAATTTTTTGAAAATAATAATTATTATTTCTATATAATAATATTTTTTTTTTTAATATTAATATTTTACAGTTTATACATGAAAGGTTCACGTTTAGAATTACAATTACATCATATTCCACTTACAATTTATTATACCAAAAGTAGTTTAAGAATCATAATGAAAGATACTTTACAAAGTAGTAGTGATGGTTTATGTAATCAATTTACATTGTGATAAATTAAGGAAAAGAAAATTATTAAAAATTATTATGATCAAACTGAGTCAAAGCATCAAATTCGTAAAAGCTGGTGCTATTAAAAATTTGTAATTTTCCTTTGTATTTCCCTATGAAATATATTCTTTTAACTAATTTTAAGTTCGTGCTTTTAATTCAAAAGTTTCATTAAATAAAAAACTAAAATATTTAGCGAGCAAGATGAAAACATATTATTTATAAATAAATTATTATTACAAATTTTTAGATAATTATTAGATAATTTTTTAAAACCATGTATTTGTACAAAAAAGAACAATAATGTCTGGATTTATGTATAAACTTCTAATTTCCATTTATTTGTTACAATAAAATATATAATAAAAGTATTTATTTTAACAATTCGAGTAAACCATATTTGATTGTTTTCCTTAAAAATCATTAAAATATTTTTGATCTGATATATATTAATTAAAATAATAAATTAATATTAATATTATATATTAATTAATATATATATATATATATATATATATATATATATATATATAGTAGATTATTAGATAAGTAGCAGAAAATACTATAATGGTATATAATGGTATAATGGTATAAAGATTGTAATGATTACAATATATGATAGACAAATTTCCAGTATAAAATTTTATACAAATTTATAAAAAGTTATTTAAATGGAATAGACATAAATATGTATTTCAACAAAATACAATTTTTTCTATTGTAAAACATAAATATAAAAATGATAATCATATATTGAGAAAGCAATGAATATTAATTTTACATTTTTTTTCATAAATTTCATGTAAAGGATTTATTTTATTTCTTAATTTAAAACGTCGTTATATTGTAATTCCATTAGCTTTTTTTTTATTGCTTGGACAAAAATAATTAAAGCAGTTTACGATGATTCTAAATATAAAATGACATATTATTATAAAATTACCTTATTGTTTTTATTTAATAAAGAGTTGACGCGCTTTTATAAAAAAATAGTTTTTTTTAGTATTATACATTAATTATTATACTTGATATGAAAGTTATATATATCCATTATATAAAAATGTATATCAATATAGAATTATTTCGTATTGTATTTTTTCGTATAAATTACAAACATTATTTTTTACTCTACTCTGAGGCGACAAATTTTTTTATAGAATTTTTATATTATAGTACATAATAAAAAAAAAACATGTATTTGGTACCCACGTACCCTTGCGTGAGATTCGCGAAAGTAGGACGGTTGCTTTTACCAGTATATTTTGTTTTCAATTTTCATGCTATAATCTTAGAATGAAATAGGAAAAGTGTAATCATTTTCAATGATTGTACTATAATATATATTATTTTCATTATACTCCCAAGAAAATAACTACAAAAAATTACATCGAAATTTAATCAAAGACTTTTATCAAATAAACTAGTTCTCGAGTAAACAATTACATATCTACTTACTATCATATATATATATATATATATATACCTATCATATACATAATTATAAATAAATATAAATGATTTTTAACTTTATACCTTGAAGAAATTCTTCATCAATTTTAAAGAATCGGTCAATCTTATCATTGAGGGATGATATGTAAGAAATAGCATATCAATATTAAAAAATATTAATATTGTACAAAGTAGTAGAAAATGCGATATTTTAAAAAATTTCATAAGTTTTATAGACGATATTACTCTATCTTTAGTTTACTTATTATTTGATAATCTAAAAAATTTACTCACTATTTAAATCATCCTCAATGATAAATTGATAATCATGAATAGAGATAAAAGAATAACAAAATACAATAATAAAATAAAAATTGTATTATTGTAAAATATTAATTAAATATAATATGCCGTCAAAATCTCAATGAAAATATAATAATTCAATCAAGTACCTCATATTTTTATGCAAAATTTTAATCTGAAAATATAGTAAAAAATATTTGTTATTGTATTTTTTCATTGGCTAGTATATATGTATCAACCTTTTCTAACTTTTTATATTCTTTAATCTTTTTATGAATAATCTAAATTTATAGCTAAAAATGTTACATTAAACAATTCTATCATTGTAATTTTATTATTGCATTTGTATTTTATCATTGTAAAAAATATAAAGTAATTAGAAAATATTTAGCTTTGAATCAACTGAACTTCATTTAACATTGAATTTTTGATAAATATAATTGGGTTTCTAACTTTATTGTATGATAAATTTTTATATTTCTTCAGAACAATACTTTGTTTTTTATTTATATAGAATGTTTTCTAATTTATAAACGTAATATTATTCAAAGATTGATTTGTTAATGCTATTATACGAAGTATTGTACATAAAAGTATACAATATTTAATGATTATTTTTAATTATAAAATGAGGACATTATCTAATTTTTAACTAGGATTTTATAAAAAAAAAAAAACATTAGAATAAAGAAAATTTCATTATTCAAGATTATTTTTATTTAAATTTAATAAAATAAAATATAGTAAAGAATAATTCAAAGATTTGATAATGTAAGAGATAAGATTAGATTTCTTTTGAATATTTATAAAGAAAATTATATAAATATAAAAAAAACTAAAAAAACTTTCTTTTTTACAAAATAAAATATAGGATGTCAATTTTAACTAAACAAAGATGGTTCAAATATAACATGTAATATAAAATGTGTAACAATATAAATAAATTAATAAAATGTGTCCATATATTATATAAATTTTTTTCTAATAAATTTATTTAAATTAGATTACTCAGTATTTTAACATTTTTTTATTTATTTTTTTAATGCTAATTATGTTACTAATAAAGGCATTAAATGTAATAATACATTCTATAAAATACTATAATTTACAAGATTTTAATTTACAATTTGTTAATAAAAAATTAAAATATTGCATTATGTTATTTTATAATATATATTATAGGATTTCTTTTAAACTCTTGATTTTTATATTGCAATATGCTAACAGCAGTTACTGTTTAGTTGTTGAGTACATGTACACGAATCGAAAGTCTATCTTTTACCCTTTCTCTCTCTAATGTAACGTGGGAAAGATACTGTTCTTTCATAGACCCCTATTAAAAGGTTCAATTCAATTTCTATTCAATACTTTTTGTACTTTTTAAATTTTCGAACTGGCAATATAATTTTTTCAAAATAAGAAACAAATTGTTTTAACACTAATTGCCCATCTCAAGTAAAACCACCGAATCTCAACTCTTATATAAAAAAAAAGGTCAAATTATTTAATAAAGATAACGAATATAACCATTATTTATTTTTTCCATTTGTTGCTCTTGCTATTAAAAAATATTATTATTTAAAATTTTAAATACATTACTTTAATGAATTTTATATTTTAATGCATTTAAGAAAATAATTGCAAATTTTTAAATTTAATTAAAAATTATCTTTTTGTGATATATCTCAATTAATAAAAAAGTATAAAGAAAAAGTTTACCATAAATTAAATTTAAAAATTATTTGTTAGAAATTATTTATGAATTTTTTTAATTAATATAAATAAAAATAAATTGGTCTATCAACTTAATTAATCTTACATTCTTTGTAGCACTTCAAAAACAAAAACTATTCTCGATTAATTTATTATTCTCTAATCAATATTTATAATATCGATAAGAATTATTATAATATCATATTTAATTAAAAATTGCGGAAATATTTTATTTTCAAAGCCTTTTTTTTAATTCAAAAACATTTGTGAACAAATGGGATCCAATAAAATTTAATTAATAAATTTTTTAAATATTTTATTTTAAATTACAATTTAGAGTCTTCGTTCTAACCAATAATAATTTATTATCATTATTTATTATTATTTTAATAAATTAGTGAAAAAGTTTATGAATTCAACATGTTTGTTTAAATTATTAAAAATTTTGAAGACCTCATTGTTTGTTTTCTTAAATAAATTAAATAATGGCTTATTAATGTAAATGAATTGAAAATTAAACAAACTAATTTGTTGAAACTGAATTAAATTATTTAAATATTTTGAACATATTTATAGTTTATAAAACTAATATAATTTATACTCCTATAAATTAAAATTTAACATGTATTTTTACTAAATGTGCGAATGCGCACTTAAGAAATAGAAATAATCATTTTTCTGATAAATGTTACTTTTAAATATTGATTTTATTCGATTAGATATATGAAATATATTCACATAGATAATTATTAACAATAATATACACATTTTTATTAAGTAGTCTTATTAGTTTAGGAAATTCAACAAGGGCAGCATATGATTCATGTTTATTAAATTTGTCGTAAATTCTAAGTCTACAACGACTAATACATTGCATTATCAATGCAAAAAGAAGATTGAATACACAAATTGTATTTAACCTATAAAAAATTTTGAATATTTTAAAAATCGAGGTATAAATGAACATATTTGAATCATTTTAAATGGTTTTTGTTTAAATATTTTTTATTTAAATATGATCTAAATTAAATTAAATCTAATACATAAATGATATGATCTTATGATCCGTATATGATTGTCTTATTATCAATTGCCGCTCATATGTATTTCTTGATTATTGTTATTTCTTTTTTTCTTTGGCATTTTGTGTATTATAATAATTTTAGTCTCATTGAATTAACTACCGGTTTCTTCTTATCCTTCTATTAATTTATTACTTGACTTATAATAACTTGGATTAATTTATTATCTGCAGGATCGTTTTGCTATTTTTTTTACTAAAGTAACGGATTACTGATTTATGAAATTCTTCTCTTTCATGGAAACTAAAAACGATTGGTTGTTATGCTCTTTCATCCCGTGTTTTTCTTATATGAAAATTATGACGTAAACTTGAGTTTTATTTCTTATGTTAATAAATTAATTATTATAAACCGATCCTACATTTATAAAATATTTAGTATACTAAAGTATGTTGATGATTCGTCACTTTATATGATCGATGTTAAATTTCTATCTGCACTAAAAATCTCGTCGACATAATCTTTACATTTGATTAAAAATATTGTAATAGGGTTCAATGAAGAACAATCCTAGTTTTATGATGAAATAAGGTATTTATATATAAAGATAATTATAATGAAAAAATTTGAATATATTTCCATAAAAAATTCAATAATTTAAAATTAATATTACCGATAAATGAAACACTTATCTGAAATCTAAGATCAACGATAGAAACTGAAGTAAACTACTTAACGTAATAGTAACGTAAGGTTTCAGAGTATCTACTTTGCAGAAAATACAGGCTCAATAAAATTATCCATTTCCATTTATTCTGTCTATGCTTTCCTGTTTCAATCATGATAGAATAAAAATCGATTCTAAGTTATGCGACATAAACAGGTCGACAATAAATTTATAAAATATAATTTAATAAGAAGATAAAAGATTATTTATAAAAATTTTTAAAGGAAATGGTGTTATTTTCATAATGCTTATTTCAGAGTATCTTTTGGTGTTCCATATTTGAAAATTTTTAGAAAATTTCGAAGCCTTGATTAATATAGTTTATTGGTAAATGTTTATTTCCTGACAGTAGTTTATTAATAAAAATAAAAATTAATATTTATGAAATATCATACACTAAATAGTTTATTGTTATGAAAGAGGTATTTAATGAATCAAGTATAGGTTTTTATATTTAAAGTATAACGTTAAAAATAATTTTCAGTATTAAAATTATATTATAAATTTGATTATGCTGATTATGCTATGTTGTTGGAAACATCTTATTCGTTACTTACTAAAATTTAAAATATGATTTAGCCGAGCTAAAAGAAAAATAATGAAAAGTGAAATGATGAAGGTATTAACAATATGTTAATGTATTTATTTTAAATAAATTTATTACCTAAAACCAATTATCACCAAGGTTGAGATTCACAATTATTTGTACATTTTTCCTTATCCTTACCTAGAATATATAAAAAGCGAAATTAATTTTTTATAATTATTTCTACTAGTATAGTTTTTTGTAGCTATAGTAATTATTGAAACTTTTAAAGCAAAAAATTACAAAGCTGTGCATGTAGTAAAAAAATAATTTTTATATTCTTTATTTATTAATTGCTTTTTGAACTATTATAAATCGTACCAAAACACTTTGCAATGCATCCTTTGATACCACCTAGTATTGGCTGCCCTATAAAATAATACAATAAATTAATTGTTCTATTTTAATATTTAAAAAATTAATTAATTATATATTAATAGAAATATTCTTACCTTCTATGGATAATGTATACAAAGAAATTACTAATATTATAAATAATAAGAATTTCATTGTCACAAATTTTAGCACCAACATTTATTTACTTTTTCCTACAATAATTGTATTAATAAAAAAACATTTCTTTTATAGTAAAAATACGACCGTTAATAGTGCAAATAAAAACTTATGATCATGAAATAATATTTAATTCAAATTATGTGTTTCGTAATATTTATTGATTGTTTCAAAATTATTTTATCAAATAACAAAAATATTAAAATTCAATTAATACATTAAATTTCACACGAACTATTTTGTTTTATTTTGTTTTATTATTAAGGAATATTACGTTTTATATTCAATTGGAATGATTAAATTATTCCATCTTTACATAAATGTATATTATATTAGAGTTTACGTACATGTCATTATTTAAATATTAATATCCCAGCACATTTAAAAGAATTTGTAAATATATTAAATATTTGGAATATTTAATTCTGATTTTAATAACTTTTATAACCATTGAACTTTATTATGTAGTAAAAAATTATATAAATATAAATAATGTTCATGATTGGATCTCATGTCTGTGAAATGGAATTTCTTGTCATTCATTATCTGCATTCGTGATTTATAGATCATAAAATATTCTATAATTTAAATACAGACATAAAATTGCTCATATTTTTTATGTAATTTAAAACATATTAAATAAATAATATTTATATCTCGATACAAGTCTGATCATTCCATATTTTTTATCAGCATTAGCCGGTTTTGTGTAGAGAAAGAAAAAAAAATTAGAACAGTAATCGATTTTTTAAAGTTAATTTGCGAAGGAGTAAAACATTCTAATTTGATTTAAACATTAATTTACTTTATCAACGACTACTTCTTAAAGGGAAAATGATCTGAAATCAATTTATATGTTGGACATTAAAAAATATCGAATAATTTTAATATTTTAAAATTATTATTAACTATGAAATTAAAAATTTTATTTTGAATATTTTTATTAATTTTCTTATAATTGAATTTCATTGATTATTTATAAATTTATAAAATAATTGTAATATTATATTACTAATAATACATTAAAAACTTTATTTAAATAAATTCGTGAATTAAAAAAAGAAGAAATAATAATTTGAAAACGAGAAATTGAAAATTTACAATATGTAAAGGTGCTAATTTAATTTTGGATTCCTAATAGAAAATGAGACATATTAAAGAGTAAATAAGATAAAAGAAATAAAATGGAGAGAATTAGAAAATATTATAACGAATAAAATAAAATGTGCATTATATTAATAATTTTGCCCTCTTTAGGAATTAATCGATATTAATAAGGTCTCCTGATAAATATATGAATATGCTACATATTATATTTGATAGTAACGTATTTGATAATACGTCACGCTGATAAACAGAAGTGGCACATAATATAAATTATACAACATCATACAGATTTATATAATTTTCTATATCGTAAAAATATCTTATAAAACACTAATATAGATGCATATTAACAGTAGACAGTTTTAATTGTAACATTAATGTAATAAATAATGTAATTATTTTATTAATTATTTTAAATAATGTAATTATATTAATAAATAAATTAATGTATTAAATAATCATGTATTTATCTTGTACTGTAAAAACGCTATTGAGAAAACTAAAAGTTAAAATATTTTGTTTCTATTTCATTGTAAATTGTAGATGCTTTCAATTTGTAAAAATCAGAATTTTTACCAAAGATAGTAATAATAATATTAATTATTCATATTATTATCTATGATTAATTAAACTATATTAATTAGGATTTAGATAGATTTAATCATATTAAAAAAATGCAAGTGTACGACTTTCATGAGAATATTTTGCAATCAAAACACATTGTCTTTCTGTCGCTTTTGAATTTCTTAAAATTATATATGTATTTTACAAACAATGTATAATTTTTTATTTGTTTTTAAATTTTCAATATTAATATAATAGATACATATAAAAGTATGACTATAAAAGTATATATATATATATATATATATATATATATATATATATATAAGTAATTGCATATAAAAGTAAATTACTACATACACTAAGCAGAAGAAGTAATTGAGTGAAGAATTCTCGAATATAATAATATAGTATAATAATGAATTATATTTTTAAAAGATATCAGGCTTGTAGAAATAGAGATTCGTTTTGTGTAATATTTGAATAAAAATAATTATTGTCGGCAACCGTAGTAATAAACTATTCTTATATATAAAGGCATATTTATGTTAATTGAAATGTCCTGTTATAGGAGACATAATGTAATAAATTAACATTCAAACATTATGAGAATAAGTATTGAATACACTTGAAAGTTATATACCAATGACCCGACAACTCTAGACCCATAATTTACATAATTTACAGAAAAATGACATAATTAATCAAAATATTAGGACGTAAAATTGTATTGGTAAAATTTATGTGGATTTTAAACGATTTAGATGATTTTTTTAAGGTCATTATTTCATTTTCATTCTCATAATGGCTTATATTATCTTCGAAACTTTTACATAGAAGAAAAGAAATATAAATAATTTTTAATAATTTAATTAGGCGTTAATTTAGGAACTGATTTTGCACACCATAAATTTAGAATTCTAACGAAGTCTCTAGATATGATATTTGCATATTTTCAATTTTACTACCACTTATAGATATTAACAATCACATTTTAAGTTCTGATATTTTTAAATTTCAATTTATTTTAATGATATACTTTATAATAGAGTATTTCATACATTTTAGAATGTATATCGCTTTTAAGCTGTCTCCATTCGATTTATGTACGATTTATATGAATTAAAAAGTGTTATTAATAAAGCATATTATATATCAACGATGCATATAATGAAGAACGCTGTTCTTAGCATCAAATAATGTTGACTGGCAGTTTCATTGCCCATAAGCATATTGGCTACAATTGTTTTCGGCTACATTTTTTTATAAAGTTATTTAAAATTTTACCGCATACACGATAACCAATTGTCATAGAAATTGTCTTGCGCAGAATCGGAAAGCCCTGTTTAAAATAAAAAACTTATGCCGCTGTAAGGCTTAGACAGCCGTGTACAGTAGATTAAAATTACTGCTCACTCAACTACTTTATGAACTCGTTTATATATTACATCTGGTGAAAATGGATTTATAATTCATGTTCATTGACAGTGTTAAATGTATCGTATTAAAGTAAGAAAGCCACAGTGTGTAGTTGCCTCGTGGTTGGCTCCAATCCTTTAAAGACATTTCTGTAAACGGCTTGACTAGGTCTTCGGTTTGGATTTCTTAATTTTGATCTTGTTTGATAAGTAAATGCAATTTACTTATCAAATTAATTCATTACATAAGGTGAGTCGTTCTATGTTTGTCAATAATTGTTAAAAAATGTCTCTAATTATTGTTAATGTTATATTGTTTTTAAAGCAGCTAAATAATAAATCTTCTAATAATCAAGATGGAGGACGACTATCAACGCTATAGACGAGAACAGGAAGAAGCTGTTTCAAATCAAAGCGGGACTTCAGCCGGTGACGTACTTTTTACCATTCTTCCCAACATTTGCAGCCTTCTTCTGGCCCTTACTTTAACAACGCTTTGTGGACCTGAAATTAGTCGGCAGTCACGAATACTTTTAGAATTTTGCATTACGATTATACCGTCTATTTTGTGCTGTACGATTTTATCAGAAAAAGTAATTGCCATTTCTCAAGTTTTCCTCATAGTATCGGCGGCGAACATCTTGTCGATCCTTGCTTGGAAACCAAGGGATTCCTTCAAATCTAGTTCTAATTTAAATCCAAATAAATTGGGATTCATAACAAATTTTCGAGCTATAGTTAATATCATGACGGCTGTCTGCATTTTGGCAGTGGATTTCACATGCTTTCCAAGAAAGTTTGTAAAAACTGAAACCTACGGCTACAGTTTAATGGATGTAGGTGTCGGATTATTTATAATGTCCAATGCATTAGTCTCGCGAGAAGCTAGACACATTGAGATGGATTATAAAGCACCCTTTTTTGCAGGACTTGTGAAAACCTTTAGAGGATCGATAGTATTGCTAATTCTAGGCTTTGTGAGATACGTAGCTGTGGAATTTCTGGGTTATCAGAAACACGTTAGTGAATATGGTGTACACTGGAATTTCTTTTTAACTTTAGCTTGTGTTAAACTATTCACAGGTATCCTTTCAAAAAGCTTAGCTTCAAAGTATTCGTTGCTAACGGGACTATGGATTTTATTTATGCACGAATACGCATTAAGTACAAAGGGATTGAAGGAGTGGGTTTTAAGCAACGAGTCCAGGAATGACTTATTATCAGCCAACAGAGAAGGGTGGGTTTCGATACCTGGGTATGTAGCGCTCTATTTAATTAGTATAGCTTTAGGAAGATTGATACACTTAACGTATCATAAGACTGACAGTCATCTAGCCCTTAACATCAAAATATCTGGATATGAACTTCAAATTGGATACACGCGATCAATGTCCCTCACTTTTAAACTATATGTAATTACTAATTTAGCATTTTTTGCAACCTATATCTGTGAACAGTATTTTCGAGTATCACGAAGATTAGCCAATTCGGGATATTGTTTATGGATAATTACTCTTAGCTCCTTATTACTTACATTTTTATTAATGATAGATGTAATATTGGAATGCATTTCTGGATGTCTTAGAGATAAACCTAGAAGTACAGCTAATAAACATTTGAGCCAAGATAATTCAAATACCAAAGATAATATTAATATAATAAAAACATTGGAGATTTTTGAGACTGTCAACGATAATGGATTGATATTTTTCCTTTTTGCAAATGTATTAACAGGTACAATAAATATGACAATGAAGACTATGCGCGTTGATGAACCCCGATCAATAGCTATTATTATTACTTATATGGTTGTTAACATAACATTTGTAATGCTGCGTCACAAGGGAAAGCACCTACTTAATCCTAAGAAAATTAATTAATTCATTAAAAATGAATAATTTTTAAGTCTTCATTTGTTATTTACAAACTTTTTAATAACTTAATGTGTTTAACAGTTTCAGTGTTGCATATATTAAAAGTATTATTTCTGTTTATCATATTTATACAAGTACAGTATATTTATATAAAAAAATTGTTATAGATTATTTTATAAATTAAAGGCAATTTTTAATAAATAGTTTTTAATAAAATACTTATTTTAAAAAATACAAACATAATTTTTCTACTATCAAAATATTCGTAATAATTTTTGCGATACTTTTAGTAATTAATATTTATGTCATGATTGTTAAGGATTTTTTAAAATAAAATAGTCATCATAACTCGTCGTTTACTAGTCTTTTGTCAATTTTTTCGATTTCTATTCGCTCATTTTTAAAATTTTTTGTCATTTCTTTAAATACATCATGATTTGTTACATGTTTTTCTGCTATAGAGATAAGTCTTATGAACTCATTAACATCAAATTTGTAATTAGTAAATTTAGCATGAGCACCATTATGTGGATGAGTTCCCTATAAATAAATTTAGAATTTTTAGAATTATAATAAGAGTATAATTATATGTAAAATGAATAATGATATATAATTAAATTTTATACCGGATCGTGCTCGGTTAGTTTTTGTATGTCTTCCCAGGTTAAATATTTAATACCTTTAAGACGTGCTAAGTCTTTGTAACAGTTCGCATCTTCACAATTATATCTGATAATATTTAAATCAGTAATAAAATATAGATAATTGCAAATAAAAATCTATTAATTTGATTTTTAATTTTGAAACTTACAATTCAAATCCAACTGCCCATTCAGGAAGGAACATAAAGTGAGTTAATCCAGCCCCATGCATGCCAATAAAAATATCCGTGTTTCTTGTAATTTCTAATTGTTTTTTAAACGGGACAGATTTATCATAAGCAATCTAAAAAATATAATGGGAAAACTATTTTCATAAATTTATTACAAGAATGATGGTATAAAATAATTTAAATTTTTTAGTTTTAATGCCTTTGTAGCATTTCAATTCATATAATGTACGTAACTATTATATTTGCAAAAAGAAAAATAATATGCGATGAAAGTTGAAATTAAAAATTTCAAAAAAGAATAGAACCTTTTGATTATTTTTACTTTTAAAACTATAATCGGCTAACCTTTGTTACTTCATAGTTAGAATATTTTTTTAAAGCTAGAACTAATTCATCTTCATTTATAATTCTTCTATATTGAGTATTTCTACTTAAAAATGTAATACGAATTTTTGGATCATGCCTTTTATGCAAAGGTATTCGCATTCTGTGCAGAACATGTTCTGCAAATGCTGTAAAAAGTCCACTGTTTTCACAGCCATAAATCTAAATAAAATATTTAATATAATATTAAAATAGTTTGTAACAAAATTAAACAAAAAAGAAGAAATTTACAATTTCATCTTACTAAAGGTGTATTGTAGTATAATCCAAAGATCATTCGAGGCAATAATGGAAAAACAACATTTTTAAAACAAACAGTTTCTCCTTTAAACGTTTTCAAGTCCCAAAGTGAATTTTTTGTAAATGCCTCAAATGTATCTTGGAATGCGGATCGGTAACTGTAATAAAAATTATATATATTTAGTTATTCGTTCGTTCATTCATCGTAAGTTGATAAATATTAAATCTTATGTATAAATAGAAAAGGTAGATGATTAATAATGAATCAGATATTTAATTATATTTACTTTTAATCATAATTATATTATTTTAATCATAATTATATTAATTATGATCACTTATTGGTTAGATTTACAGTAGTTATAATATAATTTGTATATGTACAAATTAATAAAAGATAATACCTGTAACTTTCCCAGATCATAATATAATTATCAGTATTAAATGTTGATGGATGTGAAAGGTTGACGTGTAATGAAGCATAAAGATTGAAAAAATCACAAAAATGATGATACATATTTACAGCTATAAAATGAATTAATAAAATTAATATTATATTAAACAGATTATAACTTTTATCAAAAACATAGAGGTACCTGCATCAATTTTAATAATATATGTGGGTTTTTCAATGACAACATCACAATCACCTTCTGCTATAGGTTTATGAGATAGTTTTCTAAAATTTCTTATTTCTGGACCCCAAGATTGCAATGGGCTAATGTGATCAGCATTATCATGTAGTTTTTGTTCATTCAATCTTCAGTACAGGAATAACATTGTAATATAATTAGTAATCAATAAAATATTTTTCATCAAATAACAAATTTTGAACATTCTTACTTGCAATATCCACCAATTTGTCCTTCCTTCAATACATCCATTTTATATCTAATAGGTTCTTTTCTATGTACAAGATCAGTAAAATTGATCATGATATTACGTCCCCGACAAAATCGTAAATGCTCCGAACATTCTAATGATGAATCATCCTAAAATTATAAATCATCATTCACTAATACTAGATATAGTTTTTATATTTTATTTTAATATTATAATGTATTCACTATAAATAATGGTTCGCATAATAACATCATTTCTTTCCTTTGATCCCGAATATATCCAAAGTCACCTTGGGCATAAAATGTGTCTAACTGAGCTTTTTTGGTGGCTACCCAGCCTTTATGATCACCAGGACATTGAGGAGCAGAAAATGAATTTTCAAATTTACAATCTAATTCATATCCCCAACATGCCTTCTTATTCAGATGAATCTATAGTAATAAAAGCATTTTAATTAACATTTGTGCTAGAAATAAAAAAAAAATTGGATCTTTATTTCATATAATTATTCTTTTATTACAAGAAATAGTAAAATTATAATATTTCTAAATAACAATAAGAATTATTTATTTGAAAATAACTATTTAAAGAAATTTAACTGAAACATAAATTAAATATTAAATTATACTATTTTTGAAAAATTTTATCATTAATTTTATTAATAATTGTACATTATTAAATTATGAGAAATTATTTTTAAAATGTATCAGTTAAAAATATTTTTACAAATTTCTTCTGACCTTATATGGACATGATGGCTCATTTTGGCATTTATTGCTCAATGCAGGAAACGAATTAAAATAATATTTTAGATGATTATGTGGTAAGTCTATATCTGAATAATTAACGGCGTTAACTATAGTTAAAAATGTAAAAAATGTCGATGTCCATAAATTGTGAAAAATTCTTTTATGAATCATTTTTAAATTTGGGACTGAAACATAATTTAAGCAATTACATGAAATTTATTTATTATTGGCTATTTGTCCATAAGATGAAAGTATACGATTTTCTTTGATTATGAGAATGTGTACGCAGACGCTTACAACTTAAGTATAGTTTCTATAAAGAAACGAAGTATGATAATATTTTTGAAGTGGGCAGAATAAATTTTATCTTATAAGTTTTAATAATTGTATGTTCGTAAATAGAATAGCATTGTAAATGTCAAACGTACATGGTAAAAAAATCAAAATATACATCGCAAATGCACGTGTACCAATCTTACCAATAATAACATATAACGACATATACTATACTATATAATATTATGTTTTTATAGACAGCATAAAAAATTATTACTTACTCATTTTACAAGTTCGTCAATTAATCGGTGAATGCTTAAATGCGCGTCCCATTCGCGAGCATTAAACCGGTGTTCAAAAACATTCATCAGTACCTATTTACGCGAACCTTATCGTTCAACTGATACATTTAACTTCAGTGATTCATTTTCATTGGCCATTACCGACAGATATGCTATTTCTGTCCATCTAGCGGTTGAATGTTATAACTGTATGCCGTCGGTAAAATTGTAACCAATTATCATCAAATGATTATTTGAAAACATATTGTTTAAGGGCCAGCTAAAATATACTAATTTTCTTATGTATATTCATACATAAAATGTTGACGTAAGCAGGTTTAATACAACATTATTATTAATTTCAGGTTCGATTAACATTTTGTCGTTCGATCAACATTTAATTACCAACGATGGATATGATAATAATAAAAATTTTTTTAATAAATATTAAATGTTCGTGTAAATGCACTTATAAATATACTAAATTTTATTGTAATCGTACTAATACTAATATTGTATTGTACAATTTCATGACTATTCAATGTGGGCAATAAAATTTAACCAATAATATATATTTGCAGCTCAATTTATAATGCAAATCCTATTATTAAAATCTTGAAAACAGAGACATTAATTGTAAATTAGATTTGGTAATTCTATTCGAAGTTTTTAAATCATAAATGTACACATTATGAATTTTGTTCTTATTATTGTTTACAACCTTATGATTGCATAATGAGAAATTGTTATTTAACAACAAGCAAAAAAAAAAAAACCGTTTAGCCAATTGATGTACCATAACATTACCTCGTCGCGGGAATCCTTAAGCTTCGCATATTTTTATGTATTGATATTTTTAATAATTCAAATTGTAATTAATTTGCACAGAAAGAAAGGTAAGGTTGATTTGTTGTGTTGATAAAGTATAATATTCGTGATACTATGGAGGCAATACAAGTTATGTTGTTAAATCTAATTTATTGAATAATTTTAATATGTAGATAATTAAGTCTAAATATAATTTATCATAAATTCTAAAAGCCAAATAGTAAGTTTCATATAATTATTTAGATAATTTTGTCATATATATCATATCACATCATATGAATTATCAAGATTAATCTTGTACATTCAAATAGAAACTGTACGGTAATAAAGATGAAAACATTCGGAGTATTAACGCAATGTTGAGATTAAATATTTATATAAAATCATTTAGTTCTTGGTAACCATCGTCAGTAGATACCACTTACTATAGTTTATAGCAGTGTTTTCAGGCGAATCAGGAAAATCATTCGAATGCGGCCGTAGTGGTGCTTGAAGGACAACGCCACCGGTGGAGTGCGCGAGTTTTCAATTGCGATGGATCGAATAAACGATCCGAATCGATCACGATCACATCACAACCGAGAGTGGGGCTAGTTATGTGATCTGTTGGGGCCCTTGCACCCCGTAGTTCGAGCGCAACGGTATCTATCACATGCCGTCGCTCTTCCTATTCATAAGTGCAAACCACTTATTCGTTGCAGACTTGGTTGTAGATCGGCTTGCTACAATGTCTTACTGTTAGGATCATTAAGTCACTGCCTAAGGTTTTCAGGATGAATAACTTTGTCTATTCTTTTCTCTTATTCATCTCGTGTCTTTCGATAAAAGTAAAAATGTTTGCTGATACGTTGCGAGCTGTACCTTACATTTTCCGAGAAAAGTCCAAGTAAGTTGGCTAGTTATCTCATTCATTTTTTATCTCTGATTTTGTTTTTAGTTTCCATTTCAGTAAAGCATCAAGTTTTATATCAATGCAATTCTCAGACTGATTAAACGAAATGTTAAAATACTATTTGTTATCCAAGTCCATAATTGTCGATTTTTTTTTCTTACCTGAATGATCACAAAATTAAAAAAATCGACGAAATTAATTAACAATTCTTAATTTACTGGCTCATGGACTACGATGACACGTTTCATTAAACTTTAAAGATCTTAGAAAGTAATCCAGTTCAATTTCTCATCATACATTATTAAAATTATTTAGCGATTACATTGCAGTTGAGTTAGCAATTTGCAAATAAAAGAATATAAATAATAAGATAAAAATAAGTATGGAAATTGGCATACTTAATTGAATTCATAAAGAAGAAATTTATTTTCAGCAGAGATCAAGAAGCTGAAAACGCCTTTGAAAATGGCATCGAACAATTGTCAAATATCTCACCATCAATATTTAATCGTCGTCATTGTCAAATCTTGCTCTCAGCGCAATACTAAATCAGACAGGTGGAAATTTTTATCGGCAACATAAGATAAATAGAGATAAAGTGCAATGTGATTGGCAGTGCAGTCGGCTGGAAAGTAGGCAAAGCAAAATAAACGAGCGCTTTTAGCCCCGAGGCTTTTCATGCATCCCAAGCGATTTTCTGTCCTTCTGCCCGTAGTTCCGTGTGTCAGGCGATACAGTTAATAGGAACCCGTATGTACCTGGGTGTGCGAATACAAGCGCGACGGATAAAGAAATTCTGTCACTCGCACGCGTATGTCTCATTGTGACCGTGAGCAAAATGTACAACGGTTAAATGGCCCGACACGGTGGCGCCCAGTGTCACCGTATTCACGACCTACGCGAAAATCCAAAGCGTTCACAAACGAATGATATTATAGGGGAAAAAGTTACTCCTTTATATGAGGTTTGCGCCTCGCGTTCAGATGTCGGCGCTCCGTCCAAGTCATTCTTCACAATAAGCCACATCGCACTCGTGAAAATCATGGATGTAAATTGCCACGATTTTAATGTCTCCGAAGCAATTGCCAGCTTATTACCAAGTGAAGAGCGAAGTGGTTGTAATTTTCATGTATAAAAGAGCAGGTATATAAGATTATGTATTATCATTATTTTTATCTATACGTTTGAAAGGAAATTTCATATGGACACGTTGTTGTATTGAATTTCTTACCAACTACGATTGAAGGCAAACAAAAGCTTCATAGAGCTACGTTATTTATTCGTAGTCGAGCGACATTAGTTTTCTTTTAATTTACGATTACGTCTCATCTACTTCGAATATTTTTCAACTAAAGTATTTGCTTACCATTCAAAACAAACACTAGAACTTTTGAGTAAAATACCGAAGCCAGTGTTTACAATCTGGCATTGGAAAAAAGTATTGGAAAAAATATTTCAATCTATTAATATTAAATGTTAATGCGCTATGCGAATTTAAAAAAAGAAACGAAATGGAATATTGCAAATGTGTAAGGCGCAATTCGAACTCCCTTTTTTCTGTGCCAACCCGCCATGTCTTCTAAGAAGTAAGGATTATTTTAGAGATGAAAATCTCCTTTGAATAAATATCATCTCATAAATTACAGAATACTTAAAGAGTCGCCGGCATATAAAGTGAATTCATGGTTGATCAGCCATTAAGCGTGTGTGGGCCAGCCTGTGGCGCCTTTACAAGCTCTCCCGCTCCTGCATTCTTTCTTGCTTTTTATGTGCCCCCGCTGCGTTGACCATCGAAACGGAAGCTACTCTCAGGTGTTAAAAATATGATTGTGCCTTTTAGTGAAAATGTTATCATTTTCTGCTTTGGATCGTGTCATACAACGAACAATGTAAAAGTACCTTATATACAATTGCCGAGCTTTTACCGCTTAATTAATACATTAAATACAACTTTTACTTCAAATTAATCAATTATACACGCAACAATTATATATGCACTTTGCAAGATCGTTTAATTAAATATTCAAGATTTTTTCATATTTCCCAGACATTTTTCATTATTTAACGTTCACCGTAACGTTTTATACGTAACGTCACATTACGCCGATCATTAATATCATAATAAGCAATTTTTAATTTATCGTCGTTCGGTCGATTTATTAGTAACCAAATTTACTATGCTTATTGAAAAGTATAATGCTATTATTACGAACTCGACATTCTCTTTCTCACACTTCTTTTAGCAGAGTGACACACATCGATGCCTAACACTCATTAATCAATTAATTTTATATAAATTCTAATTGAAGCCGATAATTTTCGATTCAATAATGCAATTTATACAATGTAAAAAAGTACACCCGCGCACCCGCGCCCATGCACCAAGGCACAAACAAATAAATTAAACATTTAGTTTAATTTATTTTTTGAAATTTATGTTTACTTTTTAAACGTGAAATTTGAGAATTCCTATGCCTGGAAGATTCGGGCAAATATTTGAAAAACCGATCGTAAATTTCAATAAGTACATGTGTATGCAATCGTAAAATAGCAAAATCAATTGAAATAAAAACAATAGTCCAAGCTTCTTTTGGTTAATACGTTAAGTGCGCATGAACACAAAAGAAGAGCGATGGCTTGTCTCGTGGAGTGTTCACGATTCGACCCCCGCTTGTGACCCATAAATTTAGTAGCCATAAATTTCACTTCATAGTCGTTGTCACCGACTTCGACTCCTTTTTATGGGCTCGACTGTCGTAGACTCGTATTCCATTTGTATGATCATCACGAACGTCGTTACGACGATGATGTTATTTTAAACTTAAAAACCTATTACTGGCGGTCAATTTGAGATGCTTCAAAATTTCCTTAAAACTGCTTTACACCTTCGCTCGTTCCTAACAATATGCATATGTTGCCATTTTTTCCCATTCCATTTATTATGTAGTATTTTCAGTTATGATTTTATTATTGTTTGAAATAATATGAGAAATTAAATTTTCTTATAATACATCGTTAGATATAAATGAAGCTATTAAGTTAATAATAACCATCGAAAGTCTATATCGATCAAAAGTAATTTTTATAATAATTATAAAGATAGAACGATTGAATTGGCATTAAGAAATACGTTCTTGCACTAAAGAATAATTTGATTAGCAGGTTTAATCAATAATATACATACAAAATAAGATATTACATTTATAATAGAAGATTTTATATTTTAACAGAAATAAAACAACTTTGGATTATGATTTAATCAGTTTAAATGCATCATAAATTTTGAAAAATTCTCAATAAAATTGATAAAACGTTTCGCGTTGGTATCCAAAGTAGGAAAATTTTTAATTATGTGACAAGTATTCAAACACGATTTCACTTCACATGTACCGTTTCGA